AGAACGCAATATATCGATCGTACTCGCTATGCTCCCAGCACCGTCATCATTAGAAACTACACGCCCTAAACCCTCATTTCGTCTAATCACAACCCTTCACATCTCACATCTACTTCCTAAATAACTTCCCCAACCCCTTCTTCTTATCGCCCTCGCGCTCCTTCTCCTCCCTATCATCCGCCGCACGCTCATCCTTCGTCGGAATGCGCGGCTGTTCTGCAAACCGAATCCCCGGCGTCCTCGCCGCGGGCGTAGTTTTCTGTTCCGAGTGCGTGCCACGCCCAGTTTCCATGGGATCACCGCCTTCCTCCCCTTCGCTATCGGATTCGGGGGAGTCGTCGTCGCCAACGCCGAGCGCGCCGAGACGGCGTTTGCGCTCGGCTGCGGTTTCCCCTTCGAAGCCCTTCTCAGCTTCGGGCGAGTGGGATTGTTTGCGGCGGGTGATCGGCGCGGAGGGGGATGTTGAACCGGAAAGGGCGGCGAGGCGGCGTCGGCGCTCGGCGGGGGATTCTTCTTCCGATTCGTTCTCGGCGGAGTCTGGGGCTGGCTGGGCTTGTTGTGATGCTTCCCGTCGTCGGCGCTGAGCGGCAGTCTCGCTCTTGCCCTGGTCCATGGAGTAGTTTTGGATGTCTTGGTGTACGGAGTGGAATGGCACATCCTCGTTGTTGCTGTCGACGAGTGTCAGTCCTGTGGGACCACGAGGTCGACCCTCCTCGTTGGCTGCAGGAGATTCAATCTTCTGGATCTCAGCTTCGCCCTCCTCGCCAACAACGGCAGGGATTTTCGCCTTCGTGGAAACCGCTGCCTTTCGCTCCAACTCCTTGTGCTCCTTTGCATCCTCATGCGCTGCGTCCTTGACAGCCTCGGGAGCGTTGCTGTTCTCGACGAACTTGGCTCGCGCTTTGGGGTCCATTTGAGACATTTGCGTGATGAACTCCATCTTGCTCATCCTGCGGCCACCCGCCGTGACGGTAAATCGAAGGAGATCATCGTCCTCATCATCAGCTGCTGGCTTCTTTTTCTTCTTCTCTTCCGCACCCTGGCTGTTCGAAGGTCCACTATCATGCGTCGGTACGCCCAATTGTGTACCCATCCTTTTCAAGCTTTGAATAGCACGACTAGTACCACCAGCCATAGAAGCCCCACGTTGTGTTTCCGGTCGTTTGTCCTTCTTCTGCGATGGAATATCGTACTTCTTGATGACCTCTCCATCTCCGTCTTCCACAATGATTGTGTTACCAAACTGGTACGCGAGGGCAGGTCCACGGCTTTGCGCAGGCTTGGGCTTTGCGGCATCGTCTCCCTTCTGGTGATGCCCAGAGAAGCTCTGCATACGCTTACGCCAGGTCTTGTGGGGGTGCTCGGCAGCATCCACAGCCTTGCCTGGGGCTTTCTCAACTGCTCCACCATGCTCTTTCTGCGCTACACCACCTTCCACATCTTCGTCGCTCAGTAAATCAGCAGCTTCCTGTCGGTCGTGTGCATCCCTTTCTCTGCCATGATGACCACTGTCATCCATGACCTCCAGAACATTACCCTCCCTGTCTTCGATCACAGTCTGGTGGCCTTCTTGGTAAATCTCCTCCTCTGGAAACTGCTTCTTCATCTTCTCCTTGCCACTGTTAGAACTGTCGCTGGAAACAGCTGTGGTATCAGCAAACGTGTCGGTATCTTGATCAGGAGAACCTGAATCAGCCTTCTCCTCATCGCGCCTCCTGTTCGGACCAATGGCCGATGCCGAGATAGGGCCACCTGGTCCTCGACCGGCATCCCACTTGCTCTTGCGATTCGTTGGGCGACGGGAGCTTGATCGGCTTGGGTTATCTTCCTCCTTTTGCCGGCGTAAGAAGTTTCCAGCATACCCTGGGGGTGGAAGTAAACCAGTCCCTGTCGCTTCAGCCTTCTCATCGAACGACGATTCGGACATTCTGCGACCAGACATTGAGGTTTTGGAGCGTGATTGAATGCGAGGTAAGCGGTCCATCCAGCCTGGGCCATCCTCGTTCGCTTGGGTGTATGAAAGAGAAATGGTAAGCGTGTTGATGCGCTTACCTAGAGTAAAGACCGCGATGGAACTGCCGTGAACAATGATACTGACGATGACCAAGAAGCACGTAATGGGCCAGATCATTTCGATGATGTTGAGATGCTCAAAGCCCTCCGGTGGCAGTTCGGCAAGTGGTGTTGTCGACTCTGTCTCAAGCTCGGCCCTAGCAAGAATAGCGACGAAAAGACCACCAACACCGATAGGCCCAAAGTGGCCAGCAAACGAAGCTTCGCGCCACGTTTTGATGTCTGGAATGACAGGTTTGAGCATGAGCATGATCGGTATGCGACGAAAGAAGAGGACCAGTAAGCCCAGAACGACCAATCGCCATGGTGTAAGTCCAATAATGTCAGGCGCGTTGAACTGCTCCCAAGGAATGATGGCGCCAAAGTAGACGAAAAAGGCCAAGTTGATGAGCAAATCGATAACGTTGGAAACGTGCGACTCCTCTGTCTTTTCGAGAAACCATCCATCGTTGGAAAAGCCTACACCGCACGCAAATCCCACCAGTAAATCGTCCATGCCTAACAAGGATCCAGAGCCAGCGCAGAAAAGTGCCAAGACGAAATAGAAGACGAGGAAACTCTCTCGATCAATCAGGTCCTTCTCGTGAGCCCATCGAATAGCACGACGTGCGGCATAGCCAACCATGACTCCGAAGAAGGCGCCGAACAAACACTCGTACAAGATGGTGTAGCAGAACCAGTGGAAGAAAACCTTGTCAGCATCTGGGCGGTATCGAATGAGGTAGATGGCCAAGTAGACGAACGGGAAAGCCATGCCGTCGTTGCATCCGGATTCTGCTGACAGTAAATCTCGCAAATGCTTGGGCACTCGCTTTGCGAACTTTCCCTTTCCAACGACGGATGAAGCCAGGACAGGGTCAGTAGCAGTAACGCAGGCGGCGATACACAGACTGTCAAGCCAGTTAAGATGAGAGCTGAATAGACCCCAGATGAACAGACTAGTGATTAGCCACCCAAATGTCATGACCGGAATCAGCAACAGCGAGACGGATCTCCAGTGCTTCTCCATGTATGCCCTGGGCAACTCGACACCAACGGCGAAACATTGTACAACCAGGACGATACGCGAGAACTCGAGGGTGATGAGATCAACATTGCCCCAGGATCCCGGATCTATCAAGTTCGCGGCGTGTGGTCCGAATATGATTCCGCATAGCGTAGCTACTGTAGCTTCACCAATGTACAGGCGCTCCTTGATGACCGAGGAGCACAGCATAAACAGGCTGGTGAAGCCGCCAAGGATGATGTACACCAAGTGCGGCTTGGTAATGGAGAGATGTTCCCACGCCATGTTGTTGTTTGGGGTTGTCCCGGGTAAACGGCAATCCTGCAGTCGTGCCTAGATATGCTTCTGCTTATGGAAAGCTTGTGCAGTGGGTACGAGCGAAACAACACCCTAGGGGTTGCGTTTGCGCAGTTTATTGATCGTTCGTTATCGACTCAAGCGAGAGGTCGTGTTAGGTAGGGAGGAGAGTAGAGGCCTCAAAGCCGTCGGGCTGTTGAGATGGATCGGACGTGGGAGAATGCAGTGTCGAGACCGGATGCATGTATTTCGCAGGTGCGCCCAGTCGCCGCTCCCTAATGCCCTAGTTGGCGTAAAGTTTTGGCTCTTGTCGAAGAAACCGGTGGATTTTGTGGGGAAAGGCGCGAACGGGTCCTATCTGGAACCTGTAGGGACGAGTGAGTGGTAGCCCAGATGCAGAGTGTTGAGAAACCCAAGAGATTTCGCGCAAGCTTACAGGATCCCAAGTTGTGCTCGGCACGATGCTTGGAAGTGAAAAGCTCAATCGTGGGCGCAAACTGCCTTTGCCTTTTGGGTCGCGCTTAGCAGTCTCCCAAACTTTGTCTCGGTCGAGACAACAATGGCGCGTTCCGTTTGCGAAGCCGTGTCTTCAGGCTCAGTCGCACACCCAATGCGCGTCGTGGAGAATACAGCAGAAACAACTGCGACGACTGCGAGAGATGGCAGAGGGCAGACAAGGCGGAGGACCGTTGCCGAGTAATTGATGCTAGTCTCTTGGTATGCCCTTGGCTGTCGTAATCGCTGCACGCCAGATATCGGCGAATCGCGCGCCACCTGAAGCCGCCGCAGATGCCCTTTTGCCAGTACAAGGCGCAACAACGACGGATAACGACGATGCTGTCTGGCAGAGAACCGACACGCAGGACCACTAGGAACTGTCAACCCGTCATGAAGTCGTTGGGACCGTTTCACTCTCTCCACCAAAACATCAGCCGCGGCGGAGATGCAGCGCTTTCCGATTGGCAGGGCCTCCCCAACACCCAGCCGCACCTCAGATATCGTGCCCGCGCCCACGTGCAGCTAATCTCTTCAGAGCAAACATGTCCAGCTGACAAAGACGCTGCAGTTTCTCTGTCACATGATCACATGATGTGTGATATCTATGCAGCGCTCTGCAAGAACATGCACCCATGCCTGTCGACAAGACTTCTGTCAGCGATTTGCGGTGGGGTAATCTGCGCTCGAGTGCAGCATCATCGGAGCCGGTGCGGAGATCTTCTCATCCATTGTGAGTCGTCGAGACGAGGCCCAGTTGCTGATTAACTACCTCCATCTCTGTTGAGAATTGATGTTGCTCCGAGTTCGTTCAGAATCCAGCCTCACTTCCAGTGGATCCGATGTGGGGTATCTATAAGCGAAGAGGCGTGAACCATGTCAGGACTTCATTCTGGCGGTGAAGCTCGGTCGGCTGCACTCGAGCAATCCACGCGAAGGTAAACCCCTCAAATCCTTGGGGAGGATGCAGATATACGTGGCTACGCACAGCGATCACCGTGGCGGTAAGCGTCGCGGTACAAACCGCAAAAATCAATAATCGTGTATCGCGATCTACGTCTGGGCAACCTCAAATGCAACACAACTTTCATATCGACAAGTCTAGAGTGTAGTGTACAAGTGAATGCTTTCACAACTTTCAAGTATGAGACAGTAGCATGGTGTTTAAATACCATCACCGAAAAGAAAGCTTCACGTAGTCCAAAAGTCAATTCGTATCTTGTACTGCATAGGATCGACTCGACCCATGCACCAAAACATAACAAACCCACGCGCTACCACAAACACGCGCCCTGTTCCTTACACCCCCAACCCTCCAAATCTAGACCCGCAGATCCCCTATACCACCGCGCATCAATGCAAAAAATGAGGCTGAGCGTCGTCTCCCTTGGGCATCAAGTCGACTAGAAAGTCTCACCGAAGAAAGAAGAAAAGAAAATCTCCGCTGCGCTTCAACACGTTCCCCGAAAATCTCCACCCACGTCACCGCTCCTTCGTCGTTACTGACACGCCGGCCCATCCCAGTAATGTCTACCAGGATCGCCGTGGTTCGAAGAAAGGGGATCGTGCAGTATCCGTGCTGAAACGCTGGATGGTAGAGTTGCCGGAAACTTGGAAGCTCGAGCTTGGTTGTATCGGATGGTTAGCTTGCATCATGAGTTAGCTGTTGCATCGAGGACTTTATGTTGGAAGTGTGAATGTTGAATTGTTGAATGTTTGATGTATTGAGTGTATATGTGGTTCGAACTATGTACAAACGCTTGATAGAATAGCGTGTGTCGCTTGATTTGTATGTAGACGCCGATTGTACGCCAGGGGTGCTCCAGCTACCCGTCAGAAACATGAGCAAACAGCATAGCTAGCAGTAGTAAATAATGCGATAGACGAATTCATGCCCTCGAAGACGTTTTACCCATGCTCCAGATTTCCGCACCGGGATGTTCCCAAAAAACATGCAAAACATCTGTCTAAAAGCGCTGTATCTTGAAAAAAATGGCATGTTGGAAATGAAATATATGTACCGAAACCATGATGCATGTCTCATGTCGTCATAAAATATAATGGTGGTGGTCGTGGTACTTAATGTCCGACAGGGAGCCACGTTCTTCTTTCGTCCATGCTTCTGTTCGTGCGGCCACCAGGGGTCAAGGGAATCTCAACACGAGCTCGATCATTGCGCTCGGGGTCGCTGTCGTCATCGTATGCGTCCGAGAGTCGTGAGAAGTAATCTGCGAGACCGCTGGTGGGTGATGCGATGGTCTCGTATAGAGGAGGCGGAGTCTCTAGAGGTGGGGGCGGCTCTTCCTCGCTGAATGCTGGCGGGTTAAAGGACGGGACTCGCATTAGGTGAATAGGTCTTTGTACAGTTGAGTCGGTCGGTCCGCCAATGTGTGCAGCTTGTGGTCGTGCGAGTTGGGGTGTGGGAATGTTTGCTGCTTCTGAGTTGTTTCGCGATCGGCCCATCGAGCTTAGTGTTGGCACAAAGCCGGTGGGAGAGGTTCGCCGCACCGGGGCGTTGGGGCATCCGCATTCGGGTACTCGTGTGCCACCAAGTACAGGCTCAGGTGACGAATATGCCGGGAGTGCTGTATTCGCTTGTGTCGCCTGGCAGGATAAAATGTGGAAAGGTGAGTCGATGGAGATCTCAAAGTGGCGTCTCTTAGTGGGATCAGTTGCATCGGGTTTTGACAGTCGCATTACAAGCTGATGAACAATTAGCGTGGAAATCTCTGAGCTGTTTGGATGAAATACCTTGATCCAGTGATGTACCTGAATGTTCTGGTACGTGGTATCAAAGTGTAACCTGTGCGCCTTTTCCTTTTCACGTAGATTATGGCAGCTTGGTAGTTGCACGTTGAACTCCATCTCAGTGGGACCGACATTGGCGTCCCCACCAAGGTTACCCAAGAGATTGGTCGAGTCCTGCACCTGGACATCCTCGCCACGCGCAGCGGCAGCTCTTTGATCGTATGGAACCCCTCCTCCCGACACTATCCGCATTGTGCTACCGGGAAATGTGCTAGTTGGTGGACCGTCTGCCCGCTTCTCGAACAACTGGACTTTACGGACGGGCTCCATTCGATGAACACGCTTGTTGTTGCAGAAGTATTCGACATTCTCTGTAACGAAGACCTTGATGCGGTGACATTGCACTTTGGCAAGTGGCGTAAGCTTGAATGCAATGGGAACTTGTGCGCCCAGAGGGAACGATTTTCCAGAAATGACAATGTCGTAGTGTAATTGGTCCTCCCAGCTACGGCTGATAGCAATGGGCTCGACTTGCTCCAATGAGCCCTCGGATGGGGCGCGGATGAGTGTGACCTCCTTGGTCCCGACAAGATTGGTACGGAATGCTCCAGCCCGCTCGACTGTCGCCTCTAGCTCATACTTGACAGAACCAAGGTCGACGTCGATAGTCTCAGGGAGATGGCTGTCCAATGGGAGCTCGAAGTTGTATGTGTACTCGCCCGCATTGAATGTCCTGTACCCCTTCTGTGCGACCGATGGTCCGCCAGATGGGGTTTCACCTTTGCCGAAGCTTCGCGATTGGTTGACCTGGAGTGACAGACGCTTCGCTTCCCTGGTCGTCAAGTTCAGCGAGGAGTTGTTTGGCGAACCGCCGAGACCGCCGGTACTTTTGTACAAATCCACACGATCTGCGCCGGTACCAGTTTCCGCCGTGGGAAATTGTGAGTTGAAGAATGGCCAAGTGTGGCTCATCAAAATGTCGAGTTCCTCGAATTCAACCTTTTTTGGCGGAATGCCCTCCGGCCACTTGGTAAGGGCCTTGCCTCGGAACTTTAAAGTTATAGCCTTTAGTTTTGCGGGTTTCGAGATCTTGAGCACGAGCGTTCCACGCAACATTGCCGTATTCCGCTCAGAATTTTCATTTTGCTCAAACCCTCGCAGAAAGAGCACGGGCTCTGTGAGTGAGATGTTGACGTTGACGCCTCCGCCAGATGCCACAGGCTTTTCCTCGGGAAGGGTCTTGACACTGCTAATCATGCTTTTGGCCGATGCTCTTCCAGACGACCAAGGCGATTCTGAGAGAGATGGTCGAGGGACGGTTGGTGCGGTCATGGCACTGATTGCTCCAGTCGAGTTCCTGTTGCTAGACCTCATCTCCGTTTCTGCCGGCACCGCTCTTTCTGGGAAGGATGCCACAGAGTTTCTATTGCTGCTGGCCGTGCTTGTCGAAGATCGCGGCGTAGGTATGTCGCTAGCTTCTTTGCCGGAGGTGAAGCGATTGTCGATGAAGGATCGAAGGTAACGCTTCGCGCTTTCCCTAGGGCCCGCCAGCTTTTCGGTGAAGTAGGTTTTGCTGGTAGACTGACGTTTTTCGCGGCGGAAGAGGATGGGGTCGGGAGTGACGTGAGCGATGTGAATGCGGTGCGGCCGGCGATTGCGCCCTTGGTAGATGCCTCGACGAGCTGGTGAGGCGTCGAAGAGATGTTCTGGAATGTATCGTAGACGACCACGATCACTATATACGTTTTGGTATTCTGTCATAGCGAACAGCGGCGTCAGTTGGGGTCAATGGCAGGCTGTGCAATGCTCGACATGCGGCGGCTTGGTGACTTATAACGAAGCGAAGGTGTGCACGAATTAAACTATAGGCTTGTGCGACTCTGGAGAGTCATGAGAGGGGTACAAAGGGGACGCTGGTTACAGTAGCATAACCATGTCCCTGGTCGATGCTTTAGGACGGGGCACGTATATGTTGGGGGTATGCAAGACAAAGGCCCAAACGCGGTGAAGAGGAAATGAGACAGGGACTCACAGGTCAAGAGGGTATCAAAATGGAGTGCAGGGCATAGTAGATGTCAAATGTGTGATCGGCGACAGCTGTCGAAGGTAGTCTTGTGGAGCGGTCAGGGTGCCACTGGATCGGATGTGCACGGGAATTTCCCTGCTGGAAACGCAAATGCGCTGGCGTGGGTGAAGAGTGCTCAGTCAGGTTGTGACAACAGACGAATAGCAGGGACCACGGTAGTTTTGACCTGGAACCAGGCTAGCAGACAGGCATGTTACGAAGCCGAATGTCAGACCAAGACAGGGCGAGCGCACAGGCTGGCCGTTGGTGATTTGCAGGGAGTGGGCGGATGACGCGGAGTCGGGTGTGGTTGTAATGTTTCAGCGGGGTTCGCAGCGGTAACGTGCGATTCGGGCAGATGGTTTGCAATAGCGCAGCGGCCGCTCGTGGGTGCTCCAGTAATGGCAGCGTCAGTCGCGAGCGCACGTTAATAATGGTGCGTCAACAATGGTGACAAAGGCTGAGGTGTTGAGGAGCTTTCTCGGGCATAGGCTCCGCGCCGGCCAAAGCAAAACTCCTTTCCTAGGCGTGCTCGACAAGAGGGACGGTCGGATGCATTACATCATCTCGTGCACCAAAGCTCGATCATGGACTGGAATCTCTGCAGGGCTTCTCAGCACCATGGCCTGGAGCAGTCTAGCGACCGCATCCACGGCTGGTTCGGCAAGGTACTTGCGCAGCGCTCCGGCCAGCTTGCGCGGACAGCAACAGCTCGTACTAGACAAGACGGCTAAGCCTCACGGCGCGCAATGGTGACAAGTCGAGACGTGGTCAGCTACTCATCTCGAGACAAGTCATCTCTCACTGCGCCCATGCACCGAGTTTCCAGCTGCATCCATGTGCGCTCAAGTGAGGTGTTTCCTGTTTCTGAGCATGCAGCCCAATCTCGCAGCATGGTGCGGGACTAGTTTCTTCGTGCATGTTGGCAGACTGGCAGGTAGCGCGGGCGGATGTGACGATGCCTGCTTGGGATCAAAACAAAAAAATGTAGTTCCCGATGGCGTAATGATGTGCGTCCGGGGTGCTCAATTTGGAGGTCTGGAGAAGGATGCTGTGTGATCGCCGCACGTTGCGGTGTCGGCAGGCACATGAGCCGATGCCAACTCACATCTGAGTCCAAGAGATTAGAGGCCGTCATACTCGTCATAGTCATTGCACTCCTTATTTCCATGGCATAGCGCACGCAATCACGGTCGGCCTGACCTCGGCATGGGGCAGCAGAAATTGTCGTAGCGACGTAGCCACTCGGGCCTTTGTAGATCGTCAGGGAACGATCGCGCCGGGCGACAAGTCCAACCATGATGTTAGGCGATCGGGTGTGGCTTTGTGCACGTGACTTCGCTCCACCAGCGCCTTCCCCGCAACGCGCCTTAGCTCGTCGCGTCCGAAGCCTGCACACGACCATCGCGACTTTTGCGTGCGGCAACATCCGCGATGGAATCTCTAGATGGGGGATACCGTACGTCTCCAGGTGCTGCAAAAAGACCCATTGACTCACACGAAACAGGGACAAGCAACAAGCCCCTGAGCGGTGCAATCCTGTGCTGCACATCGATTGCCCCCGAGCAGCGCGTAAGTGCCCATTCATATCTACATGCTTCGTCTGACATCACATGCCAGTCAAACTTGGGCAACATTGGCGCAGACCTGGGCGCAACGATCAAGCTCGACCTCACCTCGGACGTAACCCACCTCATCGTCGGCAGCATCGACAGCAACAAATATCGCTATGTCGCCCGATCCAGAGAAGATGTCAAAGTGCTCTCGCCCGCGTGGCTCGAGGCCATGCGCGAGGTCTGGCTGGAAGGTCATGATGACTTGGACGTAGCTGCACTGGAAGAGGAGCATCGGGTGCCGACATTCTTCGGGCTCAAGATATGTCTGACGGGATTCGACAATCGTAAGGGAAGCACCACGCAGCCATGGCACAATGCTGACAAGGCATAGCCGAACAGCGACGATACATCCAGGAGACGGTGGACAAGAACGGAGCCGAGTACCATGGCGATCTCACCAAGGCCGTCACCCATCTCATCGCGGCCACCCCCACGGGCAAGAAGTACGAGCACGCGGTCAATTGGAGAATGAAAATCGTTTCGTTGGAATGGTTCCAGCAGAGTCTCGAGCGCGGCATGGTACTGGACGAGGCCTGCTACCATCCGACCATACCAGTCGAAGAAAGAGGCAAGGGCGCTTGGGACCGCAGAGAGTTCCCGCCTGCGCCTGCGAGTGCGAAGCGCGCAAGAGAATCAGAACCCAGTCAGGCGCTCAATCCGTTCCGAAGGAAACTTCGACGCTCGGCCAGTACAAGACTGGGTAGCCAGAGCGCGGAGCTATGGGCCGGCATCACTGCAGCAACCACAGAAAGACAGCAAGACAATGGAGACGATTGGACCGAAGACCTCGATAAGCAGGATACACCACGAGAGCATGCGCCCGCAATACATCCGCACGATTCGATAATCCCTGAAAATGATGCACGCGCCGATGCAGACCCTGCGAAAGATCATCACTTAGTCGCATTACCATCCCGACAGTCACACAACGATATCGCCCAAGGTGTTTTTGCAGGACGCATTGTCTTTCCCCATGGCTTCGACGAAGAAAAGGTAATTGTGTCACGAAAAGAGTCTAGATTTTTCTGACAGCTCGCTAGACCAACATTCTGCGGCAACACTTGCAAGACAAGGGCGCTCATGTTCCCCAAAGTTCCGAACTTAACGCTCTTGCCCTGGATGACCTCAGAAGCGGTTTTCTTGTAGTTCCGCATGACGCTCAAGTCGACCTCACATCTGTTCCGGAACGAGCCGGATCGGTGCTGAGCCTGGTCACTAATTGGTGGGTGGAGCGATGTCTGTACGGGAAGCGACTAGTCGACCCCGCAGACGACATTCTCAGCAGGCCATTCGATAAGCACAGCATTAGTGGTGAGTGCTAGCGATGAAGGTTTTGTGATTCAATAACGCTGACGTCGACAGGGTTTGCTGGCCTCACGATCAACTCCACTGCTTTCGTCGGCATCGAGCTTCTCCATGTGACAAAAGTTGTTGCCCTTATGGGTAAGACACTAACTCTGCGTGTACCCGCTAGTCTAACATCCGCTAGGAGCAACATATGATGAGCAGCTTTCTGCCAAGACCTCGGTGATCGTCTGCAATACACTAGAACCAAATGCTCAAAAACTCAAATTTGCTACTGATCGGCGCATCCCAGCTGTCCACGCGACATGGCTGTGGGACTGTCTGCGATATGGTCAGCTGCAACAGTTTGGCAAGTACCAGCTCAACACGTTGGCGCCGCCTCAGCCGCACAAGCCGAAGGCGAAACCTCAGTCGTCAACTGAAGTAGCTACGGCAAGGTTGTCTACGGCAGAGAGCTTCGAGCTTCAGCAGAAGAAAGCGCAGGCTGCAAAGAAGGGCAAAAAGCCCCGGGGCCCACAGAAGCCTCGAGCTCTCGATCTCGCGCCCTCTGTAGACCCAACACCTGCATCAATAAATGATGCAATAACGAACTCCGGCACTCATACTAGTCATGAAAACCACGATGAAGAGGAAGCACCGATACCTGGTCTTGATGGCTCGGCTTCGATGCCGTTGCGGGACATCAGTGCAAACTCGTCTCGTCGTCCATCAACCACCTCAATAGATTCAAAATCTGCATCAAGACAGCGTAGTTCTTCAGCGGAGTCACTGATAAGACCAGCAGCCCAGCGCAAGACTAGAGCGACAAAAGAGCCAACACCTGACTCTGTGATCCCCGCAGATACTGAGCCAGCAGCCCCACCACCACAAGAGGAACCACCAGAAGAGAAGGACTATTCTGACATTTTAGCGCAACTACGGGCAAGTCGTAAGCCATTGCCTTCACCAGCTGATGCGAATGCTTCCACTCGCCGGAGAGGACGCAGACAACTCGGCCGGGCTACATCGACTCGCTCGAACGACTCTACTGCCGATAGCTCTGGACAACTCAATCTCGATGGCGACGATGACAAAGAGCAGGCACAGGAGTATCAGCCCAGCCAAGAGTTAGGCTGGGACTCACCCGGCGCTGCGAAAGCGAGGGAGCAGATGATCAAGCGGTTGGGTGGTAAAGTGACAGAGACGAGTGTGAGAGTAGAAGGTATCGGTGTTGTTCGAGACGTTGCGAGCGAAAACGCGGGCGGGAGAATGCCGCGGAAACGACGAGAGAAGGGATTCTAACTATGTTATATGTGGTCGGTCTTTCGCACAAGAGTCTTTTTTGCATAGCGAGCGTCACGGAGCACAACAACCGGCGTCATGTCATATATACACTGCATCATACAGGCGTTACTATCTCATAATACACCCTACCATCAAACCTCACACAATCACAGTCCATAAGTAACCTTCAATCTCCTCTCCAAATGCTCCTTTGCAGTAATAACCCCCTCATCCCCACTCTCAATCCCCAACCTTTCCCTCTGCCCTTCCAACTCCTCCCTCCCCTTATCCCCAAACGCCCTAATTACCCGACTCTCCACCCCTTCCAAGCGCACTTCATCCCCCGGATGGCAGAAATACGCCATGCTATACCTCTCCTCGCCGCCCCCAAACGTCACTCGGTGCACCGTCGACTTGAGCATCCCGTTCGTCCAGTAACACAGCAGATCCCCGATATTCACTAGAATTGGGGGAGAGGAAGGGGAGGGGGAGGGGGATGGATCGACAGGCACACTAGTCCATCCAGACGGTGTGAGCAGTTCGAGGCCAGCTTGGCCCGGGAGACGGAAGAGCAGGGTCAAGCTGCCGTAATCCGAGTGCGCGCCTGCACGGATCGATGTCGGTGATGCAGAGGATGTTTTGGGATAGTACAACATGCGGAAAATCGTGCCGCTCTTGCTTTCCTCGTCATGTCGAGAGGCAAAGTAATCTTCCTCAGACACCTCGAGCGCGGTGCCGAGCAGCGACAGGATAGATACACATAGCGCGTGGCAGGACTTTTGGAAACGCGTTATCAATTCGGTGTGCGAGGACAATGGGGCTGGGAGGGGTTGCAGACACGGATGCGGAGGGCCGATGTTAAATGCTTCCTTGGGGTCGGAGGTCTGCGCGTCCAGGGCTTCGCCGGACATGCGCACCCAGCCGCGGTTGGGGCCGCCAGCGGAGGGGGTGTGGATTGCGTAGGCGGACTTTTGGGAGAAGGGGGTTGAGAAGAAGGATTTTGACTGGAAGCACCGTGTCAACTAAGACATAAAATGCAAACTCAGGGGTGGAAGCGCACAAGAGAGAACATTTCGTCAATGTCTTTTTGAGGGATGGTTCTACCATCATTCTTGATGAAGAGGAAGCCGTGGGTTGAGGCTGCGGAGAGGACTTGTTGGGCGACTTCTGGGGAGGGGGAGGAGATATCAATGACGGGGATAGTTGATTGGGACATGATTAATTGTGGAGATGCGGTGATAGGATGACAATGAGAGAGATGCAGGAGATGAGAAGAAGGACTGTGGAAGAAGTTTGGATGTGATTTCTGGAGATAAGCGGGGTGAGGTGTGATAGAATGTTTGCCGGTACAATTTGTTATCCGAATTTGTTTTTACCAGGTCTAACGAGTACTATGTTTCCTGATTGATATCGACATAGGTCTTGTTCAAGTGTCAGACTTGTTGTGCGGCTGCATGCAGCGGTCCTTCCATGTTTGTACCTGGAGCTAGTGGCGAAAGCGGTAAGATCGAACGGGAGCGCTACGTTACGGGTGCCAAGACCGAGTTTGGTGTCGGAGGGAGCTCCAATTCCCCAAACTTCCCAGCTTCTCGAAATTCCCCGCAGTGAAACAGAACAGCTGTCCTTCACCTACCAGCAGTCACGATACCTTCGAACATACCGCCACAATCAACCGCCTGCCCGGACATTCTTACCCCGCGACGATTTTCTAGAAGCCCACACTCAGACACTCGCACGCGAGGCTCAGCATGATTCGCGACTTTGAGCAGTGGAATGCCAACATTGGCGAGCTGTCAGAGCTGCAGGAACTTTCGGGATGCCGTGTAGGAGTAGAAGCCGCCGATTACCTCACGAACCGCATTCTCAACTCCCCCCGCGCAAAAGAGCCGCTCGTACCAGCGCTTGGAGGCCTTCCGCTGGCGCTACAGCAACATATCGAGGAAGATCTGGAGGCGTTCAAGAGAGAAGGCATAGAGCCTTGGTTCGTCTTCAGCGGGCTGGACATCACAAAGCAGGACGAGCCATTCCGACAAAAGCAAGATGAGGCATTAGTTAACGCCAATGCATGGAATCTTTACGACACTCATCAGGCGGAAGCCTCAGTGTCTAAGTTCGGCGAATCAGGTGAGAGAGAGAAGGAACAGTACTCTTCAACAGTAGCTGATAATTCGTAGCATATGTCACAGCCGAAGATCTCTTCCCCGCGCTCCAGGCCATCCTCACCAAGCACGAGCTTCGCTTCACCGTCGCACCCTACAGCGCATGGGCCCAGGTACATTCAACACGGCCGTGCGAACTTCGGATGACTGACAACACATAGCTGGCATACATGGAGCGCACGGGCTTCTGTGCGGCCATCTCTGGTTCCTCAGACATCCTGCTCTTCGAATGCGACAAGATCATCACATCATGGGATTTTGAGGAGAATCAATTCCGCTGGACGAAGCGGTCAAAATGCATCAGCGACCTCGAGAGGTTTGCCAACAACGGCACCGTCACGGAGGACATATTTGTGGATGCCCTCCTACTCGCCGGCACACCTTTCCTTCCCACGTTACCGAACCTCAACTCGCCGAACAGGACAGACCTCCTGAAACCACACGGCGCTATCAAGATGATCATGAGCATGAGCAACGGCAAGTCGGGCCACTCAGTCGTCATCAACAACCACGACGATCCGCGCTTCAAGCAGATGGAGTATGTGGACCGATACCAGAAAGCACGCTCTGCAGTCAGAAATCACCCAATCTACACAATCGAAGGCAAGATCGAACCTCTGGACACAAGTAGCATGCCCAACGATGCGGTCAACTATCTCCAATCAAGGCTGCCAGATGAGGTCTACCACTATCTCTCAGCAGGCCTGATCAACGCACGCGTGCTCCAATGGCGTACTACGTGTCACATATTCGATGTCCCACCCATGGATGGAGGCGACTCACCTGAGTACAGGACCCTGGTAAGCTCTAAGCTCACACCGTTACGGACATCGGCGATCAACCTGCTTTCGAGTTCGCTGCACAACTGGTACCGGCATAAGAATCTGGAGCAGAGGTGCTGGTTCTCGGACCCTGCAGCTGCGCCGCAGGAAATCCGCGTCGTTGGAACCCAAGATAATCTTGCGATTGTGGACACTTGGAATGTTAAAGAGGCAACGCTAAAGGACGCTGTCTCTAAACATGACGTAAGAAGCCACTTAAAACTTTTCAGTCACATACTTACAAATTGTAGGGACTTGGTCCCCTGGGTTCTGCCGTTCTCTCGCTACAAAATGCCGATTTTGCCGCAAAGACGGTATCGAAGAAGAACCCAGCTAGTCCGTTATCGACAACAGATGAGATCCTGTACAACTCGATATGGCGGTTCCTTGCTCTGCGCGAGTACGTTGACGCAAAGCACAACCTCACAGCATGGGGCAAAGTGCTTGCAGCTGCAATCTCCGGTCTGAAGGGTAAACCAGAGTTGGAAGATGCCGCCGTTGTAGCTGTCGAATTGTTGCGCATGGGTACACTTAACGCCGAGATCAATATGTTCCCGACCTACAATGGCGCACCAATGCGCGGTAGTAGTATGTCTGCACCTGCTCTTGGAGATTACAGGATGCTAATATCCACATAGCAAAAGATCAACAATACAACATGCTCGTGTCGAGAGTCGCTGGTCTGGGCGAGCTGAGACATAGGCCGATTGGCTTCACAGGACCACTGAGCCAACATTTACTCGGCTACAACTCCATCATAAACACCGTACGACAAACTCTCCGCGATCTCATCGAGGTCGCTTCAACGCACATGTTCTTGACAGGCTGCTGCAACCGATCTGCAGTCAACCTATCTCAGATCGCCGCGAAGTATGTCTTCTATCTCATCTCTTGTCGAACTCACTAACATGATACAGGCTTCCTTTCCTCCTCCCCAACAACTGTGCTCTCAGCATCGCCGTCAAATCCTACCTCGACGAACTCCTGAGCAACGACGCAAACCCCACCGCCCCAGACACGAAGGCCCGCGTTCTCGAAACCGCATCAACGCGCTACTTTCCACAATCCATTGACTTTAAAGGCGACTTGACCAAAGCGTTTGAGTTATGGGATGCCATCTACGAAGGAGTGAAGAATGGAGGTAGTGCAATCCCCGAGTCGAATAAGAAGTTCTGGACCGAGACGAATGAGTGGCTGGCTGCGAGGCGATAGGATGCCTCCAATCCCGTGGTCTCGCAGAGTCTGGAAGGTTGGGTGTTCGTCGAAGCATAGCCTCAATCAGAAGCGATCGTAGTAGCTGCATTGAGCGAAGACATCTTTCGTGTCAATCGCGCAACGCACGAAAGACGAATCAACTCCCTTCGTGTCTCAACAGTTTCTCAATTATCGTTCAATACTATTGCTGGCAGGTGCTATTATCTGCAATTCCTGTAGCGTTTGTGCCTTTGTTATCGTTCATCTTTCTGAGAAAGCTACCTAAGCGATGATATTCCACCTCCCATGGTCGACTGGAGGTACATGTTGTTGCCATTGGCCGCAGTGCATGAGCTAATGCAGCCACAACCTTGGACATCAAGCGAGCTGAACTTGAGGAGAGCGCGGACCGATGCATCAACACACACTTTCGACCGCATCTCGTCCACCACGAACGCCGTTGTATCCCTGAAGAAGTTCCATGTGTGGGAGATGTCACTCGCAGCGCTTGTCGCCAAGGTCGCAGTGCTTGAGCCGGGTATGTTTGACAGTATAATGCTCACTTCCAACAGCGACTAAGCGATTAACAGAGATCTTAGAGGAGATCAGTGGAGCACGTCAATTTGGCAAGCACCCGTCTATAATTAAAATTAACTTAGCTCTTAAGCGCTTCAAAACGCGATTCGAATCAGATGACCTCCCTACGAGTGGCGACATCCACGGCTTTCTGGACTCCATAGAGAATGTACCTGATCTAGATGTATTGTCATCTCAACACTTCTCGGATCTCTACTTCAGTGAGTGCTTTCACAAAGCACTTGACTCCACCCTTTATGTTATCATTGCCAGACTACAGGAAAGGTCCAGCCACGCTGACTTACTTCGGACGATCAACGAGTCATCAGATGGCAAATCTTTGGCAGTAAAAGCTGTAGAACGCACGTTGGTGAGAAGCCTTGGGCTTTTACTGCTTTGTAGTGCTACGCTTGGTCATGACCAAACACCTTGGACAGTGTTCCAAAACTTGGAATCTTCCACGTTGGGCGGCAGACCATTCATGCGCAAGCGATTCACCAAGTATCAGAAGAGACTGCGAAATCTACTTGATCTCAGTATCCTTCAGCATATGCCTCCAGAGGAATACTTTACGTACGATATTCGTCACGGGAAAGGGCGGAGCAGGCCATATAACGTCCGACGCGAGGAACCTGTTAGTTCGTTGACTGAGATTACGCAGTCCTGGGACATTACAAAATCGCCCGAAGGACTGACATGGATTCACGTACCATCTACCAACGTGAGCATGCGCGTGGAAATATCAACTTATTCGGCTAACGAAGCTAGGGACTGACAGTCAAGGTAGTAATCATGAGCACACTTGCACCATTTCTAACTCCTCTAGGCTCTAATTGTAGCCGTGCGAGACGACTTCGTGGATTCTTTCACCATGCGCTTCCACTTGTCGCACGTGGCTCCTGGCGACCCTCTTTTGACGTATCGAGAGGTGCAGTATTGGTCGGACGCCACGGATGGAATCGCATTGAATGTAATCGTTGTATGTATGAAGCGCTAAGCTCGTGGCGCATTGCTCATAGGTTTAGTTCCCATGTCTAGCTCTCACTACCATCGGTCAACACATTGCACGTCGCGGAGAATACAAAGTATTACGAGACATGCTAACAACTGCGACCTCAGGGGCATACTCCTCTGATTGTACCGTCCATTTAGACCGTACCCTGGATGAGGCTTACTTCCCAGGTCTTTCTGCGAGCGACTTGGCAGTGAGAAACGCAGATCAAATCGTTTCTGGCAAATACAGCACTAGTGAAAGCTGGCCCAAGGACAATGTACCTATTGTGATCGTCCCACAGCTCTGGCTTTGGAGGATCGGAAATGTGATTGTGTCCGCTCATAACACCACGCAACAGTCTGGCAATCTGCGCCATATCGTTTGGCGCGACAAAGGGTCAGGGCCTGCGAGATACGCGCCCATCGTCGACCAGATGGACGCTGACTTGCAAATGGGATTAATTATGACCGACTTCATCTACGCATTCGGCCAAGAGACAACCCTCAACGACGGCTCCAAAGTACCACCAACTCTCGATTTATTCGAGAGCCGCGTAGTATCGCTATTGTCTGAAGTCAAGACTTATATTCGAGATACTAAGCGCAACGCCATCGACTACGACACTGAAGAACGGTTTTACCACGTCCTCTCCGATTGCCGAAGTGAGCTCGCAATGCTCCAACATGTGTTGGAGCAACAAGACGAGATACTGAACAGCCTCCTTGAAGATTGTTGTCATCCGCAACCGTTTGCATCAAACCAGCCAAACTCAACGTCTATGACCCCTTCTCAAACTCCAGCCTCAGGCTCACCACTTAGCCACATCGAACCTGTACCCGATTGGACGCCCGTGAGGAAAGGCCAAGTCATACTGGAGCGCTACCAGAAGCGAATCCGAAAGATCGATGGAGACGCAGAGCGCATCGAGAAGAACGTCCAAGACTTATTGAATCTAAAGCGCACATATGCCAGCGTGCAAGACTCGCACGCGAGCGTGCTACTCAGCATTGCAGCTATCGGCTTCGCTGTTGTAACTATCATCTTCGCACCTCTAGCATTCTTGACCGCGCTGTTTGCTTTGGACATGCAAGGTTTCGATAGGCTTCGCGTACATGTTACTAGTGAGAATGAGCCTGGAGGTTTGAGCGGCGCAGGAGGAAAGCAAGATTTGGCGGCTAATGTAGTCACTAACAAAGATGCCGTATATGATAGTAGAAAAATGGCCGGCGTCTTCAGTAAGGCATTGTTCTTTCTCTCGTATTAATCTCGAAGTCTGACGATGTCTAGTCAGCACAGAGATCTTGACGATTCTAGTGACCTGCTTGTTGGTGTGGGCGTCTCTGCGATGGTTTGGCATCGAATTTGGAGACTTTCGTATTGGACAAGATGCGAAACATCAGTCTGAGAGCAGCACGGCTCAGGGAAGCGATACAGCATTAGACAAGAATACTGTTAAAGGCAGCAGAGATCAACGGAAGGGCGGCTCGTTTTGGAAAAGAACAGAATCAAGAGGATCGGATAAGCATGCAGATCTGGCGTAAAAGTTGACGGGTACAGGCGAGATAAGAAAGCATGGTTTAGCATATTTGAGAGGGCTGCCGGCCTCGTGATGTGGAGTGACTTCTGGCATCGAAAGCGGTTGGCGTGGTGAGGAACAACTGTGCTCGTACATTTGCTAAGGCCGTTGAATCGAGACTCATTGATGACGATAGTCTCTGGGAGACTGCTGGAAGTGATTCATGTTCATGGCAATGCATGTGAATGCATCTGACGATGACCAAGCTCTATGGGTTTGTTCGCGTAACTCATCATAACGAGGTGTGCATGTGCGATGGCTTCTACTTGCGGCACAGGTTTCGAGATGCTTGTGTAATGTGGAGCGGGGTGATTGGTCCATCTGACTTCTTCTAAACTCTGCCGGGCCAGTTCAATCATCGTCATTGTACGGCAAGGTACATTGCGCATGACTCCGAGGTGTTCTCTGGTGCACCATGGCCATAGTCGTCCAATCAAATTCGCTCATCTGCCTGGGCAGCTAAGCCAAGAATCTGCCCACTATTAGTTGTAGCACAGAACCTGCGGCTCAAGTGGGGTGCGTTCAACCCGATCAGAACAAGTGATAGGAGTCGGACCGTTTTCCATACAGTAGCAAGGAATAGTCAAACCCGCCTAAGAGCATGTTTGCTGCTATAAGGGCTTTTCGCGCGACTTCGAGCGCATACTCCCTTTTACTATATTCTCACTTACTAAGCATGCTCTTTGAAGCATGTACAGTTTATTCAGTAAGGCAAAAGTCGCATGCGTTAAGAAGATATGGGAGAAGCAATGAATGCAAGCAGCTTCGCTGGATACTGGGACAGTTCTGCCATGCTCTCTAGCAATAACATTCTCGATTACGAATACACCACAGTCGATTCGACGCCCTGGCTACGAGAACATATTGGCCCATCCATATTCACGTCAACCTTTACACCGCTGGACGTTCAGACCACATCATTGCTAGACAACAATGTCTTTCCATTAGACCCAGCATTCAATTTCGTGGTGTCTGACAGCACAAACAACTTCAACAGCCATACATGTGGATCACTGGCTGAACACCCCGAAACACCTCGAACAGGTGCATCTGACGTATGCTTCCACGCACCACTACCCGCGCGAGTCGATAGCCACCAGTGCTGCTCTTCTTGTGAACAAATCACAACCTCAAAACTCCATCCCCCAGGTTCACAATTTAATCTCTCCTCTCCTTCACGACCCAAACGTCGCGGCCGTCCACGTATCTACCCCAGAGCCGATGATAAACAATACCTACCGAGTCCCGTATATCCGTCGTCATCAAATCGTGCACGTGCCTCCACGCGCGAGCAAAACCGCCTTGCAGCTCAGCGATTCCGCGCCAGACACGATGGTTACGCCGCGGGGCTGAATGCTCAAGCTTCGGAACTGACAATGAAGAATAAGGCGCTAAAGATGAGGATGGCGATTTTGAGAGAGGAAGTGCTGGGGCTGAGGTATAATCTTTTGAGGCATGTGGAGTGTGGGTGTGGGATTTTGGAGAGGTACGTTGAGGGTAATTTGGTAAAACTAGTTGGGATGGAGAGAGAGATGGGAGAGGAGGACGTCGACGGGAAGAAGGCCGGTGGGGAAGATAGAGAGGGGAAGGAAGATGATGGGGAAAATATCGACGGGTTGTAGGTGTGAAAGGTCCTAGTAACTCGGCAGAGGAGACTGTTGTTGAAATCATAAATCATATACGCAAATATTCGTCAGGCTTTGGCATAAATGGTGAAGATGCTGTAGAGCCAACATAGTGGTTTTGAGCTGCCATGAGTATGGAGGGTTGAGAAGCAGTAAGTGTTTGCGATCAATCGAAGGCTTGTGAATGCGCAGAGGCCCAGAGACATCGTTGAGGTGGTATTTGGAAAGTTTGATGTTACAATGGGATATGTACGTCCACCTGATTTCACGTGCTTACTGAAGGCCGTTTTGCGTAGTTGAGCAGTGAGGGAGCAAGAGGTATATAGTGAGAGAAAAGTGAAAGAGCAGCGAGAGAGCACATCGCAAAAGAATACGTTCCACGAATGGCGAATCATTTTGGTATCGGCCTCGACAAAAACAGCCTCCGGGACTGTTATCAACTCTTCCTCCACTAGCCAATTCTTCATCCATCAAAAAAATCTACCAGGTCATCAACATCATGACCCTCACTCTATCATTCGCCCTGTTCGTACTAGCTATCCTTCAGATTGTCACGTCCAACTTTGACGTCTACCAGACCCAAGAGATCAATGCCGTCGATGGATCGGTCTTCCAGGAGTGGGCCATCTTCGCCGCTGAGCCGGATTGCAACGAGGTTCTCAACTTCCCGTCGACTATTGGTTCGATCGAGATGATGTCAGCCGGAGGGTAGGCGTCCGTTGCGAGTCACCTGCCGATTGCGCCTCACGGCAGGCTGAGCGCATTCAGACCTTGGAGATGGCACTCAAGAACGAGAACCCTATTTATCATTGGAGTGAGTTGTACCCCGTTCCATTCCGATAATCGTATGCTGATACAATATTACTTAGCCATTTACAAGAACAAGAAATTCGACATGTACTGCCTGGACGGCTCAATATCTGTCAATTGCATTGTGTTCCATGGAGATGAATTCCAGTGCAGTCGTGTTATCGCTGCCGTCGGTGGCGTGAGGAAGTTCCGGTGTCTCACTGCTGTCACGGCTCAGGAGATCATCGATGCGACGAAGAAGGGCCTGGATCATGAGGGAAATTCGGCGAATAGCACCGATTCTTAAGCCTGAGTTTTGATTCAGCTTCGTGATGGGAAGATCGCAGAGTGAAAAGACCAAGACGGGCTTGATGAAGCACGGTATAGAGTAGGTGATTATAGGTGGTATGCATTGGCTCTCTTTCAGCAGCTTGTCGACAACACCTGTAGCACAACCCAATGGGTAAAAGTTTGAATGTATTACTCGAAAAATTGTATCAGCTTCCACTGTTTTGATAAGGTTTTCTTTGCTGAGAAATTTCTACGCCACTCGTCCATGCACAACCGTGATAAAGAGGTCAGTGCGTTCTGAACAACAATCACATTCTCAAGAGATTCAAGCTGGAAGTAATAGGAAGAGAGAATCAACAATATATAGATCGGATACCGTCTTCTACGTTCCGGTGAGTGTGCCAAGAAGGCGTAATTTGCAGCCACAATCCTTCGTGGTTATTTTGGCGCTTCAAGCTATTTGCTTTACAAGACAAGGACCGGCTAATGTGTGTGGTAAATGCTTCGCATATTTAAGGCGCAATAAGGCGCACTATGCTGGTCAGAAGCCAGGAAGGTTTGGATGCGATTACTTCTCGTATTTGTCCTTTGATACGCGCTACCTACCTGCGACAAGCTCTTTGGCAAGACTTCATCCTACAATTTTGCGGTGTCGTACCAGCCTGCTCTTTTCAGATTACTGCAAGCATGCTCTCCCTCATATCAGCGCTCTGCCTGGTACAAACTGCCAGCGCACAAATCACGACCTCGTTCCCGTACTACAAAACTGCTTGGGGTTCCGACAAAGTCGGCTTCTACGGCTCAGTCATCAGCGTCAAAGACAGCCACACAGCTATCCGTCTCGAGTTCGACAATGGTACATCATCCGACACGCCGCAGGCTACTTTTATCCCGATGATCAGCAGTTTACCATCGGGCCTAATATGTTCGAAACCCGCGTACGCCTTGGTTCCGAAAGCTTTGCGGATAACGGTACCGACAAGATGGACGTCGTAGACCACTGCGATATACCTGAATCGCCTGCTGATGCAGCGCCAAACTGTACAGCATCTGCAGGTCCCTGGATCGCGCGTGGGTGGCAGTGCGATAGTACAGCGACATCCTCGACTAGTTACTCCACGTACACGAACACATTTAGTGGACGATTGAGTTACTCTGCCGGCGTCGAGACTATTACACGCACATTTATCTTCGGGCCATGGACCAAGGGGTTTCCGACTTGGTGCAGTATCAGCGAGTTTGTGCCGTCGAGTGGGTTACAGTGGCCTGTGAGTGCCAAAAGAGAAGATATTGGCACTTTTCAGCTGGTTATTACAGCAGGTCAGGAGAAGCTGAGTGCAACTCCAGCAGTGAGCGCAAGTGTTTCGAGCGCGACACCGACGGGTGCTGGAGCAGGTTCTTCTGGTGCTACAGTGCCGATGAAGACTGTTGCTCCTGTAATAGCGGGCTTGGGCGCTGCAGTCGCTATATTTTTGTAACGTTGAGTTACTCGAGATTGTAAAGAGCAGCTCATAGGGGTCAAGCATTGCATCGGCCCATTCATCGTAAGGTAGCGTTGTGTTCAAGATTCGCCTCACCATGTCGTACCAATTCTTGCTTCTCACTACATTGACTGGACTCCAATTAACCAATCTGCGTCAAGAGCTTACGGCAGTCGAAGAATGCTCGACACATTAGCGGGAGCATTGCGAAGACCGGTCTAGACGTTGAATCACGGAACACCGCACGCGCATCTTCGACGTGGCTGCTGAACTTACAGAGCTGCATGTTCGGGTAAGCACGAACCTCTTTGCTGGCCTGATCATGCTAGCGAGATCACTTGTGAAAGTATTGGCCTTATGAGCTAACGTCGGCTGGTCCCTTGTACGCGACCCAATAAGAGGTGGTCAGCAGAAGATGGTAGGCGGAAGAATTCCCGCTGAACCGCCAGGCCTCCCTGTCTGGCCCCAAAAATATGTGGGACCATAACTCAATCGAGGTCCGGGTACGAATGCGCTCTGACCACATCAAGCCACGTATGAAGAGTTACAGGCTTTGATGTGGGTTATACAAAGAGCAAGATGAAGGTGAAGAGGATTCCAGAAGCCACAACACGAGAACCATTCACAATCATGAGAGGATTCAGTGGAGTTAAGAATTATTGAGCAAGTAGCTGCATAAGCATCGAAGACACTACCACCATAACGCATACTATCATCTATTACATGACATCGTCCGACTACCCAATCACTCGTCTAGTGTGCGTGGTTAACGTGCTCGACCTTGACATTACCCTCCTTCTCGTAGCCAGAGGTCATGATGTTGGCCTCAACAGTCTCGAGATCGACGTTACCAACCTCAGCCTCATCACCGTCGAAGATCTTAGCGATCTCCTCGAGAGTGGGGCCCCTGGTCTCAACGTAGAAGACAGTGACGAAGATAAGTTCGAGGAAGATCCAGCACTGGCCAATGTTAGTGTGTGAACAGGAATGTGCAGATCAAGTTTACTTACAGCGTAGATGGTGTAGAACTTCCAGTTGGGGGTAAGATGAGCGAATCCCAGAGGGTTGACGTATTGGTTGATGGTAAGAGCAACCTGGATAAAGAAGTTCATGATCATGAGACCCTTGGCACGAATCTTGAAGGGCAAAATCTCGACAGTGTAGGCGACAAGCAGACCAGACCAAGCCAGAGCGTAAGCAACGGAGAAGATCCAGATCATGGCAATGACACCCTGACCGGCGGCCTTGCTACCCTTCTCCTGCTCCTGGGAGGAGCAGATGGTCCAGATAACGAAGCACACACACATAGATGCGGTAGCAGCGATGAAGAGAGGTCGGCGACCGACGCGGTCACACAATAGCGCGCAAGAAACGGAGACGATGAGGGACAAGATGGTAAGACCACCGTTAAGACCGAGCTGAGTGTCACCATCGGTTATGCCAATGGAGTTGTAGACATCGGTAGCGTAGTAGGAAGTAAGACCGTTGCCAGACCACTGGGAGAACAGACCAAGAGACGCGAGGAGCATGAGCCTGTACCTGTTGCCCTTGGTCTTGAAGAAGTCGAGGTAAGATGAGGTCTTCTGGTACTGGAACTCGAGGCGCAGAGTCTCCTTGATCTCGGCGTATTCGAATTGCACGGTAGGGTGGTTGATGTTGCCGTTTGCGTGGTACTTTCCAAGCATCTGAAGAGCCTCCTCGTTCCTCTCCTTGGAGATCAACCAACGAGGTGACTCAGGAATGAACCAGATGAAAGCCAGCTGGATAACGGAGGGTGCGGCCTGGGTAAGGGCAGGGATTCTCCAACACCAGTCGCTATCAATGCGCTTGGTACCGAATGTCAACCAGGTGCAGACAATGGCACCGACGTTCCACAGACAGTTGTAGACGGCAGTGACACGAGCACGGTGCTGAGGATGGCAAATTTCGGTAAGGAGCAAAGGGGAAGACAGTTGAGCCAGAGAGTTTCCGAAACCCATGAGGAAACGTCCACCCATGAAGTAATCGAGGTTCTTCGCACCAGCTTGGATTCCGGCACCGACGATCATGATAAGACATCCTAGGACGATACAGATCTTGCGACCAAAGTGATCGGCGATAAAGGGAGTGACTGGAAGCGAGGCAATTGAACCGATGGAGTAGAGAGCAGTCAAGAGACCGAGAGTGGACTCCTGTGGGTTGCCGAAGTAGTCCTTCCAGTAGTCAAGAATACGCAAGTTGTTCAACATGGATCTGTGAATGTTAGATTTGATGCGCCCAGGGTAGAGTAGAGTGACTTACCCATCGTAACCGGTAGTGGCAGATGCGATACAGATGATGAAAGCGTAGAAGTAGAGCTTCCTCAGACCAGGGTCGGACCTCCAGTTCACGCGCTCCAGGTGAGGGGCCTCAGCCTGAGCAACTTCGACATCTTGAACCTTGGCGGCGACAGCCTTTGGCCTGAACTTGTCTGTAAGACCCATAATGCCCGACTCTTATTCTCCGTTGATGGTAAGGATGGAGGAAGTGTTGGCTGGTTTCGAAACGCACAACTAAACCAGAGCCCGAAGCTTGAAGATATATAAGCTCTTGTCTTGCTGGATGGGCAATCAGCAGCTGGTTGGAGATAGATTGAGGATGCTCATGCTTCATATATGATTTCCCCGGCTCGACAAGTACCCTGTCGGTTTCTCTGCTTGGCTCCAGAACACGGCCTAGCGGACCGGGTAAATGCAGAGACAAGTCGTGTGGCTTTCCTACATTATGCACGGATGAACCGCCGTATGGGGTAGAGTGGCGGCACTTACCCCGAACCGGCCGTCTGATCGCATCTAAACCGCGGCTTCGTGCCTACACGCCGAGCAGATGCCACGATAGCCAAGTCGCTGCAAGAGTTACCACAGATGCGACAAGAAGTCAAGCAATGCGGCTCTTCTCGTACCGTCCCGACATATTGCTTAGGATCAACCACAACTGAATTTAATAAAGCCTGCTTATCCTGAATGAAGCCAGACGGCCCGCGCACCTGGCTCGGCCTGCAAGTCGAGTCAAAAACCATATCACGATGCATTCTACCGCACCCGTATTGATTGCCCTGCTTCTGTCGAGTTTCCAGAAGGCGACGATTACCTGGAGAGAAAGGCCTGCAATGCCGTGCTACGGTTGAATAGATTAACCAGCCTCCAACCCCTTACTCTAAGAGTCTAAGCTTGCATCTCCCGAACTTCAGCGGTCCAGCGACCCAGAACGCGGGGCGAGCGCTTGTACTCAACGGGCGCTGTCGGGGATGATGCCAGCAAGAGGCGTTAATGAGATGGTGGTTGGTACGAGTGCCATCACGTGGTGGCTCTAGCACATGTGGCGGCTAAGACTAGTACCAGTCTGAGCAAAGCTAAGCTGTTTCAAGAGAGTCGTGACCCACTTGATCCACAGCACAACATCTTACTCGGCGAATCCGTACTGGGGCTCCGCACCTTATCTCAGTAGCTCTCTCACCCACTCTTTGTTCCTATGCAGTGGTTTGCCTGGAGAAGATTGCGAGTGCCCATGGGGAAACCCCAGATCTCGTGAGTGATCTTGTGCACTCCTCGGATCTCACAAAGGCGGAGAAGGTGCGAAATGGAGCAAATTATTGGTGCTCCGTCTCCATCAGCGCCTCGCCGGACCTGTCCACTTAGCAGTCGAAACGCCGAGCTCGCCTAGATGCCACCGACGGCTGGCGGAAAATCCTTCCTGCCAATTTGAACATCTGACAGTCATCCCATCACATGTGTGATGTCCCCAGGGCAAAGCCAGTCCGGGCCGTGACCCTAGCTCCCCTGGACGTCGACTTCGCTTACACCACTATCGGATCACGAATAAGGCCTCTCCATCTGAATTCGTATGGCGATTTGGAAGCTTCAGTCGGACATGGAAACGAAAGTTGCGGCTGACGCATCAAGCGCTTCTTCGATGCTTATTTGCATATGCCGATGCGGTTGGCTGTCGCGGCGCCTGGGCTTGCTGGGCTTCCATCACCACTTCTACGCGGCGAGCCATGCCGTCCCACACCACAAATGTCAGGTCAAGAGGCACGATTAACCGCCTGGGGTGGTGAGGCGTTGTCTCTCCTCCAATGAGTACGTGAAGCAAGCTTGCCACACTGAAATCCTCACAACACGAGCAACGGTCGGTCTCGACCATACGATGTGCACCTGCATTGCTCAAGTTGAGTGAGCAATATTAAAGGAATGCAGATTTCAGCTTGGCGGCTCAATTGCGTTATTTTGCGCAGGCAATCAAGCGCCCATCCCAAGCATGTGTTTCTGCCCGATGCTGCACAGCGCCTGCAGCACATTCTCAACAGCCTCGTGCGATATTGCGGCGTGGTTGGACTCCGACTCATCCATGAAACTCGATAATGCGATGTGTGGGTGACCCATGTCTTCCCCAGGCCCCAGAATAACGTTTTGTGGCTCTAGAACAGGAGTTGGGAGATCAATGCTCCACAGTCTAAGCAGTGCGCTATGCTTCGTTGTTTACCCTTCAGCACACGCCGCAATGAATGATTCAGGCTAAATGCTCTTTTCGCGCAATCACATGACTACGTCGGTGGCTGTATACACTGTGCCGTCAAGCCAGGCGTTGTCGAGGCGTTGATCGCTCCTTTCGCCTGCTTTGTGACAGGATCAGTGTTGGACACGAGGTGCCGGCGCCTATAGCTGTTCTTTCGGTTCAAAGGAGCGCCATTTGGTGGACGCCTCACGCGACAAGAGACTTGGTACTAGAACAGACGGGCCTTGATCCGATATTTTCAGACAATGCTTTGTGGCCATTAGAGGATGGATTGCATACAGGACGTTTACAGAACGGTCGCATGAAGCACGCACTTTACGAGCCGCTTGCTAATATGCCGAACAAATATTGCTAACAAATAAACGACGAATCTCACTGTTGACCAACATCTGGTGGTAGCATTCAGCCATGCGAACCGCCCACGAGCAAAGTCACACCTTTCCCTCGATCTCCGTCAGACCTCCGCTCGCAACGAACCTTCAGTCCACGAATGGTCAGAGGACACGGTCGACTTGGACTCTGGCCCTTCTCCACGACGCAAGCAATACTTCCCAGCTGGCCGAAGCCCACTGCTCAAGGGATGCAAGGCGATGTGTCCAGGTCATGAGGACCGTGGCAATGTCTATGTTCGCCTTCTACACAACGGATCTCGGTCCTCGTTATGCTCGAGCAGTCAATGGATGGGTCTCTGCAGCACTCATGGCACATCTCCAGAATATTAAGCAATCACCGCATTCTCAATTTTGTCCTGCACGAAAAGGGCGTTTGTGACCCGCATGCCCTACGCAAACTTGCTACATCGTTGATCAAAGGTTGCATGCAGTGATAGACATTATAGCTCCTCAGGATGTCCGACACTGCTTAGATCCTCGGACAAAGAGCATGGAGGCGCTACAAGAAATTGCCTGCCCGGCAGGTCCGCCAGATTCGCCATCGCATTTCATCCTCATCACACTCTCACTGTGCATAGTACGACACGACATACAATGCTCCTCATCTCAACTTTTGACACAACATATCTTTGTTCCTCCTGGTTTTAGCGATGAAGGATGCCTCTGAACATATCTGTTCCATGGCTCGCATGTCGACGTGTATCTCACGGCTCCGAAGCTGATGGATTAGACAGAGGAAAGTGATCTGACTGATGCAAAGAAACAGCAGATTTTCTGCGAACGGGCCGAATCTGAATATACGAAGCCATGCCGATGAGCATGCTTGCATACATGCAGGAGGTCAATCACGCGAGATCATGATGGTCGTACGTCAATAACAGACGGGTAGTCGAAGTATCTTAGTGATAAGAAAAGTTATCATGTACACCAAACAGCCATTCGGCTCGTCGAGGTAAACATAAGCTTCGCTCATGAGCCTGCACAATCTTTCATCGAGACGATTCTGGAGATACACATGCTGCAAGCATGTGTAGTAGACCGGCCTTTAATGTCCTATCATTTAGCTATATTTTACACACCCTTTCGCCGCCTTTTCAGCTCTTCCATCTCGTCTCACTACCGCCAAAGCGCGACCGCAGACCCAAACCATTTCCAATCTCTTACACCCCGTACATCATCTCCAGTTCCAACTGCCTATTCTCGAATGGTAATGCAAAACCTCGCTTCCCACCTTCACCCCTGTCACCTCCATGACGTCAGCCCCAGCACCCGGTCCACGGTAATCATGCATACACACCTACGCAACTTCCCCGCAAATCGTCGTCGCATTGAATCGCCCTTCGGGCCGTCTTTCTACAAACCTCCAAACCCAAATCCACAATGGGCATACCGTACTCGCGCCAAATCGACGCCGCCTTCGAAGAAGTCACCCCCCTCGTCGCTGCGGGCTTCAAAGTGCTGCGTACCACGCGCAACATATCGATTCTCCTCGCCGTCATACAAGTCCTTACTGTGTTCTTGCTCTTTTTGATATTGCTGGGTTTGGTTGCGCTGTTGTATTGCGTGAATCCGGATTTAGAAGTGCGTACGAGCAGTGTCAAAGTGCTGGAATATGGGTGCTAACGCAACCTTTAGTACGAGCGCATACACCTAGTCACACCCTGGCTCAAAACGCTCGCGCGGATTACAATCTTGGGGGTTGTGAAGAGTGTGGCAAGTACGGCGATTGTTTTGGCGGTTACTAGTTATGCGGTGTGGAAATTGGTTATTGTGAAGAGGTGGGTGGAGGATGTGGAGTACGAGGGGAATGTAGATGCGGATCAGGCGTTGGAGAATTTGCCGGATTTGGAGAGGAAAGAGGAGGAGGAGATGAAGGCGAAGGAAGAGGAAGAGAAGAAGGCAAAGGAAGAGGAGGAGAAGAAGAAAGGGGAGGAGAAAAAGAAGGGGAAGGGGAAGAAGAAAGGGTAGGATCGGGTGGATTGGGTTTTATAGGAACTTGCTGATGTACCAGCTTCGTTATCGTCTCATGTTGTATAAATTATTAGGAACTCGTGGAGGCACTCGATATTTTCCCCATGTCGCTTGCTATGCTGTCAGACTCTTGTAGTAGTCTGTCTGCATCAATCTCATTTGTTTGGTCGTGCGACGAGGAAGACTGGGCGTGGATTGATTTGATAAAGTTGACGTGAATTTCTATCAGACAAGATAGCAAAAGGTATACTTTCAATCAGAGAGTATTGAAGCATAAGCAATGCCGTGCTCACACTCTCACCCAGACACTAGTCTCATTGTCGCCCTTCAATCCGTCCACCTTCACACACACACTCACGCTCACTCCAACACCCTCTGCGGCGCCCTATACCCCTCCCCATCCACCAGCAGCAACGCAAACAACCCGCCAACAACTGGTCTAGCCTTGAAATCAATTCCCTCCACCTGTGTCCCATCATGCGTATTATACAAATCGCTCATGGGATTGCGACTGCTCGTTTCGCCGACCCACTTGGCAATCGCATCAACAAACATCTTCCTCGTATTTGGCCCCGCGACCGCGGCGCAGAAAATCTGCCAGTCGGATTTCGTCCAGTGCTTGTTTCGCGTGTCGAGCGGGACGCCGTAGGTCTGCGCGACGCTTGGGTAGAACTTATCTTGCACGGCGTAAACCGATTCCGGGACGAGCGAGAGGTTGAGGAGGCGGTCGTTGTACAAATTATACAGCAGGCTATAGGTGCTTACGTTTCCATAATTCAGCGTGGTGTGATGTAGGTCGGTGGAAGTGTCGAGGGCGAGCATCGACCAGCGGGTGATGTAGTCCTTGGCAATGGAGGCGTATTTCTGTGCATCGAAGGATTCATTGACCAGGCTGGACATGCGCGCCATGGCGCCGAGGCCGACGATGCCCTTGAGCGCGAGGTTGGTCTGGTTGACCATGTGGCCAGCGAAGTCATCTGTAGACAACTGCTCGGCGGGCAAGAGACTAAAGTCAATCAAATACTCGGCCCATTGTTTCAGGATCTTGTAGTGGGCCTTGATGTAGTCGATGTTTCCAGAGAGTTGAGCGTAGGCGAGCATCATGATCATGTTGTTGCCGCATTCTTCGACGGGCATGGATTCGTCCTGCCCATCATCGTGGCCGGTGGCGTTGGGGTAGTGTGTGCCGAGATCGTGCATGGCGGATTTATTGGGGTAGTGGCCGCTTTCTTGGTTTATGAAGTGTGGGTCGAGCATGAGCTTTACGAGCTCTGGGTTGGTGTAGTAGAAGATTGGGGTGGCGGGGTAGATCACGTCGATGGTCTGCATGTTACCGTTTGATGAGATCTCTTTGAGGAAGAGGTAGTGTTTGTCCTTGGTGCCGACAAGCTGGGCCGCAGCAAAGGCTTGACGGGTGGCGAGGGTGGTGAGGATGGCGTAGTTGTCGCCGCCAGCTGCCTTGGAGTCTCTCGAAATCTGATCATCTAGCTCCGACGAGAGTTTACTCGACTCTGTGTAATCTTTGTGGAAGAACGATAGTGCGGCTGTATCATTCCCGAATTCATCTTTCCAAAGCGAAGGAACAGGTTTGAGGACATCGTCTCCAGAGAATTGAATCGCGTCGTCCTGACACAGACCGATAGTGAACAAGTTCGACGTAGGCTTGGTGCCAACAGTCCCCAGATCGACAGCATATGCAAAAACAGGCCATCGGTCGTTGATAGCTCTGAAATCAGTGTCTTGTGAATTTTCCAGCTTTCCAGTCCTGCTGAAGGCACCACGAACATCGTCATCGGAGCCGGATTGATAGCTCAGGCTAATCGAATCGTCGGTGGCATAGTACTAGCAAATATGAGCAGTGTGAGCATATGTAGCGATAAGACTGATGTACGATGTTGCCCCACTCAGCTTGGTCGTCCCACTCGTTGAACAACCACTGGTCTTGCTTCCAGACTTTGTGGTACTTGACACCATCAGGAGTGCTACCGGTGCTCCATTCCGCTTTCGAGCGAACATCCCCAGACACCCATTCCACTCAGAGTCAGCCCCAAGACGATGAGATGCATTCCTTTACTCACCACCGCTAATATCCGTGTATAGGTCAACGTCGTGTTCCCTGCCATCGATAGATGCTATTTCCACCTGCATGTACGAGAAGATCAACGACTGACGCCTTAAGTCCTTCGGGGTGATCGGCGACAAGAAGGTAATCTTGAGCAAGACTTTGCCGTCTGCCTGGATGGTGAACTTGCTTTTGGTAGATGTGTATTCGGCAGCGACCTGCTCCGCCTTGGGGAAGTCTTTTGGGTTTCCCATCCAAGTAAAAGCTTTTCCATCGACACGAACCAAACCAGTCCACCCGAGCACTTGTCCTCTATTCCTTGTCATTATTTTCCGGAGATGTTGAAGATTCAAGTCGCTTACCTCCAAAACGTCGGCCATGTACCCGGCAGGTACCCTCCATTCGGATTGTTTCCCGCTGGTAACCAAGTACTCAAATAAGGGTTCTTGACCGCCAATGGAATCGACGGAGGGCGCGTAGGCGTAAATGTCGAATTGATCTGGGCAACTACCGTCAAGAGCAGGCAGCCCAGAGTAGCAAGTCCAAAAAGATACATGGTTGAGGCGAAGAAATACTGGTGACGATTAGGTCGTATCGTAGTGAGGCGCAGGATCTTATGTGATCTTGGGATCGCAAGGCGCCCTTCACTGAGGATAGACTTCACATCCCGTTGTCGGCCTTACAAACGAACGCCATTGTCGGGGCGGAAGGGAAAGAAAGCGGACCCTATATGGACATCTAGCCGACGATCCCGTGTATTGAACCCTTCGAGCTATAAGTAAAAGCGGATTATCGTGGATGTAAACATCGACACGTGGTTTCGGCGTTGTAGCGCCTTACACAGAAGCTATTGCTCTCTGCCGCTTATGCGCATCGCGAGTCGCAGCTTTGTCTTCAGATCCAAGGATAGCCGTCTTTAGTAAGCACTACAACAAGAGCTAAGTACGGGAAGCTTAATGGTAGGCTGATAGAAGCCAGTGTGGGGAAAATGACCTGCTTCTTCCTGGTAGTTGCAACTAGGCCCCCTAGATGGTTGTTTGCCTCGCCTCATGCAGACCCGTGTCGATCAGCTGAAGTGCGACTTTGAACACAAAATTGGCCCTTCACTTTCAACATCAAACGTACAAACTTTCAACGGCTGGTGTCAAGATCAGAGGTGCGTCTGCGGGGGACGCCTTGCAGCGGTTAAGGCGTCGTACTAGACCAAGGCCAACCACCATGCGTCCAATGATGACTGTAGTAAACGTCACTGGAGTTGGACTCGCTCGAATAATGCTTGTGAAGCTTGAGACTTTACAATACTTTGCAGTGGAATGGAAAAATACCGCACTCTTCGCGCGCACCGAATCCTAGCTAGGTAGGTAGTAGTAGTGAATATTGTGCATGTGATGGTGTGCTGGACTGACGGTACACACGGGATGGCCTTGGGAGGGAGCACAAACGCATGGAGAAGGTTGCGCATGAACGTGCATGATCGTCATTCGATCATATTGCGGGGAGAACGCTTGTGGTGCAGTCAGTAGCGCCAGGCTCGATGAAAGCGCGAGCGTGGCCTTACTCGTGCTTTAGCATCACCAGATTACATCGCAAGAGATGTCGCATTGTGTGATAGCATTCATGTGCGACAGAAGGCACATCCAATTCTTCTTCGCCAGGTTCGTGTCATGCCTGGAGGTGTTGATCAAAATCGTATTGAGGTAATGCATGTCACCTGTTGCTACAACCTTCCCACATGAACATCGTGTCCAATAAAAATACAAGCGTGCAACCATCGTGATATACACATCGTGAGACCCGAGCGCGAGCCATCCTTTTTGAGCGCGAAACGCCATGCAAGAAACGTAGAAGGACAAAGTCGTGAATGGACTGACCAGAAAGGGTATCCAAGGAAAAGACCGGATCGAAATGATGCAAATGAGGAGAATGCGAACCTGGGAGAAATCATAAACGCAGCGAAACGGGTATCCAAACGCGCGAAACTTGCCCGAACCCCTTGTCGCCAGAGACAACTGTGGAAAAACAATAATACAAAGCACTTAGTCTTGTTCCACCCAAGACCGGGAAACGTCCTCGAAACGTTGCTTGGGATCGTGCAGCCATGTGCACTCGAGGATATCGTGGATTGTCCAGCGCTTCTCGACGTCAAGCTCGAGGCATCCGCGGAGCAAGGCCAGCGCATCGTCTGCACCGCCTTCTTTGAGAGACTCTGCATTGCGCACAGTCTCCTCATCCCATCTGCCTTCGCGGATCTTTTGTGTGGTCTTGATGTCTAGGCCCTCGTTGAATGGGAGAGTAGCAGTGATCAGAGCATACAGAACCACTCCAAATGCCCAAATGTCTGCAGCTGGTGAGAAGACGGGACCTGGCGCATCGAACAGCTCGGGAGCCGCGTACTGGAGACTTCCTGCGACTGAAGTACTAGTTTCGGCAGGCCCAATATTCTGGTTGCTACCCATCGAATGAGACTCTGGCCCGTCGCGCTGGTCGCTGACGATGAAGTCCGCCATACCAAAATCGCATAGAAGAACGTCACCACCGTCGGTATCGGCCTGGGGTACGGTCATGTCCACGAGACAGTTTTCTAGCTTGATGTCCCGATGCACAACCTGTACATCATTGTGGAGATAGCGCATGGCCGATGCCAGCTGGTACGCATAGCGCTTCACCAGGTTCTCAGGGAGCCCTGCCTTTTTTTTGCGCCGTGTGTCACGCACCAGATCGAAAAGGGTGCCGCCCTTGTTCAGCTTGGTGATGCAGAAGGTAGCGAAGTCGGTGGTGTAGACCCGAAGTAGCGGAAGAATGTACGGATGTCGTAAGAAGCGCCATATCTCTACCTCATGGTCGAACTGCGTCTGAATCTGCTCGTTCTCGATCTCTGATTTCTCTTGCTGCTGCTTGCGCACGATCTTGACAGCATTGACCACGGGCTTTCCATTCTCCATGCTCGTCACCTCCTTGACGATGCTGAACCCGCCGTAGCCGATTTGCTTTCCAATGATGTACTCGCTGCTATAGCCGATGCCTTGACCTTCGTCATCGGGCTCGCTGGGCTTGATGGGCACTTCAGAGGGCTTGTAGCGGGCGAGGAACGACGCAGCGGGCGACATGGATGATAAAGAGCGACCCGAGCGATTCGAAGACCGGCGGCTTGATCGTTTCATGCTTCCATCCTCACTGGTTTCGCCTCTCCAGCTCCTCGTCCTCGCCGGACCAGGGAGGCGCGGCGAAAACCCCGGGAATTCAGAAGGCGAAGCGACAGCGAGAGGCGACAATGCATATTCGGAAGGTGCCTCGAGGGGTGTTCGTGCCTCTTCGAACGGGGGAGAGGCAGTGGTGTCAGAAGTCAAGGATGAGACCTGGTCGCGATACTCCGGGTCGTCGGCGAGGCTATCGACGGTCGTCTGTAGGAGTGGGTACCTGGATATACCGACGCGATGCGCCAATGATCTGCGCTGGGGGAGGGGCATCTCGAGGTACTCATGGTCAGAGTAGCTACCGCTGTCTGGAGTGTGGGAGTAAGAGGATCGCGACTTGGATTTTGGCACGGGAACTTCGAGAGCAACTGTGTCGCCGTTGTCGAGGCGCACCTCATTGTCGAAGCTTATGGAGGTGGTGCGGTGCCTAAACGGCTGCGCGAGGCCGAAGCCATCTTCGCTGCCGCTGCTTCCCACTGCGAGATCATAGGGGACAGCATAGCCGTTGCTAGAAGAATAGTAAGAGCCAATTATCTTCTGCGCCTCAGTGACAGGTTTTGGGTGCGATTGCGCGTGGTCATCATCCTGCGCGGCGTGCGACGGGTCGTCGCGCGGGATAGATGCAAAGGACGAGGGTGCGGGCTTGGGACTGGACGAGGTATCGATTTTGAGCTTCTGGAAACTGTGTGAGGATGCCGAATTCGAGGCCATTAAACCGGTTCACAGTGAAATGCAAACCTCTGAGAAGAGCCGGCCTGGAGAATAAGAATATACTGTGCGGCGAAGACCGGGTGGTCGTGCGGCGCAATGGGGAAAGCCGGGTGGGCAAATTACGGGCAGGCTAATTAGCAACGGTGGTGCCTGTAGAAAAGCTTGGAGTGGCGAGACAAAGAGGTGAGTTGTTCGCAGAGATCAGCAGATGCGCTGGCAGGCAAGTACTGTAGTGAGGAAATTTATTGTGGAAGCTGCGGCCCTCATGGTTGAAAGCCTGGTGGTACCCATATACTGGAGGTGAAAATCCCCCACGCGCTGCTGCTGCGGTGCAACACGTGAGCAGCAGCAATCTTGCTGTAGGGCCTATTGGAGAGTAAGCAGGCCAATGTACGTGCTGCAACTGGCTAGGCAGCTGGGTGTGAAGTTTGGGCGCGGCGAGGGGTACCACCAGCCAGGCGCCGTCTGAGCGAGTCGGTCCCCCCCGCCCCGGGGATGCTATGTGAGGCACTCTGGCGGTGATACATTGCTCTCTGTCAGCGTGGGGTCGCCGGCGGCCTGCGGCAACTCCTGCAGGGCTGGACAGGGACAGACGATCGCGGCGGCCCGTTGTAGCGCCGCCGGTCGTGGTGCATAGGCGATGGGCAGCAATGTTCAAGACTCGACAGCAGACCAGGCGTACAGATATCCCAACCTGGATGGTGACAGCGGATGGGCATGGGTTGCTGCATGACGTCGCTCGACATGATTTCACGCTCAACGGTCCTCCTCCGGCCGCGCAGCTCGCGCGAACATTGCAATTGATGCTTTAAGCAAACGCTCTTTCCTGGGGGCGCTTGACGCGCTGGACCCTACTTTGCCAACGGCTATGATTCTAGTTGTTGATGTCATGCTACCGCTCTACTCTACTCACTAGCTGTTCGTTTTCATGTGATCGGACACGGGACGAAACTTGCAAGCTCCAGTCGTGCATCTGCGCTAGGGCCAGCGCTTGAGAGCTCGTGCGCCAACAACAGCCTCAGATTGCAGCACAGCGAGGTCAACACCACCGCCGCCGCCCAGCCATCGCCCTCCGCTATCACCCCCCATCTCTGCGCGCTCTTCACGTCGGCCGACCAGCACGCTCGACTCTCTCCGCAGCTCCTCGCACCCCGACTGCCGCCCCGAGACCCCCGTCGAAGGCCTGCTGGCCTGAAGACCGACCGCCATGGGTATCTCAGATGTGTGCACCAAGATCTTCGGATCCTGCTGTGGAGGTATGCACATGGCTGCGCACATGCATCCCGCCGCTTGGCTGACATGAAGCTGTATAGGACGCTCGCGAGACAGCATCTATGATCCCGTGTTGGCAGACAGCGAACGGGAAGCTGTTGCCGACCTGCTGGGCTTCCTCGAGAATGTATGCATCGCCCATCGCCCATCGCCCATGCGACGCACCACCGCTCTCTCCATACTGACCACTCCCAGCGCGCCGAAACAGACTTCTTCTCCGGCGAGCCCCTACGCGCATTAAGCACCCTTGTATATTCAGACAACATCGATTTGCAGCGGTCTGCGAGCTTGACTTTCGCCGAAATCACAGAGCGAGATGTCCGCGAAGTCGACCAGGAGACGCTGGGCCCCATCCTGTTCCTGCTGCAAAACCCCGACATCGAGGTGCAGCGCGCCGCGAGTGCCGCGCTAGGCAACCTGGCGGTGAACAGTAAGTCCCTTGCTGCGATATCGACGGCGTGCAGCTAACCCCCACAGCCGAGAACAAGGTCGCCATCGTCACACTCGGAGGCCTGGCCCCGTTGATCAAGCAGATGAACTCGCCCAACGTCGAGGTTCAATGCAACGCCGTGGGCTGTATCACCAACCTAGCGACCCATGAAGACAACAAGGCGAAGATAGCACGCTCCGGTGCGCTGCAACCCCTCACACGACTGGCCAAGTCCAAGGACATGCGCGTCCAGAGGAATGCCACGGGTGCATTGCTCAACATGACACATTCAGGTACGCGCATCGGGATTGTTGATTTGTTTGTGCTAACCCAATACCAGACGACAACCGCCAACAACTGGTGAATGCCGGAGCCATTCCAGTCCTCGTGCAGTTGCTCTCATCCACAGATGTAGATGTGCAGTACTACTGCACCACGGCACTGAGCAACATTGCCGTCGATTCCAGCAATCGTGCCAAGCTGGCACAGACCGAGGGTCGATTGGTGGGGTCGCTCGTGCACCTCATGGAGTCCTCGTCGCCCAAGGTGCAATGCCAGGCTGCCCTTGCTCTCCGAAATCTGGCATCCGACGAGCGCTATCAGCTCGAGATCGTGCGTGCACGCGGTCTGCCGTCACTGCTACGCCTCCTGCAATCGTCCTACCTCCCACTTATCCTATCAGCCGTTGCATGTATACGAAACATCTCCATCCACCCCGCAAACGAATCCCCCATCATTGAAGCTGGCTTCCTCCGACCGCTCGTCGATCTGCTTGGCTCGACTGACAACGACGAGATCCAATGCCACGCCATTTCCACACTTCGCAACCTCGCTGCAAGCTCGGACAAGAACAAGCAGCTTGTGCTCGAAGCTGGTGCGGTACAAAAATGCAAGCAACTGGTGTTGAATGTACGACTACCCGTGCAGTCCGAAATGACTGCAGCAATCGCCGTCCTGGCGCTGAGCGAGGAGCTCAAACCCCACTTGCTGAACCTCGGAGTCTTTGACGTTCTCATTCCCCTCACTGAGTCGGATAGCATCGAGGTACAGGGCAACAGTGCTGCTGCATTAGGCAATCTTTCATCCAAGGGTAAGCCTTGACATGGTTCTCCACAGATTTGGCCAACGACTAACTCTCGCAGTGGGTGACTACACCATCTTCATCCAAAACTGGACAGAGCCCGCCGGCGGCATCCACGGCTACATCCGCCGCTTCCTCGCCAGCGGAGATCCAACATTCCAGCACATTGCTATCTGGACATTGCTGCAGCTTCTTGAGTCCGAGGACGAACGACTGATCGAACGCATTGGCCAATCGAACGAGGTCGTGCAGATGGTCACCGAAATTGCGGACCGCAACATCGAGTCAGACGACGAAGACAATGAAGATGGCGAGGGCGAAGTGGTCACCCTTGCCCGCAGATGCCTGGAGCTTCTCGGCAAGAGCCCGAAGGCCCTCGTCGAAGGCTAAAGCGCCGGAATGCTTCATATACCCCCATTGTTGCTCTTCGCGTCCGTCTTTTACCCCCATTTCTTCCTTTTTGCTAATGCGTCCACGCGAAACCTTTGTTTTCAACAACCTGCGGAAGCATGTTGACGGAGTCTGGTGTTCTGGCAAGCAATCTCTATATTCCTAGCGCGCAGCATGGTCGGAGCTAGACTTATTACGTATTGGCATAACCATTTTGTGGCCGTGTCCAAGCGCTGTAATACCTTGGACACGGATGAATTTGTAATCGATAGATTTGGATGATCAAAGTAGGAGCAAGTCAAATAGCTCCTCTATCTCATCTTCACGTGGAAGACAACGACGTAGGATGGAATACAATCGTCACTGTCTTCATTTTGCATTGCAACGGAATCGCGCCGCATGTGATCGCGCGTCACAAGCGTAAGGTTCATGCAGGGCTAATGGTCACCCACCTTTATCGATAAGACCCGAGTAAACTTTTGATCTTTGCGACCCTACTCACCCAACTAATCTGTCTGCTACAAACCACGAGCCGGTTTTGCGCACAATGCCACCCAAAAGCACGAAAACATCACGTGGCCGTGGTGGTGGAAGAGCAGGTGCGACGACCGGCCGATTAAGCAACAGCGAAGCAGCACCAGATGCAACCCCGCAAAGCGCAGAAACCGCAGCAGCAAGCGAACCACCAGCTGCACTGAAGCAAGACAACGACGACGAGGACTCGAAACCACCAACGACTGCAGAAAACACACCAGCGCCGACCGAACAAACCCCTCCTGCAAATCAGGATGGCACAGACACGCCCGGTCGCACTCCTGTACAGCGGCTCGGCAGTCTCAATCCTTCACGATCGTCTTCCCCTGCCGTACGGCGCGGAAGTTTGACTCGCGGTAAAAGAGGCATGGTCAAACCCACCTTTACAGGCCGCAGAAGCAAAGAAGATCGAGAAGCCCTTGCAAAAGAGGCTCTTGAGCGGGAGAAGGCGCGAACACAGGAGCAGGCCAAGGCAGCCGAGAGAAAGCAGCGAGATGCGGACAGAAAAGCCAAACGAGAAGCAGAAAGAGCGATTCGAGGAAGAGGCGGATACAGCGGTGCCATGAGTGGACCGTTCTCGCTGGGAAGCTCGCGAGAGGGTGAGTCAAATCAGGAGCAGGCGATGAATAAGCTAACATTTAGTTGTAGATCGTAAAGGCAACCAAAGACCTGCCTCCGGCTTTGGCGCTGGATCAGGTTCACGAGCGACCCGCATTAAAGATGAGGGGGACGGCGGTGAGGGAAGTTCGGGCTACAGAGGTTCAGGTTCGGGGGGTGGCGGAGGAGGGTCATCGGCCAAGAGAGAGAACGGAGGGGTCGAGTCTTCTGAAGATGAGGAAGATGCCGCCGTCCCGCGAAGAGATATAGACTACATTGAGATCTCATCAGGCGAAGACGATGCTGCGCCTAAGCCGCGTCCATTACGCTCGAGCCTGCCGGTACGAATAGGCAGGAAGGAACATCAGGAGCGAACGTTCGGCATAAATACAGACGCAAGCTCTGAGCAGTCGGCAAAGATCTTAGAGCAGGCAGAAGCCAAAGGCGAGCCACCCACAGCTGCGGCGTTGAAGCAAACCGCGAACAAAGGCAAGGGCAAAGCAAAGGAAGGCGATGTCGCAACAGCGAAGAAACCATTCAAAGGAGTTTGGCAAGACTCAGACGAAACCAACTCACCTGTCAAGACGGAAGACAACAGCGAAGACGAGAACGTGGGGAATGCCGAACAAGTTGGCATTGTAGAACGACCAGTTCAAGAAGAAGATCGCCAAGAACCACAACAGGAGGTGGAATCGAAGCATAGAGGACGTGTAAGAGGCATCGTGGAGCCCGTTCTGCAGACGGACGAGGACCGTGCTGAATGGTCACGGTACCAGTCTAATCTGAGCCATATCAGAACAGAACTTGGACCAGATGCGAATGCTGAAGCCGATGCATCTGGGGACGTGACCATGCCGGACGCGGGGAACGCCAAAAAGCCCACCGTACGAGACAACAACGTGTACCTGTTCCAAATACCCCCGCTCATGCCAGAGCTCCAATCTACAGCCATCAAGAAGGAACTCGCAGAAGCATCAGATCCTGTGCCAACTTCTGCGCCCACAGCGCCCAGCAAACCAGGCGTCAAAATCAAGGTCGAAGAGGGAGCTGCTTTCACTGATGCTTCAAAAGCACACGAGGCAACCCGATTTGCCAGTGGACACGTGGGTAAGGTGCGAGTGCGGCAGTCCGGACGCACGACACTGGACTGGGGCGGCACAAGCTACGAACTTACGCCTGGAAACAAAGCATCTTTCTTGCAAGAAGTTGTGTCTATAAATGTCGTACCAGAGAGCAACCGCGTTGTGCCCGAAGACGCGGGCGACGCGGTCTCTCTTGGACGCGTCAAGGGCAAGTTTGTCGTAGTGCCCGATTGGGGTGAGATGCTGGGTTAGTTTCTGGATATGCAAGCACGGTACATGGCGTTCACGATTGCATTTGTCTGGCGTCATCTGAGCTTAGAGCGATCGCGGAGGGAAAAAGTTGGAGGGGACGCGTCGGAAACCATGGAGACGCGTCGAGCACTGTCTGTTTCGCATGCCGTGACACGAGTCCTGTGGGGCGGCTTCAGACAATTGATAATGAAAATCTAATCAGATCCGAAATCCTGCGCGTGCAATGACAGATTGGAGCCTGTGCTCAGCTGAGAAGCGGCCCGTGAGAGGCTGATTTCAGCCATTTCCAAGCAATTTATCAGCCGCCAAATGCGAGTCTAGCTGCTCATGGAACAGTACCTGCATTGTTTTGGTGGGCCGAGGGGCAGGAAGTGGTCGAATAAAAGCGCGTCCTGCGACGAGAGACGCGTTCTGCACGGACTGTTTCTGCGCGTACTGGCGAGGCTGGTGCATCGCGATGTCGAACTCCAACAGCCATTGTAGACGATGAGCAGGTGTAGAAGCAACAATATGGGTATCATCTGAATGCGCGTAGTGTATTATACGGTAAAGACGTGTCAAAGGAGTGTTTTGATACAAAGGAAACGTACAAAATGCTACGATCGTGAGAGACTTCGTGGTGCGTCATAGCTCATGAAGGCGCGACGTGGGGCAGCACGGACGCACGTGACCACCCGTCGTCGTGCTTTTAAGTATCGGTCGCGTCTGCTTTGTTCCTCTACATCCACAACATCATCAGCTTCACTCCAGCACGAGCACTTGTCTACACGTTTTTGCACACTCATAATACTCTGCGCCACCCTCATCTTTATTATATACAATGTCTGCTCTTCAGATGACGCCTTCCAAGCAGGTACGCCACGCGCTTGTTCTCGAGTACTTCCACTATACGCGTGCATACTAACGCGTCAAATAGGCGGCAGCAGCAATTGACACACTCAAGATGGCCGACTCACCCGCAAAGAAGATCGACTTCTCATCAGCGGACAAGGAGAACGTTTTCAGGCCCATCGTCGGCATTCCAGACCTTCCTGAGGAGGAGCCTGTAGCAAAGACTGGTGTCGCGCCCACAATCAAGGAGGAGGAGGCACATGAGCCTCTGCTCCAAGAGAACCCCAACCGCTTCGTTCTTTTCCCCATTAAGTACCACGATGTAAGTCTACGATCGCGTCGACGCGTCCGACGCGTCTCGACACGCGTCAAACCACTTCCGCAAGGACCTCCACTAATAGCAGCCCTCTAGGTCTGGCAAATGTACAAGAAAGCCGAAGCTTCTTTCTGGACCGCAGAAGAGATTGATCTGTCCAAGGATCTCCACGACTGGAACAAGCGCCTCAACGACGACGAGCGCTTCTTCATCTCCCATGTTCTCGCTTTCTTCGCCGCCTCCGATGGCATTGTCAATGAGAATCTTGTCGACGAGCGCTTCTCCAGCGAGGTCCAAATACCAGAGGCACGATGCTTCTACGGCTTCCAGATCATGATGGAGAACATCCACTCGGAGACATACTCCCTCCTCATTGACACATACATCAGCGAGCCAAGGCAGCGCACATACCTCTTCAACGCCATTGACAACAGTAAGTCACTTCTATAACGCGCCTGAAAGTACGCTTCTAACGCATCACAGTTCCATGCATCCGCAAGAAGGCAGACTGGGCTCTCAAATGGATCTCAGACAAGAACTCGACCTTTGCCAACCGTCTTGTCGCCTTTGCTGCCGTCGAGGGTATCTTCTTCAGCGGCTCCTTCGCGTCCATCTTCTGGTTGAAGAAGCGTGGTCTCATGCCCGGTCTTACCTTCTCCAACGAGCTTATCTCCCGTGACGAGGGCATGCACACCGACTTTGCTTGCCTGCTATTCTCCCTTCTCAACACTCGTCCCAGCAAGGATGCTGTCAAGGCCATCATAACCGAGGCCGTTGAGATTGAGCAGGAGTTCCTCACTGAGGCTCTCCCTTGCGCTCTGCTTGGCATGAACTCCACTCTCATGTGCCAGTACATCGAGTTTGTTGCTGACCGCCTGCTGTTGGCTCTTGGCAACACCAAGGTCTACAACGCCACCAATCCCTTCGACTTCATGGAAAACATCTCGCTCGCAGGCAAGACCAACTTCTTCGAGAAGCGCGTCGGCGATTACCAGAAGGCTGGTGTCATGGCCAGCACCGCTAAGCACCAAGCCAAGGAGGATGGCGTCGAGCCAGCCGAAGCACAAGGCCAGTCTGGTGACTTCTGCTTCGAGGAAGACTTCTAGACTCGTCGCCTTGGCCTCTCTCTTGCTTTGCTTTTTTCCTACCATTTACACATGATCTCGTCGCTGTATACCCCCGGTCTAAAGGGGTCTCTTGGGTCTTATTGGGGTGTCCCACATACGTTCTTCCACTCCTGCCTGCATTGATCGGAGTCTGCGCACCTCGCGGTGCCTCTTCGACACCTCACACTTTTTCTGGCGTCTACGGGCGTTTTCTCGGGTGGATCACTGTGCGTTTTTTGAATGACTGCATGCGGTTGGATATGGATTGGGATAGGGTTAATAGACCCCCAAGAATAGCTTTATTGATTGCAATGAAATACACCACTTTCTAAAAGTATCATCCTTCTCCTTTCTCTCATAACAAGTGTATTTGTCTGCGCATGACCCGGCAAATTTCCCACGTGTACTCCCGGTCCCGGCCCGGTTTCTTGCAGCATGCAGCAGCGACCACGGAGCTGGGTTACTCCACCACGGGCTTGGCTGCCTCCCCCAACGAAAAGGCCCGAACCCAGTCGCGCCATTCTCGGCGTTACGAGAAAAACTCAGCGACGGGCCAGACTCCGTTAGTGGTTGGGACGAGATTATCAGATGCGATTAAAGGGCTGATGGCGCCCACTTGGGGCGATGGAGTTGGTTATCTGATTCTTTACACATTCTCTGTGGCGAAGATAGGTCAAGCAACGTGAGTGCAAGTAAGGAGAGTAACCTAGGCAAGATGGGTTACATACAGCGCTGTAAGTGCACACGATATAACGTGACATGAGTTTCGATATGGGATGAGAGTAGTGAAGCTGACATTTGCGTAAGGGGTTGGCCTAGATGCCCGCGACAACGCGAAGACATTGGAGCGGAAACTCGTCGTCAAGTTGGGTACGTACCTTATCTGATCGAAACTGCCAAATCGCAAAACACGTCTAATTAGTCCCGTATCAGACTTCTTCATAATGGCCTTCGTCTGCGCTTGCTACTTCATGAACTACCTGGACCGCCAGGCTTTTGCAAATGCCTATGTCGCCGGCCTGAAAGAATCTCTCAACTTGAAGGGCAACGAGTACTCCATCTTGCTGTCCATATACACCGCCGGCATGGTGGTGGCGCAAATCCCGCACGCGCTGATATTGCAGAAAGTGCGCCCGTCGATTTGGCTGCCGTTGACGCTGGTGGTGTGGTCGGGCCTCACGATGTGTTCGGCGGCGTGTAAGAACTATGCGCAGTTGGCGGCGGTGCGGTTTTTGCAGGGCATGGCGGAGGCGAGTTTGTATGGGGGCAGTAAGTGAACTTTCAAGTTGCGGGTTTAGATGGGAAAATGGTGGCTAATGTTTGGCAGCGATTTATGTCATGGGCAGTTGGTACAAGCCCAGTGAGATTGCGAAACGCACGGCGATTTTCACGGCAATCGGGCAGGTGGGGAGTATGTCTGCGGGCCTGATGATGACGGCTATGCATAAGACGATGGAGGGGAGGGCGGGGCTGGCGGGGTGGCAGTGGGTCTTTATTATTGGTATGTTGAATCATGTGTGATGGTGATATGGGTTTGCTGACGAAAGGTAGATGGAGTGATTGGTCTTCCGATTGGCATCTGGGGATTTGTAAGTCTGAGAGGCTGCGGAGATGTGGGATTTATACTGACCAAGATGTGTAGTTGGCATTCCCCGACCTCCCAGAAACGACAAAAGTCAAATACCTCAGTGAGGCGGAGAAGAAACTGTCGCTTTCGCGCTTGCCGCCGAAGAAGAAGGATGGACATAACATCGCCTGGCGCAGTCTCTTGAAAGCGCGTCTTCATGAAGCCGACCATGTACATCCTTCCCTCCCCCCTTTCCATAATTCCACACTAACGCACCACCAGCTACGTCCTCGTAAGGCTTCTCTGTGGTGTCCGCCATGCTCGAAGCCTTTGCCTATCCAAGGCATGCTCCTCCTCTGGGCTCAAGTACAACAAGCGCTCGCTTCTCGCAGACTGCCATCAATACATACCCGGCTCGGCATCCAAGCCGTGGCCATCGTGTCCCAAATTGTGGCGGGCGCATACATTGACCACACGAATCATCGACTGCCTGCAGTCCTTTTCGCCGCAGCGATGCAAGTAATTACCGCCAGTCTGCTGTTGGTGCGCGACATGTCGGACGCGGGTATTTTCGTCGCGCACTACCTCTCTGGCACGAGTTTCATCGTCAATCCCGTCATGTACGGCTGGGCGTCGAATATCTGCCAGAAGACTGGCGACGACGCAGTTCGAGCAGTGGTTCTATATGCCATGGCCATGGGCGGACTGCTCCTGTACACATTCTGGGGCATTGTCATGTATCCCGCGACGGATGTGCCGTACTGGCGCAAGGGGTCGATTACGATGCTGGTGGTGTGCTTTGTGTTTGTGGGATACGCATTTGTGGTTAGATGGGTAAGTTTTGAGGTTGTGTTATGGAGATGTGGAGACTGTGCTGACTTTGGGTAGCTTGATAGACAGACGGATATGATTGAGAGCGAGGAGACAGGGTCGGAAGGGGGCGAGGTCGAGGAGAATGTGGTTAAGGTCGCTCACAAGCAAGGCTGAAGATATTGCGTGTAGGCCGCATTGCACTTGCGTTGAATATGTGTATCTGCTCCACCGTAGAGAGTTGGTAGTTTTACCGACAGTTGGGATGGGGATGCATGTAGTGGCCCACAGGGCTGCTAGTGCTGGTTCGGACCGACATGGCTAATAATAATGTCCTATACATAGCGATGGCACTTTCTCTTTGTCTGTCTCTTCGCTATCGGCTTCAATTCTTTTCCGTGGCGGAGCGAAAGATGGTAGGCACGGAAACGTACAAGCGAAACGCGATGACGTCGATTCCTGGGCAGGCGCTTCCGAGGCCACCAACCTCAGAACAGCTCTAAGCGACACGGCGATGCTTACGAAAGGGTCGGATTTGCGTCATGCTGTCCGCATCGCAATGTGCAATCTTGCATGTCTCCAATCTCCTTTCCAGAAGCCAAATATCTCAGGGCAGTTCCACAGCATGGGTAATGCTGGTGTCACCGCATGTCCTGTACATCCGAACCGCCTTCTATCGATAGCAACCGCGGAATAGCTTTGTTTACTTCCGCAGGATCCGGCAGCACCGTCGAGTGTGAGAGATGCTCCTGATATGATCGTTATCGCATGAGGAAGCTCCAAAAGCTGTGAATACACACTTCTAAGACCTCAGATCTTTTGTCGCATTACCAGGATCTTGTCAGGCACCGCCAATCGCAACCGGGTGGATCCATGCAACTGTCTGAGGTATCAACACCACAATGGCGGAAAGTTTACCCAAGATCAAAGTGACAGACCCGCCCAACACTGGGACCAGCTATGAGGGCCAGGAAGGCGCGGTCGCGACCATAACAGAGGGTAAGTCGCACGTCAGCCCATCTGGAGGCTTCTCACCACACAGCCAGAAGCGCCACACATGCTGATCGTCGTCACGCCCATAGGCTCCTTGAGCAATAGAAAGCTCGCCGCGAAGCTGCGCAGTCCAACCTCACCGTCGGCTGTATCGAATGACACGACGCACCGTGGCAGCACAGAGGGCAGGAGGCCTTCCGAGGCCGCCATAGACCCGCTTTCGCAAGTATGTCCGTATGCGGGCGCAGTCGAACGTGAAGACGCCTAACATGACCATCAGCAAATCCTCCAACGAACGAATACCTCGCCGGCCGTACACAAGCTACGACCACAGAATACAGATCCCGTGCTGGGCCAAACACCGGCGTCGCCGAATGAAGTGAATGCAGACAAGAAGCAGAGCGGCGAGTCACCGCGGGATGGCGGGACATACAAGGCAGACAAAAAGTGAGCACATCCCCACGAGCCCGACAATGTGGGAAGCACGATCGGTTGCGCACGCGATTGTATCGGTGATCCCTTGTGTCTGTGCTCCACTTCGTGGTTGGGTGGTTGGTGCAAGGCGTCGTCTTACTGCGTCGGCCGGAGGCGGTGCATCTAGTACCGCATGGGTCCAGATCAGGCTGACCACATATCCAGAAAGGTCTCCTTCCTCAGCCGCTTCATAGGAGGTAACAAAAAGAAAGGCGCCCCAGATGCTGCCAGCGACAATGGCACCGAGGCGGACGATTCGCGACCCGAGGGTATGGACGCCCAGCTATATGTCGACAATCTTAGCTTCAGTCCCAAGATTCCGCAGCCGCCTGCGTACATAAAGGTTCGCGCCAAGTTCAAGAAGGACAAGGAATTTGACCGCGTGTTTTTGGCGCAAGAGCTGCGCTCGGGATCAGACAAGAAGAGCGCGCCTGCTGCAGGCTCCAATCCAGCGCCGCAATCTGGCTCTGCAGCCACACAGAATCCAATCTGGTCAGTCGAATTCAGCAGAGATGGGAGGTATCTTGCGGCTGGTGGGCAGGACAGGGTTATTCGCGTGTGGCAGGTCATCACGAGCGCAGAGGACCGACGAACACACGAGCGTTTCGAAACCGATCCAGCTGTCGAATCACATGGCAACCTGAGTGCCCCTGTCTTCCAGCAAAAGATATTCCGCGAGTACCACGGACACACGGGGACCATCCTGGACCTGAGCTGGAGCAAGAACAACTTCTTGTTATCTTCATCCATGGACAGAACCGTACGACTGTGGCATGTCACTCGGGACGAGAACCTATGTGTCTTCAAGCACTCGGATTTTGTGCCTTCGATACAGTTCCATCCCACAGACGACCGCTTCTTCCTCGCAGGCTCACTCGACTCCAAGTTGAGACTATGGAGCATCCCAGACAAGAATGTGGCGTTCAGCGTGACTGTGCCAGACATGATCACAGCCGTAAGCTTTACACCTGATGGGAAGACTTGCATAGCCGGTACACTAGGAGGACTGTGTATGTTCTACGATACGGAGAAGCTCAAGTGGCAGGCGCAACTACACGTTAAGTCGACACGAGGGCAGAATGCAAAGGGCAGCAAAATCACTGGAATACAAGCGACGTTTTGGCCGCCGGGAAGCGAAAGTGGGGAGGTGAAGCTGTTGATATCGAGTAATGATTCCAGGTTGCGCCTGTACAACTTGAAGGACAAGAGCTTGGAGATGAAGTTCCGAGGGCATGAAAATAACTGCAGTCAAATTCGCGGTGCATTTGCCGACAGTAGCGGGCATATCATTTGTGGCAGCGAGGACAGAAAAGCGTACATTTGGTCGACAACGGTTCCGGAAGGCGAGAAGAGGAATCAGCGGCCAGTTGAGATGTTCGAAGCGCATAACTCGATCACCACATGCACGGTTATCGCACCGGTGCAGACGAGACAGCTGCTCAGTGCGTCCGAAGATCCGATATTTGATCTCTGCAATCCACCGCCTGTGACATTAGTGTCAAAAGCAGAGTCCGTGATATCGTCGCGAGCGCCGACAGAAGTAGGCTCCGCGCTTCCAACACCCGCCCCTACCGACACTGCCTTCAAGAAGGTGGCCGAAACGCCTGCGTACCTCGCTCGCTGTGCGCATCGTGGCGGCAACATCATCGTCACTGCAGACTACACTGGAGCACTGAAAGTCTTCAGACAGGACTGTGCCTACACCAAGCGCGTACGGATGAGCGAGGCATGGGATACAGGATCTATTCGAAGAGCAGGCTCGAAATTGGGACGACCAAGCAGTATCTTGTCACGAACCAGCCAGTCGCGAAGAAGCAGTATATCAACACAACCACCAAATGACCGTATCATGACCTGGCGCCAAGGCATTTCCCACGGCAGCTTCGATTCGAACAGTTCGCTCCCACGACGTAGTGCTTCACCACGAAAGTCTCTTGCACGGTTAAGTCTGACCTCCGTGCGCCACCCAGACTCGCCCAGCCTACGGCCCATGCCAACCAGCGACTCGCTAGCCTCCGGCCCACCCATCTCTCCGAAGACTTCCATATCCATAGACCGCACCCCCTCCCAAAGCGCAACACAATCCGAAACCTCCACACCACCCCGCATGCTCGCCCCCGACCGCCCCCACCCACCAACCCTCAACCCCTCCACGCAAAACCCCCTCGCAGTCTATAACGGCCAAAGCTGGCTCTTCTGGAGCTCAAAACGCGACAAGAAAGTCATGGGCCAGAACGAAAACGAGAGACCGACATACGAAAGTCGCGCAAGTGGGATTAGTCAGATTAGTAAACTCACGAGTGAGCTGGGGTTGAGTGAGGATGAGGAGAGGTGTAAGTATTGCGAGAGCGAGAAGTTTGAGGTCAGGATAGTGCAAGGCAAGAAGGTTTTGGGGTGTGGTGGATGCGGGAGGGAGGTTACGGGGGATGCGGGAGGGGATGGGGGCAATGGGTATAGTAGGTTTTACACATAACGAAAGGAATGATAATATTATTTGAGATGATGAGCACCTCATGCATCGTAGCCCTTTCGCAGACTAAAAGGTTCTCAGATCGTCGCGCATACATCATCGTCGTACACCTGGACGCTGTCTGACTTTATGAATTTGATCCGAATCACGATCATTTCCACGTATATATCGCCTCTGTGCTTGTATATGGTAGCAAGGTGGCTCTGAAGGGAATTGCGGGAACGGCGCTGACGGAGCTGATGAGTGCGTCTACGAATTTGATTTCGGACTGGCTTGATATCTGACTTGTGGTGGGTTCATCGGGGTTTGTGGGGATGGGTGGAGAAGATGTTTGATACACGTGGTTAATGCGTACAATGTTGGTGGTGACTAGTGTCATTGTTGACTATCACGACTAAGCTTTGTCCGCTTTGAATGGCTCCTGATCCATAAATGCTGGTGGTGTTGCATGTGCATGTCGCAGAACGCTACAGGAGCATCTGCCCTAGTCGAGGAGACGAGTGTGTATGTACCAGCCACTTGCCTTCAACAACCCATTCCAGCTATTGGATGCGTCCGAACTCTCCTCGCCTTTCAAAACGATCTCCTCGCCATAGAGGAGAACAATACACCAATTGAGTGTGAAATGCGGATCGTTCAACAAGACGAGACGGAACTTGGCGGTGTCGACGGGGAGGGTGAGCTTTTTCTCGATGACATAGACTAGGTTGTCTTTTGCGAGGTCAGCGTGCGATTCTGGACGGGGCTATTCTTTCACAGCTCTTACCTGCAAACTGCTCTTTGCTGATACCGTGGCACAGGGCACCTCTGCCCTCGAGTAAGATGAGCATACACTTGCGGACCGCTTTAGAATCTCCAGCTTCTAGTTCTTGTCAGTAGGGCAGGTTACAAAAGACGATTGTCACTTACCAGCTGCAGTACCTATGGTAGCAGCCAACACTTGCTTGTGAATGGGGTCTCCGTTCAACATGATTAGAGCTTGTCGTGTAGTTGAGAAGATTAGGTGGGGTGGTGAAGTGTACTTGCAAGCTCCGCCCCCGCGGGCTACTTACAGGTACAGGAAGGCGCAAGCACGTGACACTGTGGCGCGCGGGCGTCAAGGAAGTGGATACAAGCAAACGAAAATCGAGATAAAGTCAAGTGTTTTAGGACAGATTGGCCACAATTGGGCGGCTCGAATGACCCACAATTGTCATACCCAACAAACGCGTTGTTGCCAAGGCGTTCCGCGCAACGGCACAGCTTGATACAAACTTTCACTTCGATCGAACCATGGGTCGAGCATCCACATTGAGAACAGAAGACAAGGAGAATACGAGGGTCTGTTTGGATTCGAAATAGGGTATTCAAGAGATTGTATATCACAAGAGTATACCATTGAAGTGATCTTCGTGCTTGCATTTATGATTGCATTTGTTCATGAGCTCCACAAATCTACTGAGTCGAAATTGCCTTCAAAAACTTCTTCGTCTCAGAAACAAACTCTTACTTCTCCCCTGGCAGTTTCCTTGCCTCCCCAGCCTTCCTAACCTTCTTCATCCTCTTCTTAAAATCGTTCCGCGGCACCATACCATCCAGCTGCTTGACCTTCTGCTGCATGATCTTTCTCTTCTCCTCCAAGCCAGTTTTCAGATAGTCTTTCTCCGCCTCAAGGTCTTTGGTCGTGAGCTTCAAACTCTCCACCCGGTCTTGCTGAATCTGGCGCGTCGTTTCGGCGTCGGGGGCTTTTGCGGCGAACGCGGCGTCGAAGGCAAGACATGTTGGGCAAGGAGAGGAGGATTTGAGCGTGAGGCAGCAGGGGAATATGGTGGAGAGGCGGGTGCAGATGGTGCAAGGGGGAGGTATGCTGGTGGGTGTTGAAGGTTTAGCGAAGGCGTATTTGCTGCTCTGGGCTGTTGCTACGATGTATTTTGGTGACTCTCTCGTTCGCAACTTTGGTGCAGGCATCTCTCTAGTGATGAGCTATTGTACTTAATACTTGCAGCCTGTGATTCTTCGTGAGACTTTTGCGGTGCTTGAGTGGGAAGTATCGGCGACGATATCGATAAGGCCAAGTTAAACGAGTGTGGTTGAGGTGGACGTCGTAACTGTTGGGTCGATGATGAATGGTACTGGTAAAGGAAAGATTCTCTGAGAAGCTTTTATTTATGTCAAGGAGCCAGTGCCTTGCGATCTGAGTCTGCGATGTCTCATGTGTTTTTGCATCTGTGAAAGGGATTGTCTACACGATGGTAGCAGCCCGAGACTGCACGCACAGCCTGCAACATCAAAACTCAATGGCAACTCGCTGCCTACACCAGTGGGTGATATAGCTACTCTGGCTCGAGCTTAAATTTGCCAGTCAAGCAGTCGTAGTCAGGCAGCAACCGAGCTCGTCACGACTGATTTACGTCACGACGCTCTCTCCCTGCTGCATATAAATAACGACAAGACCCCACCTGGGCACCTCTCTACCGCATTTTCGGATCACCAACAGCCTCAGCTGCTCACTGTCTCAACTAAAATCTGGATCATCATTGTGAGCACTGACATCTCAAGACCCAGCCACTGAGAGTCTGAGACAGTCTTAGCACAACATAGACATATCTGTTACTTCGACGACGCTTGCACACAGCGAGTGGAGAAAAAGCCAGCTCCACAGTGATCTTCAACGGAGTCACATCAACTGCAAACCCCGCTCATTCTAGTCATACAGTATGGCTCGCAACCAAAATCGCCGAGTCATGCCTGGCGCTTTCTCGCAGTATCGCGACGACGAGGCAAGCGATTCTGACAGCTCAGCGAAGAGTTCAGTTAGTAAAGAAGCACCGCGTGGTTCCGACTCTCCAACAAAACAGTCAACAACACATATCGACGAAGACGTCGACGCTCTGAGCAGCCGATTTGGGAAGCATCTTCATGGTGTCCCACCTGTGCTTCCACTTCCTAGCGCCACGGCTACAGTGGAACCAAGTTTGGGAGGAGGTTCCCCTGGCCCTGGAAAACCTGGTCACATGGCTCGAGCAGGGCTATCTGCGTTTCCCAGCCTTCCTGACTTTCAAGGTATTCTTGGTAGGATTCCTGTTCCGAAGCCACCAAAACAACAAACAGCTCCCACCCCTCCTTCGTCGGCTTTCTCATTCGTAGCCAGTGCGGACGCATTCAAACGCGAGTTCAGCTCAACGCACTTTGCACCGTCGACGTCAAGTGTTGATTCGGCCCAGCACCCTGTAGCTCCACCCGGATGCCCAGGTTCCGCCGCTCCTGAGAAAGTCCCCCCTTTCTGGTTCAAGTCTCCCCCAGGTTTTCAGCGTCATGAATTTCTTTTTGATGGAAAGAATCCATCTATCTTCAGCGATCAGACACAAAGATACCTTGATAGTGTAAAATGGCAAGGCTTTGAGGGCCAGAAGCCATCGCTGTTCAGCGATATGAACAAACCTGTTTCTAGCGCCGAAAATGAATTTAAGCCCACAGGCTCTGATAGTCAGGCTGAAACTCTTCCTGGTGGACAGTCTACACCCCTTCGCGACGGCCAGGGCCATGCTTCCGCGAAACTCAAAGTCCAGACCAGTGAGAAGCCCGAGCCTCCCATGGGAGTATATTCGCCAAATATGGCGATTCAAGAGAATCGCGCAGCCTCGGCGAAGCATCAGTCGGACCACTTACAGGAAGAAGAAGATGCCGTGAATGATGAAGACACACCCGCGAAGCGCCTCTTTCGTCAAGGCAAATCAAGCAATCCGACTATGCCGAGAATGCCTGAAAGATACGTTCCCGAAGCTTCGAGAGCTATCTCGCCCATTAGGCCCATCTTCAGTTCTTCAGAAGACTTTATTTCATTCGCGAAGAAAACCATCTCTTTGAGTACGTCCGACATGGAGGCAGTCATGCCGACCTTGAAAACTCTGTACTACCTGATCATCGATTTCACAAAGGGAGTCGCCACCAATATTCGGACTGGTGAATCACTCAAGTCTGTTATGGCGGACAACCTGCCTCGTATTCAGACTCTTTCGCAATTGTCTACTGCAACCAAGGATGGCGTGCTAAAACACAAGAGGGAGCTCGACACGCTCGAGGATCAGGTAGTAGCGGCTAAGTCTCAGTTGCGCATTAATGAATCACTCCTGCGTTCCCTGGAGAACTATCTTCTGGAACACATAATTGGGTTCTATCCAATCAGTCGCTGACCAAGCATGGAACTCAAGATCTCTAGCTGAGTATTCGAAGAGAAAAGCGGAAGAGACCAATACTCATGTGAACGAGTTGCGCCTTGAGATTCTTGCTCTGGAGGACAAGCTTCAAAAGACGGAGTCAAGAGCAGACATTGCAGAGAGTGGAGAGGAAGATTTTCGACGCGAAGTGGACCGTCTGGAAAACGAGCATCGCATCAGCCTAGATAAGATGCGACATGACCATCGTGCGGAGCTGAACAACGTCCGCTCCAAATCTGGGCGCGATAAAAAAGCTGCTTTGGACGAGCTGAAGGCCAAGTATGCGAAACAGATCGAAGACGCAGAAGGAAAACTTCGACTGCACAAACAGGCCATGGCCCGGAATGACGAGCTTGAGACGACGATCCGAGATCTAGATCGCGACAAATACAACCTGGGTCTTGCAAAGGCTGTTGTTGAGAAAGAGCTGGATGAGCTCAAGGGCCAGGTGGCTACTCTGAAGATGTACGAGGATGGGTACAAGCAGATTGAAAAGGAGCGTGACGACTTCGAAAGCAGCTACAATGATATGAAAGCTGAACGCAATGATCTCCTACAAGCACCTCGCGCTCTACCAGACACAACCTCGTCGTCCGACTCGGTGGCCAGTGGATCGAAGGTCTTGCACTCAAATGCAGGGATTCTGAACTCGTATGACGAAGATCTAGGAGTCATGGAGGCATACTGGGACCGTCAAAAACAATTTGCTGAGCTGGCAGTGCGCGAGACCGCAGCAGAGCTTGGGCAAATGGAAGCGCAGATCGCCGAAATCACCCTCCAAATCAACGATTTGCAAGGAATTGATCAGTCAGAGAGCGAGGAGGATGCCGAATTTTCCGAGCCTGAAGACGACTCTGACGACGCAGCGAAGCCAGCTGCGAAGCACCCTTCATCAGGACTTCTCGACACGTTGGCTCAACCTCTGACAGCAGAAGACGGCTACCCTGCGCTGCCAGCTACCCGCCAGGCTTTTGAGCCCACTCAACGTCAGCTACAGACATATGCTACCAAAGCTGCTGCGCCTCGAGCCAGTCAGCCGGGAGTACCAGGAGTAGGTCGTGCTTACGCTCAACCGTCCAACCAGGGTGCTGGAGTAACTACAGTAAAGGAAATATGCGCACCTGAGTCTCGCGGCTGGACAGAGGTGAGACCCCGGAGAACGAAGTAGATGAAGTTCGCGTTTATGATGAACGTGCTTCATGGCATATGACACGGGTGATTGCCATGGAAGCAACGGTGGCGGAATGAGAGAGATTTCCACGAGATCTATGCGAATCACGTAGGCGGCGCAGTTTGTACCATGAAAGTTACATCGATTCGAAGAGCGCTATATAATTTAAGAGAACGTGATGAGATGAGCTTCCGTATGCTGATGCTGATGTTTTCGAACAGTGACGTTTGTTGTGAGACTAAGACCGGTGTGGACGCGCTAAAATGCACTGGCGTGTCAAACCTGACGACGTCAACGCTTCCAGGCGTCTGCCAACCACCTTTACATCCGTGTTCATGCTCCCTCACGATTGCATACGACAGCTTAACGCGTTATTTTTAGTCATGCGTACTATCGCCCTACTTCTCCAGGATGAAGATGCCTCGAGTGTCAAAACGACTGACTATACGTAGCCGCAAGCTAACCCAAAATCCTGTCACATCTATTTCTTCTTGCCCTTCTTCACTTTCGCTGGCCTCATGTAAAACTCTGGTGGCTGCTCCTTTGTCTGCTGCGGCTGCAGTCTCTTAAGCTCTGACTTCATTTTCGCCAGCTTCTCCTCTCCTCGTCGGGTGTCCGCCTGCAGCTGCAGGTCTTCGTGCCGTATCTTCTCGACTTCGAATTTGAGCGCTTCGATGCGCGCGTTCTTCTCCGCATACCTTTGCTTGTGATCTTCATCGCGTGTCGCCTCTACACCTTCTTGTTCTGGATAGCCTGGTATGTTATCAGTGTCGCTATCGTGTGCATACCAATTATCCGGAGCTTTGCGTTCGTATAGCCTGTCGCGATCAGGATGAAAGCCATGGAGGCTGGAAGAGGCGGAATATCTGGGGTTGGGATTATCTGCATGTGCGTCAATTCTGTACTGATGATGGAGTGGGGTTCTGACCTTCGGATGCTCGGCCAGACACTGCGAATCCTGCTGTTGCACGCGGGCCAGAGATATCGCCGTTTCCACGCCACTCATACCGATCGGACATTTTGGCGGCCTCAGACGCAGGCTCGTGACTTTTGGCGTATTGGGAGTATGTAGAGTGAAGTTGTAGACAGTGATCCGGTAGAGACTTTTCACAGGGCGGAGGTGAATGAGTTGCAGGCTACTTGACATGGGAGCGAAACACTCAAGCTAAAGGAAAGAAATTGAAATAATGCGAGGGAAGCGGCGATTGGCTAGGCGACAATCACTCCCCTAACCACAAAGCACCGCGGCCCACCTTGTCTAGTTCACCCAGATCGTGAACCCAGTCATCAACTTTTCCCTGCGGTTGCACCGCTTCTAGGAAACGCCTCAACTGGTCGGACATACCCTCTGTCACTAAAGGTAACAACTGGACAGCTACATCTAACTAGCGTACTTCGTTTGATCTTCCACTACCCTCGGCATGCCCCAGCCTTTGTAAGTGCCTGTACTGATCAGCGTGCTACCCGACAAAAGAAATCGGTCGCCTCCTTCAAACGCATAGCCCAAATTGATAAAATTCCGACCTTCACGCAGGGGAAGTATGCCTCCGAAGCCACCCTTCAAGAGGGGCTTTCGCAAGCCCGAAATAGACAAGACCCAGGGTGCTATACGATCGCGCGGCAAGGCGACGGACAAGCAACTTTCTGAGGCTATTTCGACGCTCGAGTTCCACTCAAAATGGGTGGACCTCAGCATGCTATGGGGACATCACATGCTGGAAGTGCTGGACCGCCTGCAAATGTTGCTTCAACCTACGTCACCGGGTCTGGCAGATACGGTACGGAATATCTGGATCGTCTTCAAAGAGGTCACGAGCGGACTCCGCAAGGGCCCTTCTACATCACAGGATCTCTGGATCGATGTCGAAGAGGCCATGATCGAACCTAGCAAGGGCCTCACTAGCACTGTCAACGGAATGCTAGATGTCTTCCTAGGCTATGAGATACAGAAAGACGCGCTCGTATTGAGCAACATTCTTCCAAACATCGACTCACTTCTATCGTTCCCCGTCACCAACGTCCGGACAAAGTCCGTGATGCTAGTCAAAAAGTGGCGAGTTATCATGGACCTACACCCGCTGGATGAAGAAGCCGGCGAAGGAGTGTCACAGGAGACCGTTCACATCATGTCGGGACATGGAGACGTCCCTGCAGCGGACGTATGCCACCGAATCCTGCTTGACAAGCTAATCAAGATCATCGAGAAAGCTCGATGCATGGACCTCGTATCTCTGAAGCTAGGCAGAAAAGCCATAGACATGTTTCCGGCGAGTCTCATGACCAAAGACGCACTCACAGCAACCAAGGTCCTCGTGCAGATGCAGGACTTTGGAGATCATCCGGATCCTTACGTTCATCAAAGATGCGACGAAATAGTCGCTCGATTGAGATTCTTTCTAACGACACAACCGCCTGTGAATGGTAGTAGCCTCGAGGTTGATACCCTAAGGCTCTCTGAGGTGGCAACTCATTCCAAAAATGAATACTCGGAAGACGCATTGGTTCGTCATGATATTGAAAAGCTTGATGTACGTGCTCTGCAGGGCTTGTGCGAAGCACAATTGTTAAAAGTAGTGGACTGGGCGAAAATGGTTCCGAAACGGATGGAACACATCCAGGAACTTCTGTGTGAGGTAGCAATGGGGCAAGAGTCAAATCAGGAAGAAGAAAGCGACACCATTGAGGAGCTTCGCTATAGCTTCAAATGGTCTAAGAGTATGATCGATTCGAAGGGACAGGTGATCGACAACCAAAGGGAAAATCTACTAGCGCAGAGAAGGATACTTGACGCGAACGAGAGTAACTTAGCAGGGATGAGATCGGAAATGGAGAGTACCGTGGCGAATATGATGTTGGAGATGGAGAAGCAGCGCAGCAAGTATTACCAGGACGTCGAGGTAAGTCGCTGATCTCTAAATTACCGATGAAGCGTTGCTAATAACTCACTAGAAAGGTGTCAACGAAACGACCGTTGCGCTGCGCCAGCAGCTGAATGCAGCTAGAACCGATACCTCGCTTTACAAGCAGATCTTGAACGAGAGGGAAAAGCTCCAGCAAGAGAACATCATTATTCGGCAGGACAAGGCTCGCCTGCTTATCGCCAAGTTACAAAAAGAAACAGAGTGCAAGGCCGCAGAAGACTCGATCAAAGTTATAACCGAAGGCTATGATCAGCTCAAGAAGACCGTCACCGAGCTGGAAGCGAATGTCATTGAGCTCCAGGTAGACAACGACTACCTACTGCAGGAGCGAGACGATCTGCGCAATGCCGTTGAGTCATTGAAGGCTGAAGCTCTCCTATCTCAAAGAGCGCCAATGGAGGACGCCACCGTCACCTCAACTACGAAGAGATACGCGCGAGAGTTACAGCATCTGGACAGCACGATCATGGTCTGGGAAAAGGACCTCGCAGCCGCACAAGCCAAGAAGAAGGCAACTCAGGATAAGAAGAACGAGGTCGACGCACAGATAGCAGAGATTGCGACCCAAATCAAGGCTCTCAAGCATCCCAAGGGTAAGATACCTGAGCAACCTCTGCCTCCGCCTGTCGTACCCCAGATGCAACTTCGTTTTGCTCCGACACCGCCTACACCACTTGACCATCTGGCTCTTCCCTCGCGGCAGGTCCCACATCAAGAATCCGATGAGTCTCCATCTCCGCCAGGCGTACCTCGAGTGCGGCTCCCTGCCGGTCCCGCATCGCTTCGTCCGGCCCCTACTCAGCAATAATTTTCAGCGCTGACAGCTCAAACAACGGCGCTCCAGACATCTAGTGATAACGGTATGGGAAGCATACGTACTGAGGATTCGGAGTGGTGGGAGAATCGTATTGGGCAGCAAGGGTTCACGCCATGGTGTGCTGAGGATATCCTTCGGGGATGCCTTGTAGGGGAACCAGCATGGACTGAGGGGACAAATGTTTTTTTTGGGTCGCATTAAAGGTCACGTCGCGCGATGAGGTAAGCTTTAGCTGACATGTCAGAACAAAAATGGTAGTGGCAAATGAACCTGATATGATTGATGCACACGCGCAGCTCTATCTGCTTTTGCCCCAACGCCCAAGCGCCATGCACATGCAACATCGTACACCTCCCCTGCGCATAGCATATTTACCTCTTCTTCATCCTGACACTCTTGCCCGGCCTCTTCGCCGTGCCGCCCTTCATCTTCTTGACCGAATACCCACTGCCGTCCGCACTCGACTTGGCGTCGTTGCTCTTCGCGTGCCTCTTCTTTCCGCCAAAGCCGAACTTCTGGTCCTTCTTTGCGCGCTTAGTATCGCGCTTACCGTCACGACCCTTCTCGCCGGAGGAGGGCTTTGTGTCGTTATCGAGGGCAATGTCGAAAAGATCTTCTTCATGCGTGTTGCCAATCTCAGCACCTTGTCGTTCTGTTGGGGTTTGTTAGCATGTGCAAAGTCTAGTCTGAGTGGGATGGACGTACTCCGCTTGAGGGTGTTGATCTTGTCGATAGTCTCGCGCTTCTCCTTCGCGCGCTCCTGCATTTTCGCGACCTGGACTTGCTTGCCGAACTTCTTCAGATCTCTCTGCTTGCGTGCCTCGGCGGACGCTTTCTTGCCTGCAGCCTCGTCGATCAGCTTCTGCTTGATCTTGCCCATGTGCTCGTCGCTCTTGACCATTTCAGCGAAGTAGTCTGCTGGTCGTGAGAAGCCTACGCCCTCTTTTTTGAGCTTGGAGCGCGCGTCCTTGACGGCCGATAAACATTGCTTGTAGAATGCGAGTTCGCGGTTGAGGTCGTCTTCGACATCGTCGATCTCGACGGGCTCGTCGGTGACGACAGATTGGTATTCTGAGAAGGCGAGCTTGGAGTAGGGAAGTTGTATGCGGTTGAGTGCGGCGGTCAGGGCGGCGGTGTTGTTGATTGTTAGGCGCTGGTGTGGGATAATGTCGCCCTTGTCTTCCGAAGCTAGCGACTCGATGTCGGAGAGCGGGATGTCATCCTCATCTTCATCATCCTCCGCATCTTCGTCGTCGTCCTCGCGCTCCTGCTCGCGCATCTCCTCCTCGTCAGAGCTGATGTCGCTCTCGCTGTCCTCCAGATGTGAAAGGTCGAGCGCACGTCGCTCGGGCATATCGTCGTCATCATCGCTGGCGTCTTCGTCTTCGCTGCCTTCGGTCTCCCAGTCGGGTTCCTTGACGGCGGGCGCAGATTTGCTAGCCTTCTTGGGCTTCGTCGAGTCCTTCTTCTTGCCCTTCACCTTCACCTCGACCTCGTCCAGGGGAACGCCTCCGTCTTCTTCAGAGTCGTCATCATCGACCTCTGGCTTGTTCTTTTCTTTGCGCTTCCGCGCCTCTTTCTCCTTCTTGCGCTGCTTCTCGAGCTTGATGTTGCGACCTTTCTCATTGTCGAGTGCGGCCTTGAGCTTGCTTTTCGCCATTGTGTATAGTTGTAAGCGAAGTATTCCGTTCGGTTATTCGGTCAATGTGTATGCGCAAAAGTCGCGCGTAGTATACGATCAGACGTCAAAGCTCCAAAAATTATCTTAGAAGTTCCAAATCTTGGCGCAGAAAAGTGCTAGCGTGAACGCTAGTCTCACCGCCCGTGAAGCCGCGGCATGCATCACGTGGTTGCCCTGAACTTAGTATTCACTTCCATGTACCACAAGCCCTGTACACCATAAACGACAGCTTGTGTTGAATTACTTGACACTTCCTTTCGATACGAGAAATATACGCGCTAGTCAAACCACTCCACACATCCACAATGTCAACACCACGACCAAACATGGACCGCGCGACCAGCGACGCGAACGTACGTACATGCAGGACCAACAATATGGAACATCCTCACTAAGATCCGGATACAGTCTGTCAATAATGGCGGAGACAGCTCTGTTGAACTAGCACAAGTCGTCGATGATCTGTTAAGCCAACTCAACACCAAGTTCTCCACCATCAGCAGCGAGCTGCTTTCTAAGAGTAAGATAACATGACTGCTGCACAACGAATCGTGTCTGATAGATGTAGTGGATGATATGTCACGAAGACTGGATAACCTTGAAGCAACGATTCAAGGTGGTGAGGGTAGCAAAGGCCCTGATTCGGACAAGTAGTTACCAGAGGGGTTGGCAGCATAACGACATTGATACATGCTTCGGTTCGTCCGTTTGGGCAATACTAGTCACGCCGTGTTACATCATGATACAGGTTGGCGTTAGGGTATAGACAATAATGAGTTTAGTTTTGTGTTTGTTCTTATCGTTTGTTAAGCTATATCATTCTCATAATCACACAAGATCTACTTGCATCATACCTGCGCTTTTACGTATCCCATCATATCCCATGTATCCAAGGCTAGTCATAAAGAGTACCATCGCTAAATGTGCAATATCGTCTCGTCGGCCGGGAGAGACAGCATCTACAACTCGCTCTTCTCCTCCTTGCCCAAGAACCGCCTGAGGATGTTGCTCCTGCTAACGAGGTCATCGAGCTTCTCAGGCGCAAGGTTGCCCTTGCCGATCAAGCCCTGGAGCCTCTTGAACTCCTTCTGGGCGTATCCCTCGTTCGCGGCGGCCTTCTGGAAGACCTTGGCGTAGTACTGGGCGTACTTGTCCTGGAGTGTGTCGGCCAGCTTCTTCGCCTCCTCAGCGCCATCAGCATATGCGCCCTGGAACTTCTCGACAATGGTGTTGAAGGCTTCGATGGTTCCGCCAGTAGCGTCAAGACCACCACCAACAGCGCGGTGGGTGCCGGCGTTGGTGTTGAGGAACTCGATGAAGTCCTTCTCAGAGCGACCGCCCTCGTATGGGAGAGCCTCGGTGCTACCCTTCTTGAAGTACTTGATGGTGGGGTAAGACTGGACGCCCTGCTCGGTTGCGAGGGCCTTGGAGTTCTCGGCTTCGGCATCGACCTTGGCGATTAGGACGCTGGGCTCGTTGACGAAGTCGTTGGCGAGGGTCTCCCAGATGGGTGCGAGAGTCTTGCAGTCTGTAATTTGTCAGCTGTGAAGCAGATTGGAGAGTGGGCAAAACGTACGTCCGCACCATGGGGCAGTAAAGGCGACGAGGACGTCCTGGTCCTTTCCGACCTTCTGCTTGAAGCTTTGGTCATCGAGGAAGGTAACCTGGCTGGGGAGCTTGCCCTTGATCTTAGGCTTCAGGCTGGTCTTCTCTGTGATGAACTTGCTCAAGCTCTCGAGATCACGTCCGCCGTTGTAGTCGGTGGGCTTGTTGCTCTTTCCATCGAACCACTTGAGCGTCGGGAAGCCCGAGACGCCGTAGTCCTTGCCCAATGACTTGTGCTGGTCGGCGTCGACCTTTGCGACTGTGACCTTGTCCGAGGCGTGCTGGAACACGGTGGCAAGCTCCTCGTAGACGGGAGCGAGGTTCTTGCAGTGGCCGCACCACGGAGCGAAGAACTCTACTAGGGCAGGCTTGCCAGACTTGAGGACGACATCGCCAAAGTTGGAGGGGGTGAGGTCGAGGACTGCTTCGGCGGAGACGAGCGCGGGAAGAAGCGCAATAGCTGCGGGTATTAAGTTTTTGAACAACATGGTGTATGTTCTCTAAAGCTTCAGGTATGAATTGAGGCCTTGAGGTGTTTTGTAGAGAAGCGAGATATGCAGGCGGTGGGTAGCTCGAGAGCTATCAGGAACCATGCAAGCGGCGAATTCTTGGCGCTGCGCGGCTGTGAACGTGTCCTTCCCAGACAGTTTCACGTCGGCAGCTCGCAACCTTACAAATCTGCCAGACGATGACACAATATGACGAATCAGATCAAAGCTCGTAATGATTTCTCATCATGAACATCTTCAGCACCGTGGTATTGAAGTGCCGGCACGCGTCCCCGCGCATGCACGAATCTATCCGCGGAGAACTTGCTCATGTAGAATACAAGCTTCACCTTGCTACCATTTTGGAGGCAAGCATACAAGAGCGTACTGCTAATATCAGATCTCCGCACGATTTGAGTCAAGTCTGAGTTGTATTCAGATGGAACGCGTGCCGAGTCTCTGAGAGCCTCAATCACTAGCTCGAATATTAAATCCGCAAAGACCGAGACGTCACCAGCATTTCGTCAAAGCTTCACTGTGATATCTCGGACACGTCCACAACTCGACATGGCTTCCCGCATATTAGCAGCTCCTGTGCAAAGGTCGAAATATATATGCGATTCCTGCTTAAGTGGTGCACGATTGCTACGCAATAAAAAAGTCGCCGCGCCCCGCGTTTTCTCAACTGCGTCATCACAGACTTTCCAGGTCACTACGCAACGCAGATGTCGCCGTTCGCAACACGATCGCCGGCCCATTGCTGTATCTGCAACTCATAACGGCTTCTCCAGGCTCCCCACAGCGTTACGATCATACTTCACCGAAGCCTCCACAGCGCAAGCAATCGCATCCGGCATCGCGCCTCTCCCCCATCGCAGCCTCATATTCCTCTCCGGCCCCACAGCATCCAAGTTCCTACACGGTCTCATAACCCACGACGCAACCCGCGTCTCGCCATTCTATGCCGCCTTCCTCGACGCGCGCGGCCGCGTGATATGCGATGTATTCATCTGGGTATGGCCCGAGCTGATCGCGCAACAAGGGCACTGGGCATGCTACATCGAAGTCGACGCCGGCCAAGCCAACGCCCTGATGTTGCACCTGAAGCGTCACAAACTCCGCCACAAGCTCACAATCAGCCACGTACCAGCTGAAGGACGAGACGGCATAAAGGTCTGGGCAGCTTGGGGTGACGCGCACAAACAAGTCAAGGACTGGGGCGAGATTGCTGGACTGCAGGATCCGCGCGCGCCGGGTATGTATAGGTACCTGGCGAATGCGGATCGCGAAACGATTGCGCGGGACATGCAACCTGTAGACACCAAGTTCTACGACATTCAGCGGTATATACACGGCGTACCAGAAGGGTCAGCAGAAATGCCGCCCTACAGCACGCTGCCCATGGAAGCCAATATCGACCTAAGCAGCGGCATAGATTTCAAAAAAGGATGCTATATCGGCCAAGAACTCACCATTCGCACGAAACACACAGGCGTGGTGAGGAAGCGCATATTACCAGTTCGCTTCCACGCCGGCGGTGCAGGTGCAGCGGACCCACAAGCACCCGTCAACCCATCATTTGCACCGCAGCCTCAGCCGGGGATGGATATCAGGACCCTCGACGACACGGGGGCTTTGAGCAAGGGCAGGCCGACGGGGAGGATCGTTGCGGCGATTGGTAACGTAGGTCTTGCGACTTGTAGGATCGAGAACATGACGTCCATGAGGGTCAGTACAGAAGGCGGGTTCTACAAGGAAGGAACGCAATTTGGTGTTGATGTCGATGGGCAAGTAGTCAGAGTTGAGCCTGTGGTGCACGACTGGTTCGTAGAGCGTAAAGAGGCGCTATGGGGTCGTGGGGAGAAGATGAAGAAGAGCTGGGTCGAAAAAGCACAGGAGGAGTTAGACTAGATTGTAGTCTACAAAGTAATATCAAGTTCACTTGCTGTTAGTATTGGCGGGATTTTGGTGGTCGCCTTGAATTACCTAGTTGCTGACCGGCGGGGCTGTGCTAGTGTGGCTGAGCCCGACGTCATGAGCCCATACATGAGATGAAGACGACAACATCACATATCAGTCCTAATAAGTCGAACGTTTTTGCTAATTCACACGCACCCTTCATTCGGATTCTACACTGATCTCTGCGTAATTCTGCGACGAAAGTGCTAGGGTGACCATGTCCGTCATCCTCCCCACCAAGTCTTCAGAACAAGGCTTCTCAATATCAAACCTCATCTCGCGCTTCCGATCCAAAAAGAGCAGTAAAACCACAGGCTCCAAAGACCATCCACAGCCCACAACAAGTCAAGAATCTCGCCCGCCCTTGATCCCCTCTCCCCTCCCCCTAGTCCTCCCAGAACACCAACAGACCCTCCCACCCCTCGGCTGGACAACAATAACATTCCCGCAACCCTCATCAGTCCCAGACGCCCCTGGCCCACACCCTCTCCAGACCGCATATGAGGATCTCTTCGCCGCCAGCCAAGCCTTCTTCAACTTACCCGACGCAACAAAAGCGCAATGGAAGCACAAACTCGGCTCCGAAGAAGGCTGGTCCAGCATTCCCGGCGAGAAAGAATTCATCACCCTGCGCAGCCTGGAGTATTGTCCTGACATCCTCCTCGGGCCGGCGAAGAGGTATTGGGATTTGATGGGCGCGTATCTCACATCCACTCTATCGCGTGTTGAAACGAGTCTGGCGCAGCAGACGGATAGTTTGACGCGCTTCGTTGGCCCGTGTGCAGTTTTGCAGGCGACGGATGCGGCGAAGACGGCGACGATGTTGAGGTTGTTTCGGTACGAGGGGTGGGAGGAGAAGGTTGTTGCGGAGGCGCATAGTGATTTGGGATTGTTGAGCGTTGTGGTGGGAAACGTACCGGGGTTAGAAGTTTGGGACGGCAAGGGCTGGTTCGACGTTGAGCGCGAGGTGCAAAGAGCGGGAATGCAGGGTGCGAGTATGCTCGTTGGCCGACAGTTGGAGAGGCTGAGTAATGGGAGATATGCGGCGGGCGGGCATAGGGTTGTGAGTTATGGTGCACCGGCACCTACAAATGGTGACATGGAGAAGAGGTATCGGTACAGCATTGTGTTTGTGCTGAGGGCGCATGAGCCGGTTGTTATTGAGTCTGAGGAGTTAGAGACGGAGGTTACGGGGAAGTGGGAGAAGCCGTTGAGCGGGGTGACGGCGGGAAAGATGTATGAAGAAATTCGAGGGAAGCATTTTAATATTAATATTGGGGTGGAGGAGAGGGAGAAGCAGAGGAGGAAGATACAGGAGGAAAAGGAGAAGGGCGCAAAGAACACCTAGAACCAACTATACATCCTTATACAATTGTTGTTTGTCGATCGTAAGTATTCTTTAAAGTGTTATTGCTCTGCATTTCCTCACTTCCATTTTACACACAAGCTGGCCCTTTGTTATTTCCACGATCTATACCGAGATGTACAAACCTCTGTAGAGTAAGGACAATCACTGAGCGAGTATTAATCGAATGGAGAAGTTAGAGCATTCAACAGCACGCAGTAGTACGGCTCTCAGTGCCCAAAAGTGCAGCATCTTCATCTGGTCCTTTTCCGTCATCACGTCAGGTATATATACACAATGTCTAGCAGTGTTCTTGGAAAGTGAATAAGGGGATCGAAATACCCTGGGCCGCCTGCTTGGGGCATCTATACGAACGCTCTGGCAGTGAGCACTTCTTTTCACAACATCAGCCTTTCACAGCAGACCCATAAAGTCCGTCATTCAGGCCGCGCAGTCTCCCATGCAATCACTCACGAGCCCAGAGCCTCTCGCTAGCGTACAAATCCTCTATCCACTCTCTCCCTCCTGATACTACAAAGTCCATCACGCCCTGCCATACAAACTCTCTTCCCACCACCTCGCCTGGAAGTTCCGAATCAACCACTCCGTTGACAACTGACTTTCACAAGCACCATCTACATCTTTAGCATACCCCTATCTACGAAAGTACCTAAACCATTCAATCATGCCAGGTCTTGTTATGGCTCGATCACTCCTCAACCTCGCCGACTTGGTCGCGCTGCCCTTTGGCAATGCGATCGAGCACGCGCGCTCAGCATCCAAGTCCTCCCCGAAGCTGTGCGATTCGGGATATAGCTCGGAAAACGATCAAGGTATCCTATCATCACTCACAATGATCTCGGGGACATGTCCTAATAAGCATGCAGATAAACTACAGCCATCAGATCGGCCGGAGAAGAAAAACGATTGTATTGTCATTCGCCATGAGCATATGCTATATGGCAGCCTTGCACTCTCCATCCTCGGACTCATCGACAAGAACCTCATTGCTCCGGTTGTTATGGGGATGGCTGGTGTCGCCCTCCTGATTCCTCTCATTCTGCCGACGATCGGACTGGAGCAAGTCTTGGATTTGTCTGCTTTCCGGTTTCAGTGGAAACGAGAGATGGAGGTTCGGGATGTTGTTGAATATGTTGATCGCGAGGTTCTCAAGGAGGTTGAGAAACCTGTCTACCACGAGGTCGTCAAATATGTCGATCGAGAAGTTGTCCAGTTTGTTGACCGCGAGGCTGTCAAGTACCTCGACCGCGAAGTTGTTAATTATGTCGACCGCGAGGTGATCAAGTACGTTAACCGCGATGTCATCAAGGAGGTGGAGAAGTCTGTCCATTACTACATCATCAAGACCGAGATTGTCGAGAAGTCGGCCACTCGAGCCGAGACCATTTTTACCGAGACACCGACGCCTGCTTATGCCAATGCAGGAGTACAGGTCGACGGCATGGAGTATTCAAGTTCCTTCACGCGGAAGGTTGCAATCACCGAGGGTCTGCCAGTTGAGCGAAAGACAGTAACCAATGAGGTTTTACCCGTCGCTTCAGTTGAGCAGAACATGGATGGACAGCCCAAGAAGAACAACCGCAAGCATCGTGCCGGTAAGAAGCAGCGGAAACAGAAGACCGCCAGCCTGGTCTCTGCAGAGACCCTCACCATTACCGCTCCTCCTGTTGACCAGACTTCGACATCTGCTGCAACAAAGATTGTGGAAGAGGTTTTGACAACGTACGAGACGCCGATCAATGAGAAGATCTCATCAGTTTCTCTTGAAGAGGACTCAGGAGTCGCTGCTTCAGCTCCAAGCACCACCGACGCCGACATCCAATCCATCTTCATTCGCACTACCGCTGCACAGAATGAGGGAATGCGTATCGCACAAGAGGCTCGCGATCGAACACGCAAGCCTGGCGGTATACCTCCTCAGATCGAAAAGGTCAAGGACGAGCGCGAGACTGACCTTCCACCCCACGAGCACGACACCTACAAGGATCTAGTCTTTCGGACGGTGGCAGATATGAATGCAGCTGATCAGGAGTACCTGACTATGCCTCCACCAGGCCGAGGCAGTCCTGCTACTCAACAAGGCTTCGACCGCAATACTGCCATACGAGACACATTTTTCTTCCGTGGCGAGGAATTGCAGAACCCTCACACCTGGGGGGAGACCCCAATCAAGCACCTCTTTGTATCCATTCCAGTGAAGGGCGTGTGGCTTTACGTAACACCAGAGGCGTCCTACGTCTTCCGCTGGCACGTCGAGAATTCAGTCTGGTATTGTGAGGACTACGGCTTTGGATTCCATCAGACAGAGCTGAAAGCGAAGACGGAACCGTTATTTGAATACTTTTATGCTGATCTAACTGTTCCAAATGAAGACGTAACGGCCAACGGTGCGCGACGCGTCGGAAGCCCTGAAGGCCCGTTTTGGGCTCAGGCTGTTGCGGACTGCGCGGCAGAGGTTAAGAAGCAGATGAAGGCTGAGCAGAAATCCCAAGAGGCCGCACAGGAGATGCAGCAGGAGATTTATGAACAGCAAATCAAGGCCAAACAGTTCAAGCTACATGTTCACCAACAAGAAGAGCAGAGGCGAGCGGCATGCCCGGCGCCGCAGATGCCGAAGCAGTTTGATCAAGACAACCCTGCCTTCAGAACCGCTCAGCAGAAATGGAATGAACATCGGGCTTCTCGTCAGTCACAACAGACGCCACAGATGCCGAAGCAGGGCGATTACGATGATGCCCAGTACTGGAACGCTCAGCAGTCTCAACAGAGTACTCCTCCCCAGTCACGACCAAAGGCTCGTACTCGCGCTCGTGCTCCCAAGATGACGCCACAACAAACTGGCTCGGAGCATGCTCGCAAGGCAGCCGAGTAGATGGCGAGCTGGGAGAGCATTTCCGGTGAGAAGAAGAAAGCGAATGGAGAGAGGATGTTTTCAGTGATGTGTTGGATGAGATGGATCTTGCGAGTTCGGTGGAAGATGTAACGAGATTGGGATTAAGATTTGGAGCAAATAGATCGGACATCTTCGGGAAGGGCGTTTGGGCTTACATAATTTCTAGGAAGGTGCCTACTTAACGAATAGATGATGGGAAAAGCCGAAGAAGAATAAACTGCTAAATTCATGATTGATGTTCCAGTGCGCAGACACTGTGACATTCGATGGGCTTTCACCCTCAACATATGATGATCAGTGTACGTGAACCACACTGCAACAGATTTAATGCCCTACTTACCGTGGAATGAAGACCCATCGCATGCGTTATTATAGTGAAATCTCCCGTAATCTCCAGGTTGACACCTCTCATCTTCATACACCATTCCCGACATTCTTCCAGCGATGCGCATTGGGGGCAGTGGCGGGAGATGCAACACCCATACTCCGCCGCCGTCGGGCCAGCCAAAGATGTACTTCTTTTGCTGCTCGGCGGCATACCAGTGACGGAAACCGTCGTCGAATAACCACAATTGGCCGTTTGCGAAGGCGTTCGACAGGAGGGCGCCGCCGGCGCGGAAGATGCGCAGTGCGACGTCATGCTCGTCGCTTTCCGTCCAATTTGGCTGCAGCACGGAGAGGAAGTCATCTCCATTCAATTCGTCGTGCCATGTGCGGCCGAGGATGTGTGTGACGAGAGCCGGTATCGTGGTTTGGAGCTGCACGATTGTTTCCTTAGGGCGTGGCTTGGGGTAGGCGTAGAGTTGGTATACGTTGTAGCCATAATGAGACTTTATCCGCAGCCGCGTTGGGTATGCGAACGGTTCGTCGGGGTATAACGGTGGTGAGTTTGCTGTTGTGGTGAGGGGCATTATGGGAGAAATGTGGTGTTCTGCGGCGTGGTGGATGAGGAACCTTAGAAGTACATACCGGGGCATGAAGGCGGCAGCCTGATTTATGCTTGAAGGAAATTCAAACCTTAATACTAGGCAGACGTTTAGCAGCGCTGCGCAGTCCTCCTACTCCTCCGCACCCGCAAAAAAAGATATAAATTCCCTAAGCCCAGCGCCCTAGCAAAAAGAGTAACGTCGTGTTATGCCCGAAAACCCGTCGACTTTGAGTTTTACAATTCCGATGTCGATTTCTCGGTGCCGTAGCTGGGATGCACTCATGCGTAATAGAATGGCTGGCTGGGCTGACATATCAGTGTGAGATAGGTGTGGATAGAGGCACTGGATGACCGAAACGCCTGAAATTGGATGTTGTTCATATGGAGCGGGGAACGGGAGAAATCATGAGGAGTAATAGAGACATAAATGAGCTCGATGTAATAGAATCAGAAGCACTCGGCCGGAGGTTGTGAACGTGGTATCAGCAAGGTGGGAGATGTGCGAGAGATGGGTGTAAGAAGTTCACTGGTATCAACGACAATTACCTTTTCTCCCGCGCCCTCTCCTCTTGCTCTCTCAGCGCACGCTGCCCCTCCTCTTCGATCGCCATCTTCTTCACTGCTTCAATCCTCTCATCAATGATCGCAATGTCCGCCTCAACCTTCAGCAACTTCTCCTGCAGCATCTCTTCATACTGCTCGTCTGTCAACACACTCATGGGGCTCCACTTGCTCTTCGCAAACTTCTGCATAAGCGTCTCCTTCGGTCTATCCTCGGCCAAGGCTTTGAGCTGCGCTTGCTCCCGGAGTTCCTGCGAGTTGCGTTTGTCGAGGAAATTATAGCCTTTTTGCCCGCCCCAGCCGAAAAGGGTGAACATGATGGTGCCGGGGACGACGTTGCGCGGACCCCGGAGAAGTAGACCTAGACTGATGCCGGTGAATGCGCCGGCAATGGTTGAGGCGCGGACCTTGTCTGAAAGAGAAGGGCTCTGGTCATTACGAGCGATCAATGGGACGCCACGGGTGAAGTTCCACCAGTTTTGCAGGCCATCTTGGTTGAGAATGGCGGTCCTGGCTGTCCAGAAGGTGGTGCCTATGGCGAAGCATTGTGCGCCTGAGGCGATGGAGAAGAGGACGGGAGTCGTCGTTTTGAGGGTTCCGTAGAAGGAGCCTATGGCAAGTCCCGGGACAGCTAGTATGGTTAGCCTTTTGGTCTGTGATTGAATCGGTGTTGTGCTGCGCACTTCGAGACCTGGGCTACACGTGATATGACTCGGCAGCAGAAAGGGTTAGACTCGAGAAGCAGAGGCAACCATGGCGTCCACACCTTAGGCCTCGTTTATCGAGCAATCTGAATAAAGAAGAACATGTACAATAATGGAAGCACTAAGACTAAATCGCACATACCAGTTGCGACACCAACAGAGGCGGCTGATTGTGCTACATCGAGGGGATGGGTGACCTGCTCCGGGTCGTACCGCTTGGTCATTGCTCGTTCATTGAAGCAACCGGCAGCAGGAAAATGTTTCGCTGGCGTTAGACTACCTAGAGGTGAGGTTGGATTCGGTGTCGGAGAGTCGGGATCTCGAGGCAAAATGATGTAGGCGGTGACTAAGCGGGCACCCAACGAAAAGCAGTGTTTAGCACATTTCCCGAAAACTGGTGGACCTTGCCCACGCACCGACTCCACCCCACAACCACCCACTACAGCGACCGAGAGCAAGAGACCGCTCTCTATACCTACCACGACAGCGCGCGGAAATTCACTGCGCGTTGCCCACCAAAACCGCAATCATGGGTATGCAGCCTTTCTTCGGCGCGGGACAGCCAGGCCGCGCCTCCCAGGCGGCTTTTTTTGCCCCGCGCCGTGCAGCGACAAATTTGAAGACGACATGGCTGACGGTTTTTGCGTGCAGCGCCCAAGAAGAAGCAAGAGAAGATGTCCCTGGGAGACTTCCTAGGCGACCAATGTACGCGAATCCGGCCCCGCTTTGCGCACGCAGAAGACTGACAGAATGTAGCTCTTGGATCATGGGCTGACGAGATGGAGGACATGCCAATGCCTCGTGAGTAGCCTCGCACCAATTTTTGCAACCACGTATGCTAACAGTATCTAGGCGGAGGTAATTTCACGCATGCGCATTCCACGATGCGCTTCCCGAGTTGTTGATATACTTACACTGCAATAGGTGGCGGCAGCAGCTCTGGCTATGGCGGCGACCGCCCAACCTTTGGCTCTTCGGGCGGAGGAGGATTTGGAGCAGACCGCGGAGGCAGCTTTGGTGGGTGCAGCAGCCGCACCTTCTCTATACGTGCTGACATGTGTATAGCCGACCGTGGATTCGCCATGCGCGAGGAGCTCCCCCTCCCCTCAAAGCCCCCGTACACCGCCCACTTGGGCAACTTGTCCTTCGACGCCACCGAGGGTGACGTGAACGACTTCTTCGCTGACTGCGAAGTCACAAACGTTCGCATTGTCGAGGACAAGCTGGACCGCAAGCCGAAAGGTTTCGGGTACGTCGAATTTGGCTCTGTCGATGGCCTGAAGAAGGCCCTCGCATTGTCTGGCACGCAGTTCCAGGGCAGAAATGTCAGGGTTAGCGTTGCCGAACCTCGTACGCACACGCCTTTCACCTAGGGTAGTCTCATGCTGACATCACCGTAGCCAAAGAGGGCCGCTCCGAGGCCAGAGAAATCACCGACTGGACCCGAAAGGGACCCCTACCAGATCTTCCCGGCCAGCGACGCACATCTGACCGCGGTGCTGGCTTCAGCCGTGGCGGTGGTGGTTACGATGCTGCCTCCGACGCAGGCAGCGACCGGGGCGAACGCCGCAGCACACTGCGCTCCCTTCGCCGGCGACGGAAAGGAGCGCGACTTCGGCAACTGGGAGCGCAAGGGCCCTCTCTCTCCGGCAGCAGCAGCACCAAATGCCATGGCAAGAGAAGGCAGGCAACCGAGCTTCCAGGGTGGTGCCCGTGAGCACAGGCAATCCCCCGCCTGGGGTGAAGGACGCGAGGACAGCGGCTCTCGTGGACCCCGTCGCGAGTTCCAGCCATCAGAGCGACCGCCTCCCGTAGAGAGAGCACCCACTGCGGCTGATCAGGACAGCCAGTGGCGCACTAAGATGCGCCCAGATGCTCCCGCATCCGCATCCCCTACAGGCACTCCGGATGGCAGCACGCCATCTTCCCCTGCGCCCGCAGCTGCTGCGCCTGCCGGCCGCCCAAGGCTCAACCTCGCTAAGCGAACAGTCTCTGAGGCCCAGCCACAAGCAGAGGCAGCTTCTTCATCCAACAAGCCCAACCCCTTCGGCGCAGCTCGCCCCATCGACACAGCAGCTCGCGAGAAGGAGATCGAAGAGAAGAAGCAGCTTGAGTTGCGACAAAAGAAGGAGGCTGACGACAAGGCTCGTGAAGAGAGGAAGGCCAAGGAAGCCGAGAAGGCCGCCGCCGCCAAAGACGCAGCACCTGCTGACAAGGCGAAGTCTCCATCTGAGGAGAAGCCAAAGGCGAACTTCGAGATTCTTCAGCGAGAGAACGAGGAGGGCACCGCCGCAGGCCAGGACGAGGATGCCGAGGGCGAGATTGTGGACGACAAGGCCGTGAAGCCCCAAGAGGTTGTCCGTGACCCCCCGAAGTCAGCTGGAGCTTGGAGACGTAAGGACGATGCGTCGCCTGCCGCCGAAGGCAGCACAACCGAGAAATTGGACGAAGATGGCTGGAGTACGGTAGCGAAGCCCAAGAAGACTCAGGGCCGCCGCGGTGGACCTCCAACTCGTGCAATTGCATCTTAGGTGGACACGCATTGACACCTGACTTGTTCGCGGTTTTTTCCCTGGTTATATTCGAGCATGATCGCAACGTCGCGCACATTTCCCGGCGTGATGGAGTTTTCATGAGACACTGCAGTCTGTTCAACCGATGGACGACCTTTGTCCTCGATGGCGGTCTCGACTATTGTTGCATTACGTGTTTATGCCCTGCTTCCCTTTTGTATTGGCTGCACAATACCTCGGTACGATCGATGGCCATGCGTCCATGACTCCTTACGATCATGGCTTTCCTTATGCACACTGTATTCCAAAAGTTGTTGGTTTTCCGTTGCATCCCCTCTCTTTCATATACGCTGGGATCAAAATCTATATGGTTGGCCATCTTTTCGATTACCAGTACGCGTATGCTGTAGCATGATGGAGAGCAGTACAGAGATGGAAGTGATTGATGGTAAGGTTGCGGCGAGCGGCAACAAACGGTTTCTTTCAAAATAGACGTAAGGGTGCTCGGGCATGTATTTAGCAACTAGATAGCTTGCTGAAGAGATTATCCACTCCACTCATACTCCACTCATGCAATGTTTGGTACGTGGGTGCGTTCGATTGGTGAAAAATTTAGCACTGCATTGATTGCAACAACAGCACATTAGCAGCATGTCTCTACGAGCAGCGATATCATAGTAACGAGCATCACAGCTTGTCATCGACGCATCGCCGTTGATGATCACCGTTGACGGCGATCGCTCCCGCCTGCTCGCTTGGATACGCCTGGAATACCCCTGCACCTTCGCCCCTCATACGTCAGTCAGATGGACCCTGCATCTTGTCCAACCTCGAATTCCTGTTTGAACTGCAATACGTGCTTCAGGATTCAGACATTCTCTTGTAGCTTCATCAGAGTAGCAGCTCATCCAAAATGTTTCCATCAGTCACTTAAGGACATACATTCACTGGTGTCATTGTTGTCAAGACTGACGAAGGACTGAACAGTATCTCGATCTGTTCACTGTTCGCGAGTAGCTTGCTGACGTTACAGTCGTCATGGCATCCAAATCATCATCACCTGGTCCTAATCCGACGACCAAAACGCCAGCACCCAAGCAAGCTCGATCACGAAAAACAACAACACAAGATGTGACAGTTGGACGAGCAGGCTCAGCGGGCGGTATTGTCTTGGAAAAAGAGAAAGAAGCAAAGAACAAACCTACACCGACGCCCAAGCCAGCTCAAGATCTACCGACCGACACACCAGCCAAAACCCCCCGTCGCAAACCCCGGAAGCTCAACAAAGATCCCACGCCCACCACCCCAGCTTCTACAAGCAAGGTCGTCGAACCGCCCACGCCTACCGAAATCGAAGCCCTCAAATCCCGCGTCCACGGCCTCGAAGCCAAAGTCGAAGAACTGTATAAGTCTGGGAATCTAGATCGACCAGGGCGTTCGCCGCGCCGACGGGGAAAGGGCAGGAAGGCGTCGAGTCAAGCGCAAGTGCCCACGTTATCCTCTACCAAAGCCAAAGTAGACGACGATGAGGATGACGAGGTAGAAGATATTGGCCGTGGCGACGCAGACGAAGGCGTAGATGAACTCGTGCGCCTAGAAGGCGAGCTGGAAACTGCGAGACAGGATTTAGCCGCGTTTCGACCGCGTGGGAAGCGTGTGTCGAAAGGGGCAGACGAGGATGATGATGTAGAAGACATCCCGCGCGACGACACAGCGAGCACGAGTGCGAATGGGAGACACGTAACCCTCTCCGGCTCCTACCGCATCCCGCTCCCCGCGTCTGTCAGCGTCGACGATGTAAAACACATCCAATCCGGCGTGAGTGCGGCGCAGAATGTTGCGAGGAGTTTTCTGGAACAAAGAAGGGCTGCGGTTGCTTCATCCCCATCATCATCGAAGCCAAGGCCCGCTCCGAGGTCTGTTAGCTCGTCGATGGAAGTCATACATGCTGATGAGGGGGAGAAGAAGAGCTGGGGAGAGTGGATTGGCGGGTATAGTGTGGCGATTTCGAGGGCGGTGAAGAATATCGAACATGAGGCGGCGGTGGAGAGTCAGGGTGGAGGGGGTGGAGGGGGAGGGAAGAAGAAAGCAGCGGGGAAAAGGCCGGGAGTTAAGACGAAGATTAGTGGGGAGCAGGTTGAAGGGTTGATGAGCTGATTTACATATTTGGACATATGGAGTTTGAGAAATAGAATGGTAAGGGGTATGTTGCTAGTATGAAAAGAATTACTATCAACTTCTCGCTGCATCTCCTACGTTCTCACCTGTCGCCGCTTGGCCTGCATTCTCTTGTACCGCCTCTTCAACAACCTCTGCTTGCACCTCAGCGTCGCCAACTTCTACAGCAGGTGTCTCCGGCAATGGAACCACCGCCGGGACAGCTTGTTCCGCTGTCACAGGTACCTGCTCCTGAACAGGCACACCTCGCACACTGCCCGACCCAAACGTCGCTTTACCACTCTTCATACTCCCATCACTTCCCCGGAATATCTTCTTCGCAATAGCCATACTCCTGCCCGCTCCTCGCCCCATACATCACCCTCCCCAACAACCCACCCTGTCTCTTCTTCCCCTTGTCTTTATTCCAACTACTAACTGTGACGGGCCTACCCGTGCCGCCGGCGAGCCAGTAGAGCGTATGTGGGATACGAACTCGATCACCAGCGCCGCCTCTGAGACACGGGACGGGCATTGCCTCATGCTCCAGTGCTTCAAGACCACACTCTGCCTCAAACGAAGGTCCGCCACCACCTCTCAATCTCGGCCCTCCGCTTCCACCCCGAAGTTCCAGTCTCATACCGTTGACTATCGGAGCCGCCTCTGTTTCACCCTGACTCCCCCTCTCATCCTGCACATGTACTCTCCCTTGCACCCTAACCTCCCGCCTAACCTCCCCGCTCTCCGCCCTCCACACCCTCGCCGATGTAGTTGTCGTGCCATAGAACACCGTGCGTGAGAAATCCTGATACTCGCTTCTTGTCGCCTCCGCACGCTGCGCTTCATCGATGCTGCTTTGTAGAGGACTAGGCGCGCCGGCGCTTATGGCAGCGAGGTGTGCGTCGACTTCGCGGCGGTGGACGTAGGGGTGCGCCTGGGCGCCGGGGAGGAGGGAGAGGTGGTGCAGGCGCGGGGATTTTGGGCGGCTGCCGCTGCTGCTGCGGCTGGGGGATGAGGAGGGGAGGAGGCGGGCGTGTGATGGGGTGCGGCTGTGTGGGAGGGAGTATGTACCTGGAGGGTTATTGAGGCGGTTTAAGGCAGTGGAGGGGGGCACGAGGCGCGGGCCTTGCTCCGGTGCTGGGGAGTTAGCTATGAGTTGTACGAGGGTGTTTGGGTTTGCGGAGGCACTTCTCGTCTGGCCTTGCGGAGTGGCGAGATAGGAGAATGGACTTCGGGTTTGGCAGTGGATGCATGGTGTGTCCGCGGCTGAGAAGGCAGATATTGCGCTTGAAGGCGGACATGAACCACAGAAGTCACAGCGTCTTTGTTCGATGCTTGGGAAGGAGTGATTTGTGTCTGGATTGTACGAACGGTTTTCGGGCTCGGAAAGTTGTGGGATGTCGACTTGTGGCGCAGGGATTTGCTGGCTGACTGGCAGACGCGAGTTATCACGTGGAACGGAATACGTGAAGCCCCGACCCAGCACTGGTGCTGTAGTTGAACGTTTGTGATGCTTCTTCGATTTGCCTTTGCGCCAGGTTATAGTTGGTAGTATCGAAGAGAAGCCTGACGAGAGGCGCCTCAACAGGTTCTTTGGGCGTTTGGGTTCAGGCTGTTCTGGTTGCACACCAGATTCTCTATGGGCGAGCCTACTTGTGGGAGCCATGATCAGCAGCTTGTGCAGTGCGTATGGAAGCACCAGTGGGTAGACGTGTGAAGAGCGTTCTTGCGAAACGTTGAATTTCAGTAGCAGATGCCATGAAGTGCCTACCTGTGAGTTTTATGGACATAGTTCATCATGTGAATAATGACGGGGAGCATGACGAGGTGGACAGGTAGATGAATTGCGAACGCTATACTGAACGATATCGCAAACACCAATACCTAGTATGAGATACAGCAGCGTAGCATGGCAGCATTGTAGGTTCGTGGACCGATATGTGAGAGTGATCATCAAGGATAGTTGCGTGAGGCTCGAACGAGATTGCATAAGGAGTGGTTGGCGCTCTCGATCGTTCGTAAATATGTAGCGTAAGGCGTTGTCAGGTGTTGGTGGGCTCGTCAGGGTACTCAGGAGTCCAACCAGTTCCCATATAGCTCATCCATCGGCGGCCTGTCAAAGTCAACTCGTGCGGTCCGCACTGTACCATCATGTCGGGGTGCATAACGACGAAAGACTGGGTTCGTCGAGCTTGCTTCAAGAAACCGTGCCGCTGGTGCACACTCCACACAGCGGCTTTGGCGAGTTGCGAGGCCGGGAAACGTGCCGCAGATCCCACAAAGCATGTGAACTCTGCCGTATACCACTACGGGGCTTCCAGGGACGTACAAGCCGTGAGTGACTCCGCACTCGAGACACAGTCTGTTAACAGCCTCTGCTCCACCGCGAGTACGTTTGCCTTTTTTCATGTCGTCGGAAAAATCCTGAAAGCGACGAAAGCGGATACAGCCGCTACACGCAAACAAGTCCCTATCCTTAGCCCAGCTTTCTGCCTCAGCCTTGAGATACTCGATGTGTGATGGGGGCTTTGTGATCGAGCGGAAGTAACGATTCGCGGAGGCAAGTCGGACACGATCTTGGAGCTCTAACATTTCGATCACGCCTAGGTGAAGCTCCACAGGCAGACGTAGTATATGAGGTGTGGTCATGACGAGGATTGGCATTGATTGATGGCGCTTGAGTATCGGTAGCGTTAAAGCTGGAGTTGGTCCGTTAGTCATGGCCTTGGGCGAAATTCATTTGTGCAATCGTTGGAAAGTATACCTTGTGGTCAGAAATTTGTATACACGTCCATTTTGGTAGGAGTTCCGTAAGTGGGCTATCGCCGGGTAGACGAGACATGCACAAGCTGATGGAGCTTGTGAATTTCGTGTTGGTAGAGAACCTAAAAAGCACGAGCAGTTTTTTTATTCTGCAGCGAATAATCGTGCAACGAAGTACAGAAGGACGAAGAAGCGGAGTAGGCTGCGAGCTTTATGCATGTCATACCAGGCCGACGAAGGCGCATAATAACGTGACACGCGCATGCCTTTCAGCCTATCAGGGGGACCTTCACGCACGGCGATTAGCGGGGAATGCCTCCCGTTCCCCGATGATTTACCAGGAGCGGCAGCAACCGGAGCTTTAATCGTCTGGAAAAGATCAGACCATAGCTACTGCGTGGGATAATAGATTGACGGGTCACACGCACTGCTGCGAGGTGGTTGTAGAAAGCGCATGGTGTGCTTGACATTCCGAGAGATGCGACCGAGCCAGAATTTTGTTTCTGAAAGCACATTTCTTAAAAAAATGGACACGCTGCCAATCAATTTGTGCCTGATCGAACAGTGTTCACGGTACCTTCTCCTTCTTCAGGTCGTTGATGATCATGTAACGCGACAGGGTAATCCAGCCCCAGCGGAACCAGCGCATCTGACTCTCGTGCGCCGTCGTCATCGCAATCTGCGCCCTCCTGTAACCGACCGGTGAGCTAGCGAACAGCATCGGTGTCGGAAACTCGCCAAGCTCTTTCTTCCGCATGATTGCAGCGATGATCGTCCCGGGTGCATCCATTATGCCAAGGTACTTGCGAAAGATGGACGTTGTTGTGAGGGTGTACAGCTTTATCGGACACTCCCAACCGGTGTGTCGGTGCATGAGGGCCTTGAGGAAGGTGTGTGCACCATCGTGTAGTGATATGTGGTTTGGATGGGAGGAGACACCGCGTGCGTCGAAAGTGATGATGGTGTCTATTGTAGCTTGCGGCGCTTCTTTGGATGATACAGAAGCCATGTTCGGAGCAAAAGCAGCAGTTAAGAGATTGGAAATAAGTCGAGGATGCCATGTCACCGTCATGGAATCCGGGAAATTCCTGCGCTCTGTTAGTCGCATGCACTGCATACCGAATCCGGCAGCGTACTTGTCCTCGATGATCAATATATCATCTTTATGTCCGATACCTAGTTTGAGACCACTTTTGACCAACTCTTTCTTGCGAATCTCACCCAGTCCGTCGGCGTCTCCTGTAGCACAGCGTTCTTAGTGTTTGATGCATGAATGTGGCCGCAGACTGCATACCGCTGCTCAGGCACAGGATTTTGACGTGGTTGCCGTTCTCCGGACGCGTCAAGCCTAGCAAAGTCGGTGCAAAGAACATGGCCTCATCGTCTGGGTGGGCTATGAGCAGCAATATGCGCTTGTTGCGGAGCGTGGGGAACGACGCGCTCAGCGTGCTTGTGTACATCCAGAAACCAAAGAAGATGAGGGGCACAGAGGCCCAGCCGAGCCAATTCATGTTGGTGGTCTTCTCAGGTAGCTCTGATTACGTATGCAGTGTTCGCATTGGTGTTGTACTGGGTATGCTGAGGAGAGTGTCGACAGAGAGAGGCCATGAGACGGGGACAGAGCTTTGGCCCCAACGCGTCATCCAGGGTCCAGAGCCTCACGCGACTTTTCTCCTTCATCAGCGTATTTAGCACACACCACGACGTACACAACCACGAATCATGGCTGCTGGGAATCGCAAAGAGAGGCGCGCGCACGAGTCCAAATCCAAGGGAAAAGCCACTGGTAGTACCTTCCAGGCGACCGACCAACTCGACGACACCGCTGTCGACTACCTCCTGAAGCACCCCGACCGATCCGGACCCAAGGGCAAGACGCTATTTGAATTAGCAGAAGAAAGGCAGAAAGAGCTGGATAAGGCTGCGGGACGAGTCCGAGTGCAAGATGTGTCTTCGAGCACTTCCGCGGAGGACGAGGATGCCGCCATAGGCCCGCTTGGCGATGCTCTGCTGTATTCGACCTCCATGGGCGCGCTACACTTCACGTTGGATGTCATCGTATACAGTCAATACCGCGAAGACATAGTCTGGAGCGAGATTCTCAAGCGGGCAGGCACAGCAATGCCCGTCTTTATCCTGCTGGTGTATCTGACCCATGTCAACCTAGCCTACCGCTTGCCATTACTGCGCGATCTTGCCTTCTGCATCGGCTCGATAGTGGCTGGTTGCTTCCTGGTATACTCTGGAAATAAACACGGGTACTTCAACGTAATGAAGGCAGCGCCGCCAGTCGGCACGTTGTGGATCTGGAGTGTCGTCGAGATGAGTCTTCCATACGCTGCGCTGAACGCCGCGGCTGTTCTGGGGTACGTCTGGTACAACGGGTTCGACTACTTCTAGAGTGCTCAATTCAAAGCATGATCGGAAAATATCATGGTCTCAATCGCAATACCTCCTCTGACTCGACGGTATAAACTGCTTGCTTGACGTACAATCATTGTTTGACCCAGGGCATACTCACTCTGCGATCTCGACAGATCAGGCTGATATCCAAGTACTGCCTCGATGTCTATGAACAGGAGATTTCGAATGATTGATGTCTGGAGAGTCCGGTCGCACTTGCCGCGCAACTGCTCTGTCGCGCCTTCTCTCGGACACACTTCGTCGCGCATCACCAGGGCCAACATTGAACACGATGCGTGAGCTCCAGCGTCAACCATCAGATCAAGAATCTTGCACTTCCGCGTCGCAATCATCGATCATGCCACCGCGACAAATGCGCTCTGCTGCAGATCTCATTGGTGATATCTACAGCGTCCCCTCTCAATCCTTCAACTCTGACATGCGCGCTCAGCCTCTCACGTTCCGCTCACAAGCGCCAGAATTGCCGGTCTGTAACATGCGAACAGCTTAGAAAAGTTAGCCCCGGAACCGTTACGCCTCAGCTGCAAGGCACACTCGCTGGGTCTGAACTATGAGCCGCTAGGCATCGAAGCCAAACGGTGGGGATATTCGCGAACTGCATCGCGTCCTCCGCTGTGGTTCGCTTACCGCCTCGACGTCACGGCATGGCACCTTGCAATACTATCAGCACCCATGTCGAGAACTTTTCCATAATCGTTGCCTGAAAAATGCAGGACTCGATGACTAGACGGAAGGCAGCATTCCCATGCGGGTTGAGCCCTGTGATTGGCCAATGCTAGGAGGTGAGATTTGGGGCTGAGCCTGAGGTACATCAGCCTTTGTCCAAATTTGGGAAGATGGGGGCTAGCTTCGGATGAGCATCACTATTCTTGATAGCGGTCTGCAATTGTGGGTGGACGGCTTCTGCGATGAAATTGCCTTTTCGCGGCGTAGCTGCTGCGACTTGGCGAATGTTCCGCATATAAGGACTATTCAGCGCCTTGTCCTTCAGTGCCTTTCTTGTTAACAGATAAGGAGAGGGAAACGAGAACAACACGCTCAAGAAAACATTCCACCACACTTTGGAACCATATGAAACCTGCTTTCATCATGGCTACCCATGGGCATGGAGCGCAATTGGGCGAGAAATCTTTCTATGTCGATGAGAGCTCTGAGAGAGAGAACGGGAACTACACACGAACGATACGGGAACGAAATCCACGAAGGTCTGTCTGGAGGATCATTGTCCCTACTGTCGGCCTCTTAGCCCTCGGTGGCTACTATTCTAATATCGATTCATGGCGACCACACACTCCAGTCTCCAACGGCCCTATTAGTCATAACGAAGCGAATAAATCGAACTACACATGCATTCCTGGACAAGATTGCTGGCCCTCCACCAACGAATGGAGCCTGTTCAACCAGAGCATTCATGGCAACCTCCGATCGACGACACCTTGGGCAGCGCCATGTTACGACGGTAACTCTAGCGACAGCTGCAACAAAGTAGCCACGTCCTATGGAGATCCCATCGCAAGAACATCTCAGTATGGGGCTATGGAGTTCCTTGACTGGGAAACATGTGGTCAGGCAAATTGCCTTCTCAACTCCCTGAAGCCTTCCTCGCCAGTCTCAGGAGAGTGCTCGCTCGGTAGGCTTTCTACATATCATGTTGAAGCACACAATGCAGAGGATATAAGCACGACGTTGGATTTTGTCCGCCAGCATGGCATTCGGCTTTCCATCAAGAACACCGGGCACGATTACCTGGGACGATCCAACTCTGCCAATTCACTCGCTATCTGGACTTACAACATGAAGGAAACAAAATACCACAAGACCTTTCAGCCCCGAGGTTGCAAGACACACTATGAGAACATCGGCGAGATCGGTGCAGGCATACAAGCTCAAGAAGCATGGACTTTCTTCGAGCCGCTAGGTATGCTTGTTACGGTGGGAGCCGTCAGTTCGGCTGGCATTGCCGGAGGCTATGGTCAAGGCGGCGGTCATGGACCTTTAGGTCCCAAGTATGGCTTGATGGTTGACCAGGCCGTCGAGTTCGATGTCGTCACTGCCGATGGTGTCCTGCGCACGATCAATGAGTGCACCGACCCCGACCTCTTCTGGGCCATGCGCGGGGGCGGCGGAGGTAACTATGCTGTCCTCACCTCCTACAAGTTTCAGTTGCATCCGGCCGTACCCATCAACGTCTACAGCTTCCAGGCCACATTTCCTAAGCCGAAGGGTCCTCTCGATATCACTCAGTCCAAGGTGCACCGAGACATCCTTACTGCGCTGGCTCATAACCAGACGCAATTTGCAGAGCATGGCATGGCTGGCTACAACTTTGTTCTTAAAGACCACATCGTGTCTCTGCAGATACTACCTTCTGATGATGTCGAGGCAATCAAGGGCATCACCGCACAGTGGCGTGCCTTCCTTGACGACTATCCTGGTCTGGACATTGGCGAATCCAAGTATTACAGCTTCAAGACCTTTTCGGAGTGGCATGCGTTCACAGAGACTCCGGCGATCTCACGAAACGGACCTGTCGGACTCGGCATCATGGTAGCTGGGCGTTTCATTCCGCGCGAGTTGTTCTCAACCAAAGACAATGTGGGACAGCTGGTCGACGCCGTCCTCACAGCGATGCAGTTCTCGTACACTAACAAGGGCATCGGCAGCGCCCAGCTTTACGCCACTGGTCCGTTCAACCAGCCTGATAACAGCAGAACTGGTCTTAATCCCGCATGGCGGGATACTCTTTGGCACATCGTCATGGGTGCCGCGTGGACCTCTACTACCCCGCCTAACGTACGGACGCAGATCCAGAACACAGTCTCAGCATCTGTGCAACCGTTCAAAGCACTGACGCCGGGTGGTGGGTGCTACATGAATGAGGCTGATTGGCAAGAGGAGAACTGGCAGCAGACGTTCTTCGGAGGGAACTACGATCGCTTACTGGCGGTGAAGAAGCGATACGATCCCACGAGTCTGTTCAACTGCTGGAAGTGTGTGGGGTGGACAGGATATGACGAGTAAGTCGACCTTACTTGATGGACGGGCGCGAGTTATACTGACAACGGACAGTCCGATGTACTCTTGTTACTCGCAGGGCAAGAAGGACCCGCGTCCCTCGATACCTTTAGGTCCTGTCGGCTAGGTCCTTCTACGCGGAATTTTGATCGTGGACTACTTAAGTAAAAGCCGGGTGTCGAGCAGCGCTCGTTTGTATGATAGGGCTCTTTAGTGGTAAATTTCTATGAAACTCATACAAGTCTGGACCGCATCGTATTCTCTCGTTTCCAGTCCTCGCGATTTGACTCTCAGTGATTCGTCATCTGCTTGACCTTTAACGCAGCACATGCTCGGCTCATCTTCCCATCTGGCTGCCGACTATGTCCCTGTTTGATTGGCCCGTTTTTCGTTTGTCCTGCAAGCTGTGACCCGCATTCACGTCGTCAAGTGCGCAGCACGGGCCAATTTGAGCATACAATACAACTCGGGGTGACTGCGACTTCGACGACAGGACAATAATAACAAATAGGTGCGCTTCCGTCTACACACTCCTTTGGCTTCGACAAACGATACTTGCTTCAATCAACTGCTCTCAACTGCCTCAGCACCACACTGCCAGCACCGATCACCCAATATACTTCCAACATCCTCTATCACAACTTCTACGACCCGTCCGCCCGCCATGAAGTTCAACATTGTCTACTTCATGCTTCCCCTCGTGGTCATGGGCGCGCTCCATAACCATGCCCAAGTCCACAAGCGCGGCGCCCTTGCCAATCGTGCGGTCCTCACTGAGGTCGTGACTGTCACCGAGATCCAGACCGTCACCGTTGACGCTGATGGCACGACTATGGCCAAGGTCGAGTCTGCGAGCGAGTCCAAGATCGAGTCCACGAGCCCCGCCATGAGCGAGTCCAAGAGCTCCTCCGCCATCATTCCGACCTCCTCATCTACCTCAATTGCTACTGTACTAACTCCTGCATCAAGCCTCACAACCACTAACCCTTCATAGACCACCCCGTCCGCCTCCGGCAGCGTCTCTGACACGCCATACCCCACCCTGATCCCCATCCCCGGCTCCGCCATACTCAAGAACTCCTGCGGCTATCCCGTGTACATCTGGTCCACGGGCAATCCCTCCTGCGAAGGTCCCGAGGCCGTCGCAAAGCTCATCCCCGCCAACGGCCAACACGTCGAGGAAATGCGCCGCTGCACCGACGGCGGCGTGGCATTCAAGCTCTCGCGCACCGCGTCGTCAGCCAAGCCGATGCAATTCGAATACACGATTTGGTCGGATCGCAAGACGGTTTCGTACGACATTTCATACCTCGATTGTATGAAGAACACGTCTGGCGAGCAGGATCTGTCCGAGTGCGCGGGCCATGATGGAGGCATCCAAGCTGCCGGTGGAGAAGATTGCCCTGATTACCAGTGTTTCGCCAATCGCTGGTGCGATCAGCAGGCGTACGTTGTGGCCGAATTCGGCTACAAATCTGGTGCGCCCGTGGGAGGATGCACGGTGCAGAAGGGCATTGCGTTTGAGCTGTGCGCCTCAAATCGCGCCAACTGAGTAAGTTTTGGTGGAGGGTTGGAGAGGATTTCCTTTTTCTTCTTGCGGATTTGCTCTTTTGGGGGAGGAGTGGTGGTTTGGTGAAGGAAGGGGTGGATTTGGAGGGGAGGTGGGGTGAATAAATGAAATGGTTCGGAAGATTTTCTTGTGATGCGTGAATTTGTGAAGATGGACAGGCTGTGTGAATGTGATTTAATTGTGCTAGTTTTTTTGATGCTGTGAAGGCTTCCAGGCTACGCGATCGTGAAATGCATATGCTGAAGCCGTTAATGGTATGAAGATTTCCAGGCTATGTAATCACGCAATGCACACGCTGATAAATTGAATGCTGCGAAGGTATATAGGCTATGCCAATGTGATTTAAGAAGCTAATAATCTGAATGTTATGAAGGCGCACAGGCTAGGTAATCACGATTTGCATGTACTAATGACGTTTGCACATGTACAGGATCTGCAATCATTAACTGCACATACAACTGACTGGAGTGTGGTCAAGGTAGCCAGGCTGCACAATCACACGACACTATCCGCTCTGATAAATCTCTGTATAATTCGATGCGTTCTCAATTAGATGGTTATGGCATCGAATCAGTAACATTAAATAGCACTGATGGATCGACACCTCAACTTCATGATGTCGCGAAGGTATCCAGGCTACCGCAATAGCGCGATATGAGGGGTGACGCTGCGTAGATGGGTCGGACAGCTTTGCAGCTAACACACAAATTACCATCTCAAAGCAATCACACCAACCTTATTGCTTCTGTAAGACACTTTTACGGATATCAGAATATCTGCAAAGTTCAACTATGACGACACGATGAAGTCGTCGCGGCCTACAGGCCATACACTAGTACACAATCGCTCTTGAGACTGTTCTGTCAGCTTCTTCTGCGTGATCCTGTCACCCCTCGAGTGTCTTTGCATTATCGGATGACGGCGCCTAATATATTGCACTGAATCTAGAATCTGCATAGCTTCACAGAAGATGCCTCAAGACTGCGAAATTATACACGCGACCCAAGGTGGCCCCGCACCTATCGATCACGAATTATCGCGACCTGGTGAGGCTTTGTGCGCAGTCTGTGATTTCACCGGAAGCATGCATGCATGTTGTCTGCCCCGCTCAAACTCCTAGGCTATGTAGCCAATTCCGACTTCCGCCCAGAGTCTCTGGCAAATAAGCGTCGCTTCCATGGGCATAGTAGCACAATGCAGATTGCCGATCGAGTTTAGAGGTTGTCTTGAGGTACCAAGCTGAACTTGCACAGCCCACATGAACGCCACGCCAGCGCATTGCGCATCCCCAAGGTCACAAGTGCGGCTTGAAATCGTACGTCTACAGTTCATAAGATAAGAACGTGTGCTTTCTATTTGGTTTTTAACTCCTCTACGGTACCTGTCTTCATTGATAATTGTAAAGATGTCCAAGAGAAAACAAAATTTAACGACCTCACGTACTGATCACGAAGTATCAAAGAAAATATGTTATGGCGTTAAGAGACTTTCGACATCCCAGATTGCGAGAATCACGGCCAACGCGCCACGCCAATCCATCATTTCAAAAGGAAACAAGAAGAAGTCTCCTTGCTTACTAGAGAGACCTGGTCCCCACAAACGCCGACGCGTAGCGAATCTCGGCACGCAACACGAAGGTATTGCATCGCACAGATTTCATGATCTGGACAATATTGACGAGGCCTGTACAGGTTCTAAGCTGCCGACAAATGAGGGGCCGGTGCTTCATCCGACACACACGGACAACTCCTTGACGCATGAAGTCCCGTTCACACCAGCAACATCTCGCACTTTACTCGGGTACAGGCAAACAGACCACTATGTACACAGTCCTTTAGATCACAATAATAGTCAGATACGCCTGGTCGAGATCCTGCCTGGTCCTCCTGAAGATGAGATTAGACTCAAAATGGTCAAGGTGAGCATTCTCGACACCGGCGTAACCAAACCCACCTACGAAGCTTTGTCCTATACCTGGGGTAGCCAGCCTAGCACGCATGTCACATTTATCGAAGATAAACATTTTATCGGAGGCTCACTGCAGGAATGTTACCATCGCAAGCTCTTGAGTCCACGGGTGGGCCATTGCGCCTCCTGTGGAAAACCTTACCCTGTACGAGAAAACCTCTACCAGGCTCTGAAAGCATTGAGATACTCCAATCGGCCTAGAACCATGTGGATTGATTAGCTTTGCATCGATCAAACGAACCACCGAGAGAGGAATTCTCAGGTTTCGATGATGGCCCGCATTTACGCCAAAGCCGAGAGAGTAGTCATATGGCTTGGTACCACACAGGCTGATTCCCTGACGTCAGAGATTGCAATGGAAGAATTTGGAGACCCAGGGGGGCTTGCGAAGATCTCACGGATGATAACAGAGAAGGACCAGATATGGAAATGGGCCAGTCTGTTGGACTTGATGAACAACACCTAGTAAGCTTGCACAGTTCTAGTATCCATGACTTTCTCGCTAATCAGTACAGTTGGAAGCGAATGTGGGTAATACAAGAATTAGTAGTTGCAAATGACGTTATCATCCAATGCGGCAATTCCAAGATGCACTTTGGGTTGTTTCGAGATGCTGTAGCGCTTTTTTCTGCGTCTTTCGAGACATTGAGACCAAAGTTGATGCAACATCTGGAGGGACTGCATCAGGATAAGAAACACTGGGCACTTGACCCAGACCTGGAGATCGGCAATATTGCTGCGACCCAGGCGGTCGACGCTTTGAGCACGTTCCGCAGAAATCAGGATGGTACATTGCAACAAACCAAGAGCCTGGAAACGCTACTTTGCCTTTTTCAAGACCGCATCGCTTCGGACCCAAGGGATAAGGTATACGCCTTACTCGCCCTGGCAAAGGACGGGTCTTATTTCAACCCGAATTACTCGAAAAGCGTCTTTTCGGTATACAAACAATTTGTCCAGCACTCCATCAACACCACTCAGTCGTTGGACATTATATGCCATCGATGGGCACGTCAGCCTTCGCCATCCGGTTCGGAATCCAGATCAACTTCAAGATTACCTTCGTGGATGCTGCCCGATGATGAGTACGAATACGGTTCACGCAAGGGAGAAGGTAATCTACTCCGGAGTCGGAAGGCAAGCGATACTTTCGTTGGCATCCTAGACAAGAAATCTTACACTGCTTGTGGTGCAGGAAGTCGCCGAAAACATCCAGCTGTCGTATTCCCTGGTACCACAATGGTAGATGGCCAGATGACGGAAAGCACATGCCTGATGGCACGTGGTACAGCGATCGGGTCAATTACGTTTTGCACTCAATCTATGACTGATTGTGTCATACCAGGAGCTTGCTTCGAGAAATTGGGCTTTTCACGCGGGACACGCAACAAGGACAACGCCAGGCTTCAGGATCGTGTCTGGCGTACGCTTGTTGCCGACCGCGGCCCCGACAACACAACATGTCCTTCGTGGTATCCCCGAGCTGCTCAGCATTGCCTGGAAGGTTGGCTTTGCAACGGACACCTCAACACGGACAGGGCAATATACGAGACAGTTAGCTACGCGACGCCCTATCTTGCACGAGTTCGCAACGTGATCCGAGATAGAACCTTCTTCGAACTCAAATCGAATATCCCAGACAGCAAGGAACACAGTACACTCTTCGGCCTTGGCCCATCGCACGCAAGCGAGGGCGACCTGATAGTCATTCTGCACGGCTGCAGTGTGCCAGTGGTCATCCGCCCAGTCCACATCGTTTCCGGTTCACAGGGCTACCGATTTATCGGCGAAGCGTTCGTGTATGGCAGGATGGAAGGAGAAATTTTCGACACAGATTATGAAGAGGTTATGTACACATTGGTATAAGGTGTACAGGCCTAAACGATAATCCATAAAAGCTTCGTACATACTGACAGCTATTTTACTACATAATAGAAGCGGATAACATTGTGAAAGTATACAGGATAAGCCAAAAATGGTTGTGCATGCTTGGTTTTAGGTCACGCTTGCACACTTTTGATGACATTCAAGGCTTCAAGCAGCAGCCTAGACACCGCAAAAGCGTCATATACTATGACACGAGCATGCATATCCTCCGCTATTGTTGGACGATAAAGTTTTGAAAGTATACAGTCTATGCAATCAAATTCCATATTCGCGATTAATCTGAGTGTCGTGAAGATGTCCAGGCTACACCAACAGCTATAATGCAGATACACACACCTGGCAGCATTTAACCCTGCAACCAGCATCCTCGATACCTCAAAAACACACTATGCTCTGCCACAATCATACAAACCCTCCTCTATCGTCAGACGAAAAATCCGTGGGGATATACAGCCTACACTAACGGACAGCCCAAAATCAAAAATCTCCAAAATTGGTGGCGAAGCCCAATATTTTCCCGCCTGAACGCCACCAAGCATGAATTTCTAATCCTTACCACCAACCCCAGCACAGCCACACCAGACCACCACCACGCTTCCACCACGCCACGCTCGAGCGCCCAACTCATTTTTTCAAGGCGGCATGACACGGCTCCCAAGGCAGCACGAACGCGCTAACGCGCTGTCACATGCCCAAGCTCATGACCAATCATCGCGCGTCGAAGCCTGGTGATGGCGAACAGGTATGACTCTTGCATCTATGTGGCCCCTGAAGCCTGGCAGGAACAGACAAGATTTCGCGGGACGAGCTGATGAAGTGAGATGAGAATGTATGACTGTATCGCACGTTGGAGGTTTCGCGGACAAGCCGGAAGAGAAGGGCGACGAGTACGAGGCTGACTGCGATCGCAAAGCGTTCTGAATAAGGAGAAAGGCGCGAAGGAATGTCATGCATGGCGCATGCGAAAGGCTTATCGCTAGTGTGCCGAACTATGTCGTGACAGTGACAATATGACATGCGTTGTTAGGCATCCCAGTCCGCGGACCAGGCATCCATACATCGCGCGGCTAGGCAGCCGGGCAAAGGTAATCTCGACTTCACATGAGCCTCACACAGCACGGATGCGAAAACAGCGTTGATTATGTAGATTTGATTTATGGATTGAAGTAGCGAATGGTGCACTATACACATTACGTAGTACAGGTTAAAAAGAGGAGGCATATCTATCGTAGCTGAGTGAGCGAGGTAATCATCATATCCGAAATACAACCTTTGGTATCATGAAGCAACTTTCGCACATGTCCCAGCCATGCTTTTCCGTAAAAAACCCCAAGCCGCAACAAAATATGTACAAAAGAAAAAGAATGTGAGTGGAGCGTGATCCAGCCGCTCTAGAGATCGAGAAAAAGGACGCCGTGGATATGCAAAAGCACCGATTCATTAACCGTGGACGCCTTGCATGACAGTAGAACAAATTATAGTCCGATGGTAAGAGAGGACAGAGAAGTGATTACCTGCGCGTCTGATGCTGCAGCGCCATGACGGCCTGTTCGAGCTGTCGTAACCTTGAATCCTTCTCTTCGTTCTCTTGTCGCAGGCGCTTGACCTCCGACCTCAGATCCTCGCTATCGCGCTCTGAAATAACGGAGTCAGAGCCTCGCTTGCGCTTCAGACTCATATCATCGTCATCGCCACGGTAGTCAACGGTGCGTACATACGGTGACTCTGATGCATGGCGTGACTCTGGGATGGGCGAGCGATCCATCGTGGTTTCGCGACGGATGATGAGGCCGTGCATGTCAGCAGACATGCTGGTGCGACGGTGCACACGGCGGATGTGCTCAGCGAGATTCTCTTTCCGGGTGAAGCCAGCGCCTGAGCTGCGCTTGCAGTCGTGGAAGGGACAGAAGAGAGATTTCTTGGTACCGCCGTGCATCTTGTGGACTTCACGCTCGTGGCGCAGCAGTCCGCCGCTGTAGGTGAACCCTTGGAGCTTCTCGCAGCCCTTGACGTTGCACTTGTAAGGGCGGTCATGCTTGTCCATGTGCTTGCTAGAGATGTTGTCAGTATAATTAACTTTGAGATAAGGTTTGTGGAGACTCACCTCCACTCGCATTTGCGATCGAAGAAGACCCCCGCACATTCATGATGCCTGCAGGTCATCTTGCCTTCTTGGTTTCTCGGGGGTTCTTCGGCCCGTTTGTAGCTGAAGTTCTTCCGCAGCGATCCGTCGTCTTCCCCGTCTGGCGAAGAGCGATCTTCTGAGTCGTTTATGCTGTGTGTTGGAGGGGTGGTGGGAACGAGTGGTCGTTCGCCAGCGGTCGGGGATGGCAGTGGTGAGCGAGGTCCGGACATGCTGATGGGCGTAAGAATGTTGGAGACGGATGCGATCGAGGAAGTCCGCTCGTGTTTGATTGGATTGTGGGGTACTGGAATTGCCGTAGTGTCGGGTGATATCTGGGAGCCCATGATGTTGTATTGAGAATTAGGATAGTCGAAGTTGGTGTTCAAGTGCAGAGTCGCCTGAGGCTGTTGAGGATATATAGCAGAAAAGGACGCGAATTCTAGTTGTGGCTGAGCAAGATCGCTTCCAGCTGCCCCGGTGACTCGAATGCTCGGAGTCTGTGGACCTGGAATCAGATGACGACGACTATTCGGTGGCAAAGAAGTGTAAAGTGGCTGCCAAGCGTTATGGTTACCGTCGGTGCCAAGATGCGGAAAGGCCGTAAGTGGCGAGCCTGGATTATGAGGCAAAAAGTGACTATCGTGCGATTCTACAGGGAACATCTGGAGGTCATGGTTGTAATAAGTACTTTGGCCTAGCAGCAGTTAGTGCCAGGTAGCTGTAGGCTGAAACTAGAAATGTGTGTGGGTAGAGTGGATTTGTGAGTCAAAGGGAAGAGGGCTAGCTCCTACCAGGCATCTGGGGCGGTGCTTGACCATAGCGCATCAAGCCCATCGCTCCAACATCCTCATGGCTCGGCAGCCTAAAGCCCAAAGGGCTGTGATCGGACTCCCATGTTTCCGTGTTTCGTGCCTGGAACACATCTTGAAGCCCCGCGGTCACGATGGCTTGATCTGCCTGCTGCATGGTGTGTTGCGGCTGCTGGCCAATCAGCTCCAAGCCAAAGTTGCGGTCTTCCCAAATTAGCACTGAAACACGACTGAGAACAGATAGTAACCGCGAGCAAACTTACAGTCGGACGACGCGGGAGCGCTCCATGGCACATTGTTGGAGAGATCGAGCTGTTCGAGCAGTCGGTTTTGTCGCACCCGCGTGTCGGCCTTTGCATCGTGCTCACTGGAGTCGCGGTCATAAAACATCCAGCACACACCCCACAGGACCGCAAGCGAAGCCTTGATGGTCCATGGAAACGTCGTGCTGAGCGGCCGTGGCTTCTCTGCGAATTCGGTGAACCAAGCCAGGAGCTTACGCTGCCTCTTGTCATGGCCCCCGCGCAGCAGCTCTTCCAGTGCCTTGCGTGCCAATACTTGGACCAGCTCGGCCTGCAGTTGCAACAAGAGATGCTCATAGTTGGCAATGAAGGTGTCGTCAATGTCGAGCCCGATGCCCAGGCTTTGGACCAACAGCCAGTCGTCACCATATTGTGAGCGACACGCAGCAAAAGTACACAGGGCTTCCCGGACAGCGACCAGGAGCTGTATGGTCTGGTTCAGAGAGCAGCCCTCGATGATCGTCGCATTGTGATGTTTGAGAAAGAGCTTATTATTGCCCGCAACGGCCACAAGCGCGTGTGCTGGATTGAGATCACCGACGCAGCTAAGCAGACTAGATCACAAGCTTAGTACGAAACCAAACGGAAAGCTTCGTCGAACGTACTGTTGCACCTGCTCGCCAGACGTGTCTGAGGCGGCGGAACCAATGCACGCCGCCGCACGAGGTGCCGGTGATGTGCCGAATGCGCTCGCATTGCTTTTGCGTCTTTTGCAAACACGCCTCGGGCGGTGATGCAATGGAGTCGTGTTTCGCACGCTGCAGGCCCGAGGTCGCCCACTCGGAATCCTCTTGATCGCCCTCAGGCCGAGAGCATCAGCGCCAAGTGGGCAGACACCGAAGGAGCCATGGAGAGTGCGCGGCCTGACACGTCGGCGGAGCTGATTGACAAATTGAAGCACCTTGAAGGTGAGGAGAATCTTAGTCTGCTTGCGCTGATAGATCGCCATGCCGAGATGCTAAGCGAGGCTGAAGGTCTGAGGACGTAAGAACACACGCAAATGCATTCTGTCCACACCCCTCGCGTCCACGTCTCCCAGGTATATACTCGGAAGCATGACGGGCGCAGTCAGGCTGGAGAGCGCCTGGCGGTCAGTCTGCCGTGGAGATGATGAGGGAGTTGTGGTGGTCAAGCCCCATCGTGAAGCCATTTGGCAGCTGATTGGCTGAGATCCGTCGCACAGCCACTCCGGTCAGGCTGCACGATGCCTGGCACCTCAACACCCTATTTTCCAGCCTATCTCACGCAATCTTCGCAGAGGACGAGGTCACACTTTCAATCTCTGTAACGTGGCGCAGCCACCTTCTTCTACTTCTCGAGCGCCGTCCTGCTAGGCACACCATGGTGTTGCGCCGTGTTTGCCCACCACTGACCACTGACCACTGCGAATTTTTCCGCTGCCTTGCTTCGCCTACCCGCTTTGAGCGGGCCGTCCATGCATTATTCCGCACTCGATCTCGAATTGACTCGAGAGCCGTTCTCCACGCGATCTGCAGCAAGGATGAGATGAGGCGCCCCCACAGCTTTGGTGCCTCAGGGCTCGCGAAACCGTCTGCAACACAGACTCGTCGGTGACGTCTCAAAACCCGCAACTAGCTCGAGTCGAGCACACGCGAGTCAAAAAAGAACAGCGAGTCGTGCCTCCAAGCTTTTACAAACCAATCTGAGGCAGGGATTTGGAATGTTTGTTGCGCCATCGTCGTTCAACCACACGCGCCTCTGGAGAGGTGAGAAACTGAACGAACACCTGTCAGTATGGCCAGCGCCTCGCCATTGTTTCAACGCGAAGAACAAACTGCACTGCTCTATCTCGGTCGTAAGCAGAGCATCGAATGTGTTGATAGTCGAGAAGTGAAACCAAGGGTGTGGCTAGCACAATCGCCAACATCGCTAACATAGTCGCGCGATCAGAATCACAACTCAAGCAGAACCACAAAAAAAGCTCCACTCAACACCAAGATACATGAGAATAGCATCCTCGACGCCTTGGCTCTTGGCCTCAGTATCTCAATTTGTAATGCCCCGGCCACAGCAAATCCCACGGATGCCTCAGTAAAACAACAGCAGCCTCAGCAAACTCAAAGCCCCCCTGCAGCACACGAAACCGTATGACCAAACGAGCCAAACACCCGACCACCCTCCTCGTCGTTTATCTAAACAAGAAGAACCGCCGAAGCACGCCGCAAGGGAAACCTCTTCGGAAAGTTAATTCCCTTCCACGTGTGAGCAGTCAGTCACGCCGACACAAGACATTCGTACCGCCGCCCCCAGACTACTAGAACTGTTCCACGAACCATCATGCTCGCAAATGCGTACTGGGATCTGATGTTGACACGATCATGCCGACGGTTCGGACACCGCCAAACCTCCGAAGTCGCGCGAGACATCGATGCTTCCGTGCTACCCGATTACCAAGCGCGGACACCGGGCTGGGCATTCGTTCTCCGGGAAAGCTTATGTGCGTTTCCCGACGCCTTGGTTGCGCATGAATAATGTGGTTTTGCCGAAACGGTATGCGTGTGCCTCAGGTGGGTGATGTTGTCGGGTAAATAAGCGAGGTGTGTGCTGAGGCAGCGCCAGGCAGATATATTTGAATGGGCGGGGGAATTTGAATTGCGGATTTGAGTTGGGGGGGTTTGTAAGATGGGTGATCTGGATGGGATGGGGATGCTATGTTTAGTTCTTGTGCAAAAGGTAGGTCGTGCATCATAGACTAAGTGATCTGCATAGGTAGTCTTTAACATGTATCCGTAACTTCGTTATACCTTTCTCTGTATAGTGAGAACACTAATAACGCCTCGACGTTTAATTGAAGCGACGTCAACAATATCAATCGTTGCTTGAGATGCAGAGACATGTAAACGTATTACCATTAACCACTGAAGTCACATTCTGTTTTTCACTCAAGCAACGCTGCCATACACCCAACAGCACGTAGCCAAACAAGCGCCGCTCGCATAAAGTAACGAGCAAACCACAAGAAGCAATGCTGATCCAGAGCAACAAAATAGGCACGTAGATACTCGCTGCGATGATTGGCAGCACACTCTTACATCAACGCGAACAGTTGCTTAAGAAAGACTCGCTTTTCTCAGGAACAGCCAACATTTCGAAGAGTACAGGCACCAAACATCGGTCTGTATATATACGTTCGCGAATTTTAAGGAGGACAAGGGACGCACACCTCTGCACAACAAGCCGGGATCCTGACAGCGTCGAAATGCGAACAGCGTAAGGGAACATAGCGTGGATTCACCGGCTGAGAGTGCATGGAGAAGGGTAAAGATAGAGACCTTCGCACGACAAGTACAACCCCAGGCAAGAAATGGCCATCCGAGGCGAGAAACGTGAGTGGCAGATAGTCGAGTGCAATCGCCTTGTGGAACATGGTGCGCTCAGATCAGTATTAACCATCACACACGCGACAAAGGTAAGAGTAGACATGCTGATTCCTAGCAGAGAAGTGTAATCCATGCCATTTCCCCTAAAAGTACACATCATCACGCCTTCGTCACTGGCTTATTCCTTTCCCATCTTTCGTTTCCTACTCCCACCTAGTTCCTCAATCCTAGCAAGAAGCTGCCTCCGCCCTTGCCCCCCTCGCCCGAACCACCTCCAGGCAAGTAGCTGATATTCGGATTCCGCGCCAACAACTGCGCGACGTCCTTCTGCGTTTCGATCCGCCTGATCAAAACCAGACCATCACCACTCTTCTGCACCGCCTTGCTAATTGTGTCCGCGGCCTCGGCCTCGCCCTCCGCACGGATAACATTCGCCTGGCGCTCCTGCTCAGCCTTCTCGACGATGAAGCGCGCGCGCTCAGCCTCCTGCTGGGCGATCTGCTTCTCTTCAACCGCCTTGGTGAATTCCTTGCCGAAGGTCATGTGTGTGATGGACACGTCTTCGAGGGCGATGTTGAATTCGTTGGCGCGCTTGAGCAGGTCTGTGCGGATGCGGTTGGAGACGGCTTCGCGCTGGGTGATGAGCTCTGCGGCGTCGAATTGCGCGACGATGGCTTTGAGGACTTCGTTACCGATGGAGGGGAGCACGCGCTCGTCGTAGTCGAGGCCGAGATTCTACATTCACACATGTCAGTCAATTGCCACATGATTCCCATTCGAGCTCTAAGATCATATATATATATGTCGTGCAGGAATTGAGGCAGTGGGTGGAGTGAATACACACCTGATAAATCTTAGGCAACATCTTAACCTCCGGCCGATGCAGCACCCTCAGCGTCAACGTAACCATCTGCAAATCCTTGCTGCCTGTCGTGGTGCTGATATTCCTTGGCCTTGTGCGCACATCATACACAATCGCCCGTTGCAGCCATGGAACCAGGAAATGTGTGCCCTCGTTGACGACTGTTTCTTTTACTCCGGATACTCGGTCGAAGATGACGGCCCGCGTGCCGCCTTTGACGTCGTAGATGGACGACTGGATTACGGAGGCGCCGATGGCAGCGGGGACGGCCCATCGGAAGAGGGAGGCGGGCAGGGCGGCCATTGTGGGTGTGCGGTGGGGGATGTTTTGGTGGTGAGGCGATTGCGGGTGGTGGTGGTGGAAAATGATGCATGTCATGGAAGGTCGCGGGTGGTCTGTGCTCATGCGGACATGATGGGTGCTGATTGGTTGGAGACAGAGCACCACCACTTGCATCAAGAGAACATCTTGAAAGTGCTGGGAGGCCTTCAAGTCCTGTCACAGGGATATTGCTTGTTTAATTTTTCCTCATGGAGTCTTTTGATCTACTACATGAACCCCGTTAAGCTGCGCTGGACACTGCTAAAATGTTGCCTTACGAACAGAGCTATCGTAAAGGTTGACGCGCAGAAGGAGTGTCACGCAAGACGAGGGTGGAAGCGATTGCCAACATATTCATATTCGTGGATTCCAATGCTTCAAATGCGCCAGAACCAGTCTATCTGCTCCAACACGTACCGCCGAAGAAAGCCAGCTACTGCTCCATGAATCCCTTATGCTCCTTGTGCGCCTTGTACCAGTAGCTGTCTTCCTTCTTTGGCACAAGCTCATCCGAAAGCTGTTCGAGGATGACTTTCAGCAGCTTCTCCTTGCCGGCCTCGTTCTCTGCATCTCGGTTCCAGACTGCAATCTGGACGGCGTTCCAGCGGACCGAGTAAGAGATACCGCAGATGTCGTCGTTGAATGCTGGTGATATATTAGTGAGTGTGGTGAAAATGGAAGGGACAGTCAATGACTTACAAGCTCGCTTGGTCTCAACGGCACCCTGCAGTCCATCACCGACAGCAAGCAGACACATCTCGTGCCAGAACTGCGCTGCGACGTCCTTGGGGATCTTGAAGTACCAAGCCCCGCCACGCGTGTTGCGCGGGTCCTCCCAGACAGGCTTTACACCCAGATGGAAGAGGTGTATTGAGTCTCGCAGTTTGAGACTCTCAACCGGGATGTTGTTGAAGTGCTGGTAGAACTCCTTGACGCTGATGATCTGGTCACCGAGCGGCTTGGGCCGCGAAGCGTACTCTTCAGATGACGCTGACTTGTCTTTCGGAGTAGCTTGCTGGCCCTTCTCGGCCCAGAACATCCACTTGTGGCGGAACTCGGGGACGCGCACAGACTTGAAGATGGAGTTGAGCATGGCGGTGCCACGCGCCCGGCGAGGCGGTTGCCGACTGCTCTTCTGCTGTGGCGGGAGGGAGGTCAGAGGTGCTGAGCACCGGGAAGCGACCGGCCATGGCTGGAGAGGGAATGGTAGCACCGAGGGATTTAGCGATAATCTTGAGCTCCGCGGCGTTGGAGCGGGCGGCGAGGATGCGCTTGCAGTTCTTGACAGCAACGTCGTTGGTGAGGTCTCCGGTGGTCTCCTTGGACTGAATACGAGGAGCAAGGACAGAGGGAACCTTGAGAAGGTCGATGATTCTCTTCACGCCGGCACTGACTTCAGCACTTGGGGGAGCACGACGCTTGGGAAAGCCGTGTTTGGTAGCTTCTTGGAGGGCTTCTAGGAGGTTCCTGGAGACGGACGCGCAAGGATTTGCGGTATCGACGGCCTTTGTTTGTTTGCGGGAGGGACCGTAAGATGAGAAATCCTCTGCGAGAGCCTTGTTGTGGTAAGCATTGCGTGCAGCAGAGGCTTCGAGCAGTCCGTAAAGACGGGCGACTTCAGACATGGTGATGGATGCGTAGGATGTGCGAAGGGAACGGTAGATGGAGTATGAAATAGAGGATCGGAAAATTGATCGAAAGTGTGGGTGATACGGATGTGGTCAAGGAGAGAAACGTGGCGGCGTGTGAGATTCCTATATCCCCAGCCCCTCCGGTGAATGAGAGTGAACAGTAGCTACTGCTCTCAATAGGAGCAGTCGCTATTGTTCACCTCTCCACAGTAGGAGTGCATTTGCTGCCGGTGAAAGTGAATGTGCAGATTTATTGGTGAAGGGGCAAACAGAGAAGCACACCGCCCTACGGCGCTGCCGTGTGACATTTAAGTGAATTTCAGGTAGCCGTGTGCTAGAGAGAAATGATGAGAGGGCTGGTAGGTATGAGATTGTCTCTAGTCTCGTGATGTAGATTTCGGAGGTTGCACATGCCAGTTGGCCCAGTGCGAGCTGTACAGGCAAAAGGACATGAAATCGTAGAACAGGAATATATAATGAAAGCACTTGATCTTTACATACCTATTATGTTTACTATTGGAGATCCCGTGGATGGATCGACTAATATTTGCGTACTGGTCACGTAGATGTTCCGGTTACGAACGTGGGGCAATCGGGCGATGTCGAACAAATCGAGGGGCAAGAAATGAAGGCTGGCAGCACACCGTCGAAGAGGTGAGGTTGGAATAGTTTGGGCCAGCTCCAGTTCTTAAAGGTTGATGCCCAGTCCGTTCAAGTCAGCAGCGCGTCGTCCTGCAGCCGCCCGCTCTGGTGTTTCAAGAGGCCGTTTCACGACCCCTGCTGACACCAACAAGAGGCTACGCTACTCGTGTTGCCTGAGGCCGAGAAGCCAAACGCCACCCGATGGCGTCTTGGCCCCCGCAACATTCGTTGCGGGCCGTACACTGGGCCTCTCGACATATGTGAACTCGTTGGCTCTATGCTCCTGTTGAGAATCGCTCGCTGCAGCCGCATATGCAGTCAGGTCTGGCTTTGGAGTTCGTGCTGCAGTGACGTAGCGCAAGTTCGGGACCGGACCGCCGAAAACCGTGCCTTTCCAAACTTTTTTGATCTTCATAAATTTCTCCACCACAAGTATAAAACGCACTTAATGAACGTTTGAGATATCTCCTGACTACCTTAAACCTCGCCACATATCCTCCTATCTCGTGTTCTAAGTGCATCTCCCACCATGTCTGGTACCAAAGACTCATTAGCGCATCGGCGCAAACGCGTGCGGTTCGAGGCAGACGCCAGCTCAGATCCCTCAATCTCGGAAGAGTCTGCACTTGCGTCCACCAGTGTCGCCGATGATTCCACAGTAACCAGCGATTTCGGCTCTGACAGCGACAGTGAACTCTCGGAATCGAGTGAGGAGCCGAGCTCGGACAGCTCGAGTGAGGACGAAGATGACGAGGATGCTGCGTCAGATGCAGAGCTGCACGAGCATAAAGGAAACAATGGCGTCGTCAACCTACGCGCTGGCCAAGGGAAGAAGCCTACGATGAAGCTGAACAAGGAAGAGCTGGGTCCAGACATACGCGACTTTCTAAAGGACTTTCTGCCACAGCTCAAGGCTGCTAACGACGAGTTGGAGGCGCAGAGGAAGGCCGGCACGTTGAAGAGTAGGGAGATCGATATGACAGACGCCGAAGAAGCCGACCAGTACATTGAGATGGTAAGTGGTGTCTGACTTTCGGCTAGAAGCTGTATCTGACAGTACCGCAGGACCTCGGACTAGGCGTACTCGAAGAAAAAGGCCCGAATGCCGACGACGACTCTGCGAGCGACAGCGACGAAGAAATGGGAGACGACGTCACGGAGAAGGATGTGCTTGGAAAGCTCATGGGCCGCCCGGGTACTAAGGAGGGCGTTGTGATACAAGAGGTGCAGGATGCGCAAAAGTCATGAGATGGACGGTGTGGTGACAGCGACAAGAAAATGTTTTGAGGAAAGATAATATAATCTGGGGAGGAAGATGCGACACGCGCCTTCCTCAGGTACACAAAGAAGCGGTACAGCCATCGTGCCTTCCGAAGTGAGCAGGAACGACACACGACCACCACAATTTCGTCAACAAACTTGTCAACAAACCACAACTAGAAGCCCATCGAATCCCAGTACATTCCGCCCAGAGACATGCAAGACTGCCTCGTTCAGGCATGTCCATGTCCACCCTTCGCCCACGTCGCATCAGCATTCTCATGAATCCTCGGCTCCTCAATATACTCCCTAACCTCCTTCTTCCTCTGCGAGCTCGTCTCAAACCTCTCATCCCTATCCCTCAACCTCTCCTCAAACCTCGGCATCTGGTCCGCACTCGTATAGCTCGTCATCAGTTGCGGCTCGCCCAGCGGCAACTTATCACCCCGGTCCGTCTGCCAGAGATGGTAAACCGTTACCGTACAAATGGACGACTTCTTCCATCTCTTTGTTTTCGGCGACTTCCCACACGGCTTCTGGAATCGCGGACGGCTTGGGCATGATTAGCATTCCGGATTTCACTTCAAAGACGTGCGAGTGCCAGAGTTTCTGCTCTGTGGCGTCCAGTGTGTTGTAGAGCTTGGGGGTTATCATGTACTCTGGAGGCTGTGAGCGATGTGAAGAGAATTTAGGGATGGAAAAGATGTACCGATGCCGATGATGCGAGCTGGCTGTTCTGGCGAGTCGTAGAGGATGCATTGTCGCACATCGTCATTGAGATGTGCGCAGTAGTGGTTCGCCTCTACGGCGTCACGTTTGGGCTCGTGGGCGTAGGCGTGGAAGGCATTCAGATGAGCGCAGATCCTTTTGACAGGCGCGAAGTTCTGCGTGGTGTTAGCATATGTGGAAGAGCTAGGAAATAATCGAAAGATTCACCTGCACAGCTCCGGCTCCAGTCTCAAGTGTCTTGTTGGTCACACTCTCTGGTTCACCGACTGTCTTGTTGCTTACGGGTAGCGAATCCATGGTATAGTCGGTTTGTCCGAACGCCGAGGGCAGTAGTGTTGGCTTGTGAGTGACGACGTTTAGCACTATGATTCAAGATGGTGCATTCGTTAGAACGTTTAAGTGGTGTGTTTTCGCACAATACAAGCATGTTCTGACTAATGCGCAAAGATTGACGTCATAATGAGGTCTCATTGGGTCACCATGTATCTGTAGGTATGGCCGTGTGCAAGTACAATGCTCTCGTAATGAAGTTTCATTGTGCAGCGAACTTACAAGGCCGGTTAAATAATCGTTGACTGAATGCAGGATAGAGATCAATGATGCGCTACTAGGTATTCGTGCTCAGAATTACCAAGTCGATAATTGATTGACCTCACAAGATCTCACAAGACCTCAATCAGCCTGCTGATTTGTATTGAATTTTCGATGTGGACACGGTCAAAGCTTGAAAGCTTAAGAGAAGGAGTGTGAACTCGATGAACTATACTAACACTCGGTTGCCTCGAGCATATGTGAAATTGAAAGGTTGAGATACACGATGGCTACCCTTACTAAACCCTCGAATCATCTGGGTTTGTTTCACAGCTTAATACTTATGGCACGGTACTGAACAATGACGTTGTGTTGCCTAATCACTACAGGCTACAGCTGTGATTCATCATCAAAATCGGCCCCGGAGGAGTCTCACATTGATATAATTCATATGTACGGCATAGTATGCTCGACATGTTTCTACACACAACCAACTCCGTACCTCACATTCAACCTTGAGCGATCCAGTCACCAAAAAATGGCAAAATTCGCATCTATCGATCTCTCGCAACCATGCGAAGAATTGACTGATCGATTCGACTTTCTCGGTCTTCCCGCCGAACTGCGTGTTGAGATATATCGCTACACTCTCAAATGCAAGTTCTCCATCAAGAACAACCACGATGAGCTGGTCATGGACGAAGAGGACAAAGTAAACATCCATCTTCTACGCACCTGCAAGCAGATCTATCAAGAAGGTTGCGATATCTTCTATGGAGAGAATCGTTTCTGGTTCTTTAGACAACATGGTCTCCTCGAGATACCGGTTGCGCTTCCTAGACACAAGCTGGACTGGCTAAAGGAAGTCACAGTGAGCGTCCCTTTCTCGTACAACCCCATTTGGATTCATCATAACGCCTTCGGCACCCAGGACTCGAGTGCTCTACCATTTGAGGATTGTCTTGTGAGTTCGAGCTGCACCCGAGTTGACCTTCTCCCGAACATGTGGGTTCGAACCGCTCTAGACGCGCTCGCCAGTGCAGCTCAACTTCGACGGCTTCATCTAGTCATCTTACCTGCTTATACTACGCGGACACCTGACAAGAACACATACGCATTGTTGAACCAAAACAGGATGTGCTGCGAATTTGGAGACCACACGCTGTTCAGAATGGTGAATTCCGATGTCTGGCATGATCTAGCAATCTTCTTGCGAAGCAAGCCCGCACTTGAAGTCTCGTGCACGCGGCTGTACTATGCAGATCCCTTAATCTATAAGCCTGACCGTTTTGAGGAGCAGCAGGCGTTGCTGTGTAAGCTGCAAAACCGCTTGGGAATTTGGGATCTGCGGGAGGCTGCGGTTGTGGACGGAAATTGGGAACTTCCTAAGAAGACGGCTCAATATCTTGATCTGAGCGATTTCTACCAAGCCTTCCATCTGATGTTTGGGGAGTAGACTGAATATCTAGGTAGGAGCTCGGAGGTCAGAGAGAATTTCGGCCAGATCAAGGCACTTATCATCCGCACACACTTGGGATGTGAGCAACCCGTACGAATAATATTTTGTGGCGCCGCCAAGGCCTCGTAGATATTGGGCAAAAAGTGACGTCAGATTTCGCCCCACGATACCAGCCCCAGTGATCTTTCGTGATCAGTGAACAATCAACCTGGAGGCTCTTGGAGAATCTCGATGCAGGCAACGTAGATTTATAAAGCGTTGAAGCTAATCTAGGAGTACTATTTCACTTGCAGTTAGAACTTGATAATGTGTTAAAGAACTTCAGGTTATTGCATCGTCGTATCGAAAACTTGTGTAACAACCTTCACTGGCAGCGTGATGTGGTTAGAAGCTTGTGGCTGTGCATCAGCCTTTTCATGATAGGATCGCTAGAGTCATAGATAGAACAGCTGACATATGCATTAGGTTCTCTTCAAGGAATCTCGCAACATAGCCCCACTCTGAGTAAGCTTCCTCGCAAAATAATAGTACGCAGGACAACTTCGCGTAATAAAATGCAATCGTGCAATAACATTCCCACACGCAGCCTTCGTGAAACTCTCCGATATGTCTTCTGAGAATACTCAAAATGCGACTGCCGACCTCAAACAGGAGAGTTCAGTCGTCCGCCCAGACCCCCGCGAAGATATGAACATGGCAGCCTCAAAAGATCCAACATCGCCCGAAGAACTACAAACAACTCAGGAATCACAAGCGGCGAAAGAATCGTACGACAACTACATCAAGAATTTACCACCCCCATTTTGGCAGACCAAGACACCACAATCAAAAGCAGCGAACGACGAGGCGACCGCGGCTAAAATCAACGCTGTATGTGCGCCAGTGACAGCCGAGCAGCGCGAAGAAGATGAACGTCTGAAAGCCAGGTCTTGGCGCGAGCGGTGGCGTGATCGCAAGGCGAGACGAGAGGGCAAAGAGAAGAATGAAGACCCCGATTTAAGACCTGTAGAAAGGGGGAGCCGGGCACAGCTAAATGTTTTTGGTGTCAATACCAAGGAGAAGAAGAGGACTCGGTAACGCATCTAAACAAGAGATGCGCTGTAGACTGCATGGGACATTACACAGCTATTAAAACAATGACAGCTATAGTGTGCCTGTATCTCTATGCCGCAATTGTGACGAGTATGTTTCACTCTTGATTTCCAACAAAGTCATCAACTATACAAAACATGTGCTACACATATATACTCAATCGGTGGCAAAAGTTTTACGATGAGGTTCTTGATACGGGAAACACTTTGAGCTTTTGATATAAAAGTGTCTCGGGTCACAATGGGTGGCCTTATGGCTGTCATGGCTGTCCCTGGAGCATGTAACCCGTGGCGTTCGCGCTTTCGATGATCACCTGAACATCAGCGCCTAACAAAACAACAGCACGGTAGTTCCACAAGCGCCTCAACCGGTAAAAGCGTTTTGTGTGTCGCGAACAGCGGCAAATTCTAATCGTAGACAGGCAGACAATATTGTATCCCGTCAGCGTGGCGTACCTCGCTTCCGTGCCTTAATGCCCGAACCGGAAGAGATGCGCTGGCCACCTGGACAGCCTACCACCTCCAGATGTAGGCTGCGGGCACTCGCCTAGCCAGCTTACGATGCTGCAACATCATTCCACCCGGCCACGCTTGTCCATCCAAATGCTGGCGACAGCATCATGAGCGAGCATGAATCCGACTCTTGCGGATATGAAAGACACTCGGCATCAAATACAAGAATATCTCACTGATAAGGTGCTTCATCCGCACAACCCTACGGATGCCTATATTCTTTACGAGGACATTTCGCAAGCCTGGTCTGGAAGAACCACAATACAGACAGTTTTGTTCAGAATCGAGTTATCGCAAGTAGACATCGATACAATACGTCGGCGACTATTGCGTTTTCTTTCCACCCTGGTCTACGTAGGCGCGAACGAATTTCTTAGTGGCCCTCGATCGAACTTCTTTCACCCAAATGGGGAACCTGTTTACGAAGATAAGCGCTTTCCTGTTCACCATAATGATCGAGGTGTACCACCAATCGAGAGCTTGACGATACGCACAAGATTCCTCAATGACCAATACACTTTCTTTCCTGTAAGTGCTACTGGCAATATGTCCTGAAGCGATAACTCAGGCTTATTTCAGGAATATGTTCGCGAATGCTCCCAAATTTGTAAAATTGATGACCGGCGGCGACTGCCATTTGAGGAAGTTGTTCGTAATACTGCTTCTGGCGCCTACGGTACCGTGGACAAAATCGGGATATCGCCAAATTGTTTTATTACTTTCGAACTCAACCGAAATCACAAGGTAAATAATATCACTAAGTCTCTATACCGTTCTAATAACGACGACGAAGGTCAAATTAGTCGCTTGCAAACGGTTTCATGCGTCAAATACACGACGGGACTCTATGAGAGAGCTTAAGAATCTCGAAATCTTGAAAGAGAGCATCACGAGTCACGCACATATCAGGATCCATCTTGCAGTTCTTCTCCACAAAGGAGAACATCTGATCCTCCTTCCGTGGGCGGATCATCACGATCCTCGATCACTTTCTCGCCGAAGGATTCGACTTTGGTGGTAAACCGGTATATGACTTTGCGGAGGTTTTCTCCCTAGCTAAGAAGGGTCCCTTTGATCAAAGATGTTTGCGTACAGATGCATCGGATCGCA